CGTCGTTTGCTGATGGAATGGCCGATACTGCAGGACTTTTGCACCAGGGCATTCTACGGTTCTAGCCCGCGGATAAGGGCATACGAGTCGACCGCAAGTTGGCGCCCTAGGTAGTGCCTCTGGAACGGATTCGAGTTTGCGTGATCCAGCATGAGATTTCTGGTTGTGTCGCTTACACTACCTATCTAGTTGTTAGTGAGGATATCTTTTTATAATCAGAAAACGTACTACTTCTATCAAACATATTGGCAGCATTATATCGTAGGTTGTATGGGATCGTCGGGACCTCGAACCCCGTGAGCTTGCCAACTCTCCTGACCCATCCAGCGATTGTTGCAGGATTGATGGGCTCGGTTGGGGACATCTTGTATCCGACCAGCGTCTTGACAGCTTGATGGAAGATATAAACATCATCCATGCTTGGTTTGAGCGGTAAAGGTAACTCCCACTCGCCCGGGTGGATGTCGAGCCTGCTAACTGCATCAGGGCAGGTCAGACTCGGTGCCTCGAAGGCCCGGTGCCTAAAGAGGATACCTTCGAGGAAGACATGGGGGCTGAGCATAAGCGAGTCGTCGAACAAGATTTCAGGGAGGGTCACGGTCTTCCTAATATGGCGTCAGCATATGTAGAACTATAAGTGCCAGCCACCCCGGAAACCCCGGCTAGGCCTAGGCACATATGTATCTTTAGTACCGAGATAAGTCTTGGTGAACTCCAGCGTGAACCTGATCAGGACTTTGTACGGACCACTGTCTGGGTCTCGGGACAGTACGACTCGGATATCTCGGTAGCGGAGTTTGAGCACTGAGGCAGGGCGAGCGCCGGTAGGAGCGAGTAGTAGGAGGAACAGGACGCAGAGAATTCGGAGCTCTCCTAGAGAGAAGGACTTCTCCGTCGTGCCTAGCGTTGTCTCAACTTGTTGCTTGAGGTCGTCAACTGTCATGCACCTGTTCTCGCGCTTCTGGTCGCTTAGCCTATGCTTTTTGGCGAGCTTTTTGAGCACCTGTACAACGTCAGCCTAGCCCGGTACCTCAGTCACGGGTTGGACAAGGCCCTACCCTGTGCATTTTCCGGTTCAGCTTCGCATCGAGCTTCGTGCCGGTGGCCCTCTCGTAGACAAGTCGGAACACCTTCCAGTACGTCCCTAGTGAGCTGCTCTTCTTCGTTCCCCGCTTCTTTCTACCGTTCTTGCCGGCCTTCTGGCCTAGCAGCCAGTCGAAGAAGTTATAGAGGGATCCGAGAGAGACGGACTCAAAGGATTCCTGTAGGTCGTACTCGAACCACGCGCAATACCTACGTCACAGCTTGTCAGCATGAATCAAGTAGTCGAAGCACGACCGTTCAGGTCACCTACTCATTCCACAGCTCTTCTATTCCATCGAGAAGTATGGTACTACCCTTACTGTAATCTTCATCATTATATGCGGCCTCATTGAACTCTTTTAGTTGCTTGAGGTAGTACTCTCGAGGGTGCAGATTTCCGTCGAAGAGCTGTACCTGGTCTTCTATGTCAAAGTCGTTACAATCATCGCCAAAGTCACCAGTGTCGTTGCTTTCTTCGTCGTCAATGTCTGTCGGGCTCGTCTCATAGCCGGTATCATCGACCTCGACATCGAACACCTTATCCTCGTCCGACAAGGACACGTCATCTGGAGAGTCCGAGTTCGAACCGTCCGAATAATCCTCGTTGGGCCTGCGGCGGTGACGCGCCATCTTCGTGCAATGACAATCGATACAGTCGGTAAGTTGAGCGTAGGAGGGCAGAGAAAGGAGACAATGTCGGTCGTCGGAGCAGGATAGGCTGGTGGGCGATAGACTTGTAATCCTTTCGATGAAGGGAATGCATCGCTGGAGAGGCGCAGGCGCGGCTTCTTAAACATTGGGTTGGGACCCATTTTGGTGGCTATCCAGCATCCGGCAAGGTGGTGAGCAGGAAACAGAAATCTGGGAACCGGTTTGGACCCTCGATATTTAGAGGCGGTTCGAGGGTACAAAGGATCGGTACCTGCGGTACATGTGGGGTACCTGGCGTGCCCGAATGCACGTGGGTTCGGCCCTAGCCATGTGGTGTAGTGGCGTGGGGCGATGCTGAATTTCTGGCGAATGGACCGCCGCAATGGGCGGCAGAACCCACCAAAAACAGCGGCAGACTCGCCGTCACATTGTTTAAAGTAGTAATAAATAAGTTATATTATTTATTAGAGAACTCCTAGAGTCCTTTAGAACGAGTGACTATATATTGTTTAGCTAGAGAATGTCCTGAAGTACCTTATACTATGATCGTAGTGATTGCGCTGTGATTCCTGTGATTATTGTCTGGTGTTGCTGGTGATCGTAGTGATCGCTCTACGACTCCTACGATCACTTTTGTGCCTGTTCCTGATTGGTCTATGCTAACTGGTCCGTGCGCCAGACTTGTGTGTTGGTTGTCGCGTGCGTCAGTCCGTGACAGTTGTAGAGCTTAGCTGCGGCTCGAAGGCTTAACTTTTCGTCATTTTCAATAGCTTCAAGGGCTAAGATTAGCCTCGCTTCATTTGAAATAGCTGGCATAATGGGTGGTAGGAGAAAATGAGGTTAAGTGTAGAGCGAACGCGTCATGGTGGGGCATGCGCAGCTCGCTTGCATGCGCAGCTCGCTTATCAAATACGTTACGCGATTGAAAACATACTGTAGTAAAGCATGAAAAGCAGTTGTTATACGAGGTTCGTTTCCTGTACTTGATGGTCCGAGCCGGGCCGGCTTCCGCCTCCTTAACCTCGGTTTACAAGGCGTGCCCGCCGCCACTAGTAACGGCAGGAGCAGTAGCAGCGGCAGCCGCCGCCGCCGCCGCCTCAGTCTCCAACTGGTCGACTACCGCCGCGGGTATGTGGAAGCTCTTGCAGATGGTCCGGGCGTCGTCAGAGTCCACGTAGGTCCCGGCGACGTACCTTCGCCTATCGCTCTCGGTCAATATCTTGGGATGCCGAGCAAAGCGCATTGACTTTTTTCTCGCTCGGCTTGTATATTACGGCATACGAGCTGCCCTCGATATAGAACGCCCGGCATCCTTCAGGAAGTTAGGGCCCAGGGCTCGCTACGGCGGCCCAACTAGGAGGTTCAGGTGGTGTATAATCGTCGACGCCACTTTGGGGATGTAAGTTATTGGAAGACGGCAGCTAGATGAACTCAGCGGAGTAGCGAGACTGGGGAAAGAAAGCGTCGGCGGGCTACATTTCTTTCATTGCCATGACCTCCTGATCAATTAGCCTCAAAACTAGTCCTGTGAATTGGGCAATTGATGTTTACCAACACCCATTGGAGATGCCAGGGTAACATCTCCCGGGCGCACTGTCCAACTCGATTATCTTACACAGTGCAAGAAGGATGGCCCAGCATGGATCTCGCTTGGGTAGCACGCACCACATATGCAAGGGAACAAACGTCCGAAAAAATCTACCCTACTCGATCTTATCCATGTGGCAGACTCCAGGAGGTTAGGACGGCCTGTCGCAGTCGAGGGCGTCAGTTCTTGCATCATGGGAGTTTGGTGTGGCGATTTTCCGGCCGAGACCAGACCGGTTGAGATGTTTCATGCGTGCAGTTACATAGATACACCAAGTACGTAATTAACCATACTCGGCCAGAATAATCTACCTCTCGCAGCCGTCGCGCGACCACCGCCTGGTATGGATGGATGGATGGGCTCGGAATGCAGATGTTGGGCCGGCGTTTGGGTTCCGATACAGTAATTATGATAGCCTTTAGAGGACCAGGGTTCGTAAGGGTAGGTCGATAATTCGCAACGTAATTCTCCCCTGATGACATTGTTCCAGGAACGGGTGCTTATATAATAGTGCGTCTCGTTTTGTCACACGGCCACCGTACACGGGAGCCGCTGTCAAGGTGTCGAGAAAGATGATGTTTTGACGTAATTCGCTACACCTTGGGAGTATAAGAAGCTGGTCAGCTGTCCGAGTTTTGGTGGATCCGCAAGATTCCTCTTACTTTTCTGCACCTCAATGCCGTCTACAGAAAATAATTAGACCGTGTCACATTCACCACTGCCATTCTACATACAATATGTAGCAGACCGAGCTCTCTGGATCCTCCCTCGAGATTGACGCCCGCATTTTGGGTTCCGCATCAAACCAGTTCCTCCCACCCCTTCGCTCCGATACTCAAGTAAATAAACCGACCATCAAGGCGCCGCCGCAACACGACGACCGTTTTGGCCCAATTCCCGATGACGGACGATACCCGACCGTTTGCCAGGCGCTACGCGATGGCAGTTACGTTGGCGACGAGAAGCACCACAGATATGTCATCATTTCGTCACTGTTCGCAGACCTTTTCAGGCATCTCGGTGGTAATTAGGTCACATTTACTGGCTTCGGCATACCTACAGACTATCGCCTCCTTTTTCCTCATCCCGTAGCTAAAAGTACAAACAGGTTTCCACCATTCCACCATCAGGTTCCTTTGTCCGTCACCATCAAACTAAACCGCAGACACGCTCCGTGCAACCCGGTCACTCCGTGCTGCAACTGTGCGGGTGCGAGGTGTCAGCTTGGCGAATCCGAAACACCAGGGAGGTCTCCCGTCACGAAACAATCCTGTTTTGCTACCGCTGGTCTGTCCCGTGAGCCTACCGGGAAGTGGCTTGAAACATAAGCTCGTTTGGCCGACGGTGGGGGATGGGTGACGTACCGTGGAGCGTGTCCTTAAAGTGAGGGCGACCCGCTGCGCTACCTGCGACACCGAAGGGCAAGTGACGGCCGAATGATCAACAGGGCGAACACCGTCAGTCATGGGGGAGTTTGTTTCGTGAGGTCGCTGAGAGAGTGGCAACACCCAAATCGCCAATGATGAATTGGCTCTTCGTATCCGGCCAAGCTGCTGGTGTCGATGACCACCGAGGCCATAAACGGGAGTCCGGACCTAGTGGGCGAACGAAGGGTGTCAGCCTTGCGGCTGAAATTGTGGGATATCCCCTAATTATACTTGTCTTTCATCATTGCCCGGGGGCTCAGATGTAGTGTCTCTAATAATATCATCGGGGTCCGTCCCACCTTAAATGCACAGCCTGTGATGAAACGGCTCTTCGTTTCCGGCCAAGCTGCCGGCGTCGATGGCCTCTGAGGCTGCATGTGGCATCTGGGGGAGCGGCGTGTTGGTACTTGGTGCTGGTGCGACGAGGCGGTGAGGGCGCGGCGGGGGCCAGATTGGAATCGAAAGCCAAGTGATGGTGAGGTTCGCTGATCGAACGCCAGGCAACGGCCAAATGAGATGTGTGCACCATGGATGGAGAGGGGAGAGATGGGAGTCAGAAGATTGAGAGATGGATGGGACACGGGGGCAAGACACAGCTTAAATACCCATCTGATGAAGCTGTGTCTCAACAGAGGATGAGCGACGCAGCCAATTCCATATGGAAAGTCCACGACACAGAGGTCTACTGGTGGAAGGAGAGGGGTGCTCTCATCTGTCGAGGAGATGGAGAGTGGGCAGAAACAGAGGGCAGCGACAGACAGCGTGACACGTTCAGGGAGGATGCAAAAGCCGCGCTTGACAATCTTCTTGTCTAAGTCAGACGGGGCATTATTTCCTAACATCGTTCGGGGTTGGAAAGGAAGGTACTTTTGGCAATCGAGACAATTAGAAAGATCGCCTCGGTGATCTAGATGTCGTCGGTGAAGGAAAGCGTGGTTGTCGCAGTGGATTCAAGCCCGATAACAGGAGGGAATGAAGGGCGTGTCGTGACTGCGTCTGCAATTCAAATTGCGGATATCTGACGCACCTTCCGACTCAAAACTGTGATATCCGAGCCCGGCCAAGCCTCCAGAGAAGCCGAAGGCGCCTCCCTTTTCGAGAAAGAAGACCGGAAGAAAGATGCATGTCCATACGTTGCTTGAAGAGCTGGAAACTGCGTTTGTTGATTGTTATGGAAGCCACCAATGTCTAGCTGTGTGGATACCTCATTATGTGATTCATCTTAGTTGATCCAAGTTAAGGTTAGGTTTATCTTCAGCGAAACGGTTGGACTTTGTCGAGGCAGAAGGTGCAACCAACCGGATCCATCAAAGCCCAAATCTCCGGGTGATATCTGTTTGATGATATGGGAGTCTTATTACTACAACGCTTTGCCAAAGACATCCTGCATTCCTGGCACTTCATACTCTGAGTTCATTCATAATTGCATGTTCTGTGTCGGAGGGAGAGCAAGCTGATTACCGTTAGGATAGCAAGCCTCTTCCAGTCTCTCCTATGAAGAGCATCATTTGAAAAGAATATAAAACTCGAAAAGAACAAGGGATTGATCTTTTTTGGAATCTGATTCGCAATCATCACACTTTTCGACTTCGGAGTTAAGGTTGGATCCAACTGATAAGTTCCGTCGTTGTTTTACAACTCAGGGGAGTGGCTCCTCTGGCACGTTGCGAATACAGTTTTCCCGACCCCGGTTGCGGCCGAGCTTCACTCCACAAGAAATTTGACGAACGGCAGACTGCGGCTCTAGTCCAAGCGGGTCGGTACACGACAGCGACTCTCGGCCGAACTATCCGCGATAATTTGATCGGTATCAAAGGTAAGGGACCACAAACCTATATTTGCCCCACGGTTTTCTTTCCCGAGGTCCCGGTTACACGGCATCTCTGGATCGTTGTGTTTTGCATTGTGTTTCCCGTTGCGCGTCAAAAAGGAATAAAGTGAGTGGCCGAGTCCCTTCCTCCGGAATTGGGCTACCGTGCTTTGGGGATAGGGTTATGGGAGTGGGAAGGGGCTCAGGGACGAGTCTAGAACGCAGAACCAGATCACGCTTAGGAGTCGCATGTAACTGGGCTGTTGCTCCGCATACTTGGGAAAAACTGGTCAGCTTGGAGTTCCCCAGTTGCTTCAACGGCAGTCTGCAAGATCTGACACGACAACAGTGGAAAATTTGCATGTTTCGGAGAGTCTCAAAACACCTTACACGAAGGATAACACGCGTCCTGGGCCGGCTAACCACAGCGTACCAATCACGGGGGTTCCAGTGACCATGTTAACTCCGAGTTGCTGGATGGAGCTCCTGTGAACTAATTACACAGTAGTCTAACGGTAGACATCGTGTATAGAATAGGATGGCTGCAGATAAACTAGGGGAGGTGTGTGGGAAGCGTTGTGCGTTTCGCCCTTCGTAACACAACCAGCCGTCATACATGCTGTTTATCCAGACATGGCGACTGAGCTTAACAGTTTAATGTTATAATGATTAGCACCCCGAGTCTTAAAAGCTCCAGCATTCCAGGATTTCGAGTCCTCGACACCGCCGACACCACGAATTAATCGATAAACTCTTCTTCAGGCCAGCGCGCCGCCATGTCGCTCCTCGCTGGGCTGCTCAACGGCCCGAGTCTGATGGGCCATCATCCCAGCTTCCTCCCGGGACAGACCCGTGGGTATATACCTGAGAGTCCTCACTCACCATTCCAACCCTTGTCCATGTATCGAGACTCTGGCCTCCTCAACAACAACGGAATCGCCGCCTCTCGTATTTCATTCTCAAAGACCGAGAAACTACAAACCCGGAATATGATGGTTAACGGGCAGAGTATGGAGTTCACGTCCAAAACACCGCCAGAGCGCCCGATTGTGCCGACAAGTCCGGGTGATTGGGAGGCCAAGAAGCAGATCATCCGCGAGCTGTACATGGATCAAAACATGATCCTCAATGAGGTGATGGAGATCATGGTGACCAAGCACAAGTTCAAAGCCACGTGAGTATTTTACCCTGTTCCAGAAAATCAACATTTATCTGACACTGGTTAGGGCCAGAATGTACAAGGGTCAGTTTTCCAAATGGAAATGGACCAAGTACAACAAGTCTGGGAAGCCGGGCCCTGTCAACACGATCACGAAATCGAGGGTATCCAAACGGAAGAGTCTGCTCTCCACACGAAAATTCCCACCGAAAAAACATGCCCTACAACGAGCAGCAGCAGCAACACAACATCACCTTGTCCCATCTCCCCAGCATGCCGTCCGGTACTCCTTGCAGTATTTCACCGACCTGGAGCGCCAACTCGAAACAACCCTCAACGCCTACGCCACGCTGATATCCTGCTGGGCAGAGCGCGAGACCCCATGGCGGCCGACCAAGGACCCCAGCGCCGGTGGCCACAACAACTCTGGCGGCCAGCTCATTACCCCGTTAACCACCTCACCTCCTCACTCGATCCTCCATCAGGTTTGGACAGCGCAGCAATGTTTCCTCGCGGGACAAGCCCAACAAGGCGGTGACATGCTCCGACTAGCCTTCTTAGCGATTGAGAACGCTGTAGAGAACTTCTTGGACCTTGAGAGCTTGTGGGACTGCTGTCTCGCCGTGACGCAACTGGCCCTGACTACCGGCTGGACCGATGTCCTGGGGATCTTTGCCCGGTACCTGCACCAATACACCTCCATCAAACTCGGGCCTGGTCATCCCCTTACCCACATCGCCGCCTCTCTGCACCGTCTCGCCTGTCTTTCCCCTTCCCCTTCCTCCTCTCCGAACCCAGCCACCAAACCAAACCCACCCCGGCCCCCCATATCCACCTCCAGTTCCACTGAAACCAACACCAGCACCAACCCTTCCAACCACTCCGACCACCAAACTTACCTACAAACCTACCTCCACAAATCCTGGGACCTCTGGATCAACCACACAACCAGCATCCGCGGTCCCCAAGACGACCTCACAATCCACCTAAAACGCGGCTACATAACCCTAATTGACCGCTCTCACCCCATGGCTCGGACCATTCTACGCGATTTCGCCGTCTCTCTACACTCTTCTGTGGCATGCCACGGTAGGGTGGCTACTACGGCACGGGTACTAGAGTTGGAGGGGTTGTTGGGACGGATGTATTTGCCATTGTTTACGGGGGAGAGGGGGAGAGAGGCGGAGGTGATGTTGAGGGGGGTTGTGGGGAAGATTTTGGAGGGTGCTAGAGAGAAGAAGCATGGTGATGATCGGGATGGGGAGGAGGAACGGGAAACAGCAGACTGTAGTGGGTATGTAGATCGGTACCTGGTGTTTAGCGCGCGGAATTTCATGGCGAGTATTGCCGAGTATGGTGGAGATGAGGTCAAGGCGAGGCGGTTGAGATGGGAGAGTCTGGAGTTGGACGCCGATGAACCCAAAAACCAACAAGGGGCAGAGGAACCAAGAGGGAACAAAAGGAAAGACTTGTTTTGGTTGCAGACGGCCGAGTTGGTGGAGGGGCGGTTGAGGGCTGCGGGAAACGAGGATGAAGCGGAGGAGATAAGGTGTCAGAGGGAGGTGGTGAAGAGAGCGTTAGGATTCGGAGGGCGGTTGTTGGAGTGTTAACTGTGTGGATCGTTTAATAATTGTAATCATGGTAAAGCAGGATAATTCATCACTGGAGTGAAGCGTGGACACGTGGGATCCCATCTTGGATGCGTTAGGTTTGATCGAGGGAAAATGGGCCGCGGAGTGTTCTCATGTAAAAGAAGAACCCCCTCACAGAGCAAGCAAACCATAAGGGGACATGAGATGTAGAGGTAACGCTCTCAATACCGAGAGAAGCTAAATATTAACTAATTACATTGGGTATTATCAATTACACCAGATACAAATAAAGTCGACCATTTCAACATGCCTAGGCACCGATACCATCTAACCATAGGCGGAGGTGAACTAGACGCCCCAAGTCCGTCGATCCATCCGCCTCCGCGCCCGCTTCCCCGGCCGCTTCCATGTCCCAGAGGATGCTGTCGATGTAAGAGCCGGCTGCTGAGAGGTGGAGGATACGTGCAATGGCACTGTGGATGGCTAAGAGCCGTGCCGAGGGTGGATCGATTGTACGATCGTCGGTCAAGAAAAGCGTCCGGGTGATGGGAAGATCGAGGCCCCCGAGAATAGCAGACGGGTCGAACGACTGGATTCGATAGGTATGGGGCGCCGCATCGGGCACCGGCTCAAAATAGATGGAAAACTCGCCAAACAAGCCATGGATATCTCTGGTGAGAGTCAGGGCGTTGTATGGCCGGTCAATATCGACGCCATCGATCAAGGGCCCTACACCATGGTCGAACATATTCAAGATGGCCAAGGCCGCTTGTTTGGAGGGATTCTAGAAAGGAGGCGGTGTTAGAAAACGGACGGGGGTATTTATAGATATATTGCTGGAGCTTGGTAGTTACCAATTCATCGCCGCGTCCGAGACTTGTTAAAGAGTGCGGTAGGATATGTGCGACCTCTAAGGCTTGAAACGCCTGCTCCTCGCTAAGCAAGTTACCATTTTCGTCTCGAGCATCAAGGCGGTCGCGCTTCATACGCTTCCGTGCCTCGGTACGGTCGAATGTTCGCGTTACAATACACCTATATCGATCACGAAAAAGGCAGGCTCCACGTAGCGCTGAAATCCTCTCTGGTGTACCGACAAACCCCCCCGCGCCGCCCTGTATCCGCTGAATGGCAGAGTGGAATGCCGGTGTGGGCTGGGGGGTCTTTGTAGCAGAGGCTTTGACTAATGGCGGTCGGTAAATGGGTATCAATAATAAGGCGAGATAAAGAATAACTTACGAGGCAGGAAGAAGTTGTTGAAGAGGTAATCTGCAAAGCCGAAAAATTTGACCCGGACCGGCTCATCTGTTACGGGTTCGCCATCGCCGTCCATGGATAATTCAAGCGAGCTAAAGAAAGCCCGAAGGAAATTATCCTGCGAGAGGGGAGAAAGTGCATGGTCATGTGTGAGGCGGAGAAGCCGCGAGCGACTGTACTCGGAGCCGGCGGTGTCGTCAGCGCCATCTCCAGGGGACCCCTCGAAGTGGTCCACGATTTGGTAAAACCTCTGTTTGGCACGATCGCGCGTGTCTGAACTCAAAGGTTCCTCGGTTTTGAGATCAATGATGCCCTCTAACGAGGACTGGTGGCTATGATGGGGCGAGGATGGCGACGGTGGTACCATCGCGTTGATCGAGGTGTGGTGTCATTGGTGTTAGTGCGTGGATGTTGGGGAGAGAAAGCCTGTAAGTTAATTAGCGAGTCGCGGGGCTTGTCAACACGGTCGCACGTGACCACAGAAAATATGGCCCCGGTTTTCCCCTCTGTACAAAGTAGATTCTCTCCTTGTCCATGTCATCGTCACTTAGGTTCTATTTATATATGCATCGTTAATTCCTTTCCCAGTTCCTTACCATGTCGACCATTCGTCAATGACCCTATTCATTTCCTTGTCAATGACTTTGTTCACATCATTGTCAACGTGACACAGGAGCCGTCACCCGGGACCGAGGTTCAGGTAGCGAGAAACAGATGTTCAATTGAAGCCTCTGGGAAGCCGCATCCGTTCCAAAACTATAATTACGGGTCAGGGTTACGAAATTTAGGGGTAATTAAGCAGAAGGCGACAAAATTACACTTCAAGAAACTTAAAACTGATCCCGCTAAAAACCAAGCGCTGAAAAGACATCCAACAAGAGAAGAGAGAACAAAAAGCTCCCAGCCAAGGCTTATCCCTATCCGGAGGGATACACGTTGGCAGGTACGAAAACCCCGAAAGAGGTTTCCGCTTCAAAGTAAGGTAGGTAGGTGCCCTAGGTTTCTTCCATTTTAGTCCTTCATCTTGGGTTTTGTCCTTCTTTCTTATTTTCATGATGAACCTTGTGGCTAATTCAGTCCCTCGTATCCTACAGTCTCGTTCTTTCGTCAAGCTTTTTGTCCGTGGCATGGTCAACGGCGTCGCTCCTACATTTTCTAACGAGGACAGCCGCATGACATCTGCGTCGTTACTGACGAAGCTAGAAAGAGATCTTGAGTCGAAGACTCCGAGAAATTAAATCCGGTCCGAGGATATGCTTTGCAGGAACACAAAATTAAACGTAATATTACATGGCATCTGATCCTCACAGTCGACGTAAACCCCACGCGGATTGCCCAAAGGAGCCTTGAGTAATAAGGCTTGGATTGGGTGATTTTCAGAGCATTCGAGTTGTTTATACGCTAAAAACTTGCTTTCGGGGTATAATATGCATGGAATTCAGCGCGATAAGCGAGGTACATGGTGCTACAACGCACAGCAAGGTAGGCATGGCTCCCAAACACGTTAATATCCGAGAAACTATCTAAGGAAAAAGCTAGGGCGGCCCTTGCCTAGACGGGCACTCCCCTCAAAGCGGCTTTTAAGGCCGCACTGATGCTGACCCCCATTCGTTTGAGATGTAACGTATCATGCATGTGCACGTCGTTGTAGGCTGAGCTTCGCGATGCAATCCGCTAGCGAATATCTGCACTTCTCGCCTTACGTTTCCGATGCTACTCCAATTGACATCGTCCAAGTTTCCTGCAGGGTGATCACTCCGCGTTGGGTGATCGGGGTCCGCTACCAATCTCAGGCAAGGCAGGCTATCGAGTGAGGTGGGGTTGTAGGCCTCACTACATCCTGTCAGTTTTCTTCAGGACTTCGCGGATCTCTCAACAAGGTCCCTCACATTGGCATTCTCCTTCGTCCAAAGAACATATCCCCTGCCAACAACGACGCCATAGCTCCAGACGAGGTCTCGATGCTGAATGCCGGCATCGCCGCAATCATGCTGGATTCAGGCACTCTCCAGCAGTTGGGCAGCCTGGTCCATCCGACCGAGGAACTGAAGGAGGCCGGTTACGTCGTCACAAAGCTCACCCAGGACGAACTCGAGCAGAAGAAACGATGCGCCACGTGCGGTGTCCGAAGTGAGTCTCTCGCAATTCTGGTCCGCCGGTCCAATGCTGGTGGTTCTGCTGAGTCCTGACACGCGATGCAGTCGGCAAGGTCCGCCGCATGCGAGATCGCCAGAACCGCGCCCGGCAACAACAGCCTCAGCTTGCCAACGCTCTGCCACCTAGAAGCGAGGACAGCAGCGCTTCCGCGTCGGGGAACGCAACCCACCCCAACGACGATAATAATGCGCGACGGAACTCGGTCATGCGCTGCCACTTTCATCCGGGAAGGGTGCAATTGAAGGTCAGCCAGCCGCTGGTGCAGAATAACCACCAGCATGCGAAACTTATATTGCGCTTTTCTAGGCTTGGACATGCTGCGGCAAGCATCTTGCAGAGGCGCCTTGCACGAGCAAGGAGGACCATGACCCGCCCGAAGAGCAGGACCGAACAATCCAGCAGCGCTGGCAGTTCCATCATACCACTCTGGCAACGCGCTCCAGCCATCGCCTTGCCGTTGCCATCGACTGCGAGATGGGGACCGCTTTCGACGGCGACAGCGAGCTTATCCGTCTGACGCTGATCGACTACTTCTCCGGCGAGACACTTATCGACAGCCTCGTCTATCCAGATGTTGAGATGCAGCACTTCAACACGAGATGGTCGGGCATCACCCGACGCGAGATGGAAAAGTCGCGCCGGCAACGCCAGTGCATCATGGGCCGGAATGCTGCTCGTGCAAGAGTCTTTCGATATGTGGGTTCCTCGACCATCGTCGTAGGGCACAGCGCCCAGAACGATCTGTCGTCTCTCCGGTGGATTCACCATCGCATCGTCGATTCTTACATGGTTGAGGCAGCCACGCGGAAAGAGGCCAGGCTGAAGGAGTAGCAAGAAAAAGGGGAGAAAGAGCGGGCCAAGTCCGAGGAGGGGGGCCAACCCGAGGAGGGGGCCAACTTGAGGAAGGGGGCCAGCCCAAGGAAGAAGACAAACCCAAAGAAGGAGGGCCGGTCAACCATCAGAAACGTAGCAAACATCACCCCGATGGCATGTCGCTGAAGGCGCTTGCCATGAGACGGCTAGGACGGGCGATTCAGATGGGCAACAAGGGCCACGACAGCCTCGAGGACGCTCTCGCAGCCAGAGACCTGATCCACGCCCACATTGCCAGCCTTGCGCAATGAGGGTTCTGACGGAGTGCGGGGTCCCAGGGGTAGTAAATGTAAAGTCATGCCGCTCAATTTTTTTGGTCGCGTTCTCAATGAGAAAGACCCATTGCTCCACCGGTTGCCGGCAACGAGGCTGCAGGGCACCAGCGCCGTGTCGAAGTCGATGCCGCCGTCGTCGAGTGCGGGCAGCGAGAGAAGCACTGCTCTTCCGGAGTAGCCGGGGTGGAGGAAGTCGGCCCTGCGGGTTGCCGCGACGTCACAGGACGAGAGTGACGCTCGCTATGATTCACCAGAAGCATTATGGCAACGACATCGTGAATCCGCAACGCTATGCCTCCGCCACTACCTTCGGATTCTTGCTGGCTTCCTCAAGTATCTTCCTCATATGAGCATACAATCCGCTATCCTCCTTTTTCCACCTCCTATCAGCTGGGAATACCACCTTCCAAAGTATGTTCAGCCAAGGCACCAACGGCCTATAAGTCAGGGGGTCACCCACCCGACCGGTCCGGGAGCCGACCGCATAATAAGATCACATTGCACGGACAACACCATCATTACAACACCATATATTAACCACTTAACTACCCGCAAACTATGGTATCTCTGGTTCGTTCTGGAGCCTGACCGTCGCTCTCTTCAACGGTATTATCCTCGATCCGGCCTACCGCGATTTGCGCGCGGTGGACTTGTTGAATCTTCACAAATAGGTCGTTTGGGTCTGGAACAACACGCCTTCTTCGTGACGGTTTCGACGCCTCGACCTGGGCCTTATAGGCCTCCGCGGCCTGTTGCGAGGCGACCTCGTTAACTTGGGCTGTACCGAGGGCCTTTTCTACCTTGCGAAATACCAGGCGCGAGACCGTAGTACCGAGACCGTGTTGGTGTAGTAGATCCCAGAGCCTCCTAATCTCCTTGTGCGAATGTGGTGTTGAAACTACCGTATTAGGTGCCTCGTTTGATCGTTGGGTAGTCTTGGAGGGCCCTGAATCAGGGTTATCTATCGTCGGATTGCTAGTATTCGTCGATTTATTTGAGTTCTCGAGTAGGAGAGGGCTCCTCAGGGGCTTCTGGATATTGATCGGCCATAATCCAGTCCCACGCCACCCAGATGTGATATTATTTACGGTCAACGCCGTCTTGCGAGCCTTTATTAGGCATAGTAACATCTTCTGTTTGTTCGCGATCGAGTTGTCGGTTAGGGTGGCATTCTCGTTGAAGAGGCTCCGGTAGGCGCGCTTAAGCGGCGAGAATACCGCTAAATCGAGCGGTTGAAGCACATGGGAGGTATGTGGCGGTAACCACACGCATTGGATGTTGTTAATGAAACAGAGGTTCATAAAATCTATGGTTTTATAACTGTTATAGCCATCCATAACTAGTAACCGCCGTTAAGAGAGATCTTATAGTAGGGTCCTAGGAATAAAGACCTTTTCTAACCATTTCAATGTAACCGCGTTATTAATCTACCCGTTTTAGAGGAAGTAAACTCCCAATCCTCCATTTGATCCTTCTCGAGAGGGAACAATTGTTGTTGAACGTGTTGGCCCTTGAAAATAACGGTTGGTAGGAGATATTGGCCTGTTACGGAGATGCCCTCGATAAACGAAGTCCAGGATCGCAATCCAGGGATCCTCCGCTGGATTAACGTGGTTTCGGAGGATCCTACAACTAGGCCGTTCAGGCCTTGGCCTTCCATTAGGCCGAATTCGTCAAAATTCTACCTGTTTTACAGTAGAATATCGTGAACGTTAGGGGTTTCCAGGCATTGAAACCAGTCCTCGATAATAGGCTTAGCCGCTCCATTGATGCGTTTGGCATCCATTATACGTACCTTTTTCGTTCGAAGAACTGGATTACGCTGTAGGAACCTCCTAATCCAACGGTGGCCGATAGGAGGTAGGCGTTCAGTCTGTTGTTGCTCCTGGAGAACGCACATCGCGAAGACCTTGATCTAGGCGTGAGTAGGCGCGGCTCCTAGGCCCTCCTGGATCAAGACCCATCTTGCGAGGGCTTCTTCCTGTATACGCAAGAGCAATTGACTAGATTTGTGAGCCTCGCGGCGCAGCTGGATCCCGTGTAGGCGGCTTCGTAAGGTGGTATAAGGGATGGAGAACTCGAGGGCGGCGGCTCGCACAGAGGCGCCTTTTTCGCGCACTTTGGCCAGCGCATCATGCAAATCTTGGTCCGAATAAGGCATTTTGGGCGGTCGGATCTACTACTGCAATTTGAAGCGTTTTTACGAAGGTTTGGCTGGTCTTTTTATAGTATTTGTGACTCAGGGGCTTATGCAAATGTGATCTTATTATGCGGTCGGCTCCCGGACCGGTCGGGTGGGTGACCCCCTGACTTAGTACCTGGTGAAGGATTCCTCTCTGGTTTTGTGGAAAATATATATGTTAAACACTGTGCCTAGCTTTAACTTTGTAAAAAGACGTCTCCCAAAATCCGACGTTAGGAAACGGAAAATTGATCCAAGCAAGAAAGAAGGCAGGAAAAATACTTCCAAATATGAAGAAACTAAAAAGCTCCCAGCCAAGGCTTATCCCCATCCGGAGGGATAAACGTTGGCAGGTACGAAAACCTCGAAAGAAGTTTTGCTCCGCTGGCCCCGGGAATCGAACCCGGGGCCACTTCAATTTACGACGGCAGTGGCGTGGTGCTCCTCCCAATACCGCTGCGCCAAACACCGCTGTTTGGCGAATTGGGAGGAGCTGGTAAAAGGAGCAGAGGAGAGCTCGGTTATATAGGGAGGGAGGGGGGGCAGGAGCTGGGTTTGCTCATCGCCTTTGGAGAACGGTCACACTGTGTTCCCAAATTTGGACCTGATCTTCAGCAGTCTAAGCCATATGGCCCTTGTAATACACAGCGGAATAATAATACATGATAGAAAGGAAGTTCACCAAGGTACCCCTCACCCTTACTCGGCCGCCCACTCCACCTGAGCACAAGTCGACTGCGCAACACAATTGTAGCTCTCAGCCTTGGCCGGATCTCCCTTGCCATCATACCTAGCCACCAACGGGTAGGCACACAGCTTCCTCGTGAACTGATTCTTCGCCGTCGCCAGCGTGGCCGCAGGTAACTCCCTAGGAGCTTTGTCCTTCTCAACCCAGTCGATGACCGCTGCCAACGCATCTGTCGGTCCGGCACCGTCAATCGACCCCAGCGCGCAATGGTCAACTCCAGGCGCAACAAACAGTCGGAAGAACTCATCCACCGACTTCTTACTGCCAGCCGCCTTCTGCACCTCCTGGTGATATCGGATCGAGTCCTGCGGGAAGATTATGTGATCCGCTTCACCATGCCAGACGAGCAATTTCCCACCAGCTTGATGAAAGCGGGAGAGGTCCGGCTCGGATGAGTCAATGACAGCTTCGAACTTGGCGACCGACTGCGCAAACAGATCCCGCAGACCGGCGCTGTCAAGAGTAGAAAAGTCAAACGACGGGTTTTGCGTGACCCAGAACCGAGTCCAATCCCGGGCCACGGGGAACGGTGCGCCGATGCGGTCGGTGGACGACTCATTCACAGCCACCGTGCCAGCGAGCGAATCGAGCGGTGCACCAAGCGTAAGACCATACCACAACGGCGAACCCGACTCCGTCTTCGGCCCCTTCCAGATGCTCTCCGCCATCCGAGCCAACCTCTCCGACAACACCACCTCCGTCCCATCCTCCTCACAAACCACCCTCTTCCCCGGCAACGTCCTCTCCGGCCGATACACCTTTTCACACGCCCCCAAATCCCCCACCACCCCATCCACCACCCCATCCAACCCATCACAAACCTCCACCACATCCCCCCTCACCGCATCCCACTCACACTTATTCGGGTAATACCCCTCCTCATTCATAACCACCTGCGGCCACAACTCCGCCATCACATACCACGTCCAATACCCCGCCGGCGCACCCGCTACAATCCCATCAAAGTCACCCGGATACCTCTGCGCCGTTACCAGGCCCTGTCTACCCCCTGTTGAACAACCCTCCCAGTACGCATATTCCGCAGGCCGACCATAATACGCCTCTGTAACCGCCTTTCCAACCACAGCCAAGTCATGCACCGACCGACTGGCGAAATTCTCCAGCAACACCTCGTTGATACTACCCTCACTGTTTAAAGCCCAGGGACTGGGGTCGAGGATATCGCCGTCCGGTCCGGGGGTTAAGCCGGCGTCGGTGGCGGCTGCGGCGAAACCGCGGTGCGCGGCGTAGGGTGCGATGGTGAGCGGGGGGATGCCGGCTGCCCAGGCGCTGCCGCCTACGCCGATGAAGCGGCTGCTCCATTGGGAGTGGGACTTGAGGGGGAGCCAGATTTGGATGGTGACTGTGTCGTTGGGTTGAGTATCAGTATGGGTGGTGTCGATGTGGGTTAACGTGACGGTTACGGCGCAGACGTTGATGTCGGTGATGTTTTCGTTGAGGAGGGGTGGGACGGCTGGGACGGTGAAGTTGATGAGTTCGGTGCCGGTGACCGAAAGGATCTCAGCACCCGGAAGGTGGGGGTGTGGGAGGCTGGTGCAGTCGTGAGAGGGAGAGTGAGACTGGGCGGTGGGTGTTGCGGTTGTGATGGCCGTGAGGCCGAGGAGGCCGAAGAGGGAGAACATATTGTTGATGTGCTCGAGAAGATAGAGAGGTAAAAGGAAAGGTTGGTGAGTACCGGGTTCAGTGTGAGAGGGAAGACCGGTCGAGTAGCGTCTTTTATATGCACATTTCACGGTCTCCTTTACCTTACGGTTGTTATGATTCCTCGTGTTATTGGGGCCGAGTCCCGCTTGCGAGTTCCGTTGTGATGCCCGGAGATAGCGACTCGCCAATTTGTTTACGAGACACTCCCAGCAAGGCAGTCACTTCTAATCTCGAGGCTAGCAATCACAAGCCAAACTGAAAGGCTCCCGTAATACTACACCGAACACATCCCTCAATTCAATTTGAGCCCCGTAGGCAGACACCAAAGCCACCCCAATTGATCGTCATCAGGGTTGCAGTTCAAGCCAATAATGGACCGCCGTCGTCACTTCTTTAGCGAAGAGCACCCAGACCGTTGTCGTTAAGAAAAGTGCTAACCCTAAGCAGAGTTCAAAGATTCCAAACTGCTTGCGGCTGAGTAAGACCACTTCACGTCCACGTTGTCAGCACTTAATTACAGCCACGTTGTGTGAATTGACATGGGACACACTGATTCGTAGTTACCGGAACGAAGTAAACATGCCTAACTTTGCAAAGTCAAGGAATCAATCACGCTTCTTGCTCTTGCGCTAATTACACCAAGGCGCTACATCCGATTGCCGATGACGTGCATTCGCGCCCGTAACTACGAAAAGTAAATTCATGATGTTTAGGTCCCCATGCTCCAAAGGGAAGGCAAACCCCTATCTGGGTATCCATTATCCTGGCTTAAATAGACTTGAGAACAGAAAAGGAACGGTGGTCATGTCCTTCCTAGGGCAGATTTCAAAGTCTGGGGTGTTTCCCCACCACGGCGAGAGGAGGTAGTCGAAGAGGTGCGTGTCGTTACCCGGGGATGTAGCTAACCGACCAGTTTTTAAGGTCCAGATCTCCCCTGTTGCTTTCGTCCGCTTTGCCTTCATCAGCACGCACGAGGAACGCCTCGATCTTCTTCTGGTCCCGCGCAATTAAACCTCTCCTAAGAAATATCAAGATGTGGGACCAAAAATGATAAGAAGCGGCGATCGCAGTGCTGGTAACGACACCGAGAGCCCCCCAACGATAGGCTTTATTCCAGAGAATGCTGCTCCTGTTTGGGGCGATGTTAGAAAAATACCCCTATTTTTTGGGCCGAGGGGCCGCGTCAAGGATGAAGAGTGAGGGTACGTGAGAGGCTAACTCACACTATAGCGGCAGAAGCCGATAAGGCAGAGACAAAGAACAGACTCTTTCGGTCGGTCGGTGGTGGGACAGCTCTAGCCTTGAGAACCGTGATCGTTTCGTGCATGAAGCGCAGGTCACGAAGGAGACTTTGGCGAGGTATTATTAACCGAAAGAGTTCTCTCTGTGCTTTCGTTATGGCCTCAGTGCTTGGAGCTGGCTCTTGCGTAGCAAGGGTGGCTGTGAGCGTGAACAGAAATTAGCAACCATCGATCCAGCGTTATTCTGTGATGAAATCTTCTGTCGGGGTAATGTACCCATGGGGGGAACCTCATCGTCAGAGCTTTCCACTTCATAAACCCTCGCGACATGCTCCTCCTCTTGGCGCGGCGGTAGCAAGGAATCTAGATGCCGATTAAGGTTCCTACTGCGGAGCGGCGGCAAACTCCCACATCGAACCACAATTCGCGGTCAATTTCATCTTCGGATTGACATTCGGATAGGACGTTTTGAAGCCGTTTGGAGAGGTGATTCAGATTGTTGTTGTGGTTATTGTCGCCTGGTGTACCACTATCAGCCGCATTCCCATCGGCGGCCGCAGCCCGAGAAGCATCTTGAAGCGGACGTCGATTGGAAAGAAGTGATATTGTGTCGTCCAGTTCCTCAGATCCCGTGAAATTGGCGATGGTTGGCATTTCGCCTCCAATATGGAGCGGGGGGGAGGATGGGATAATCGAGAGACGCTTAGCTGTCGAGTGTCGCGTTTGGAAAGTTCGAAGGGTGTGGTTTGGGCGGCACGGGCTGGGGCGCGGGTGCCCCACTTTTATATGCGTGGACGTCTCAGGGACTGGACCAATCAGATCACCTTGCTCCGATACAAACTGTTCCTCCGACACCTGACTGCTAACCGCCCGAGCCGCTTGCCATCGACCTACCTGCACGACCCGCATGCGCACCTGCCTACAAACTGCATTTTTAAGTAAAAGGGACTATTTGTGGATGGGCGCTGCCCTCTCTTGTAGTGATAAAAAAAGATTAGGCTGCACCGCCGCCGCCCTGCAGCAGACTGAGCAGACTCCTGCTGTTACACGTCGCTGCAATGGGGTGTCATTGTGGTCCAGCGGGCCGGCGATGCGGGCTTGGTACGAGCGGGCACGCCGACTACGACCGGTCGGTGGCAGCTGTACCACTGAGGGCGGCGGCTAAGGCCCATTGTTGACCTGCCCATCTGGAATGTCTACTGCTCCGTCGCCGAATTCACACCCTCCCCGAGCGATGCATCCTCCCTTCAAAAAACCCCATGGCTCATAACACATGCTCCCATCAGGGACATCGTGGTGCTGTTTTTATCATGCCATTTATCTTTGTACCATTCATATCCTTCAGCTCTAATCATAGCAAATAGCCAGCGCGCATCCTCAACACTCGTACTCGAGAGACCGAAATCTGTCGCCTGAGATCCTATCAGCCCACTGTCCTATACCGAGGTGGACGAAGTCTGGTTCCGGAAAGTCTTCGAAAATGTCCTCCGTGAGGTTGATGAGGCAGCGGGGCTGTTGTGGTGAGGGCTGGCGAGGTATTTGGGCATGAAGGCTCCATGCGTCGAGGCCCAAAGTTTTCTTGTGCTTGAACTGTGGCGCCAATATCTAATGAGAAAGTCTCATCTGGCTCGAATTTAATCCATTTGCCATTGCGCTCTCCATAAAGGCCGAATCGTGTGTTTGGGAGTTTGTTGGTGGCGATGAGTGACTTGATGAGGGTTTCCTCGCGGCAATTATAGCTTCGCTGATGCTTCTGCCCTTCAGAACGCCAGGTTTTCTGCTGCCGTCGTCGGTATCTCATTTTGAAGGAAAAGAAGTGTGTGTTCCCAGATACTGAAAATGCCGAAGGATGGAAGACATAATGAGAGACACAGGAAATTGCAGAAGAAATTCCGAACAAGATGCCGAGAAAGTAGTACATCTGGCAGTGCAGAGCGCCGCAGTATATGAACATGTCGTGGAACTTTGGGAGATGCACGGACATGTGGTCCCGATATAGATGCGTGCGAAGGGTAGCGGTACGTTGGCATCACTCATGGGTCGCGTGTTTTGGCCTATGACGACACAACATCCCACGCGCGGCTAATTGACATGACGTCCTCACACTTTACTCAGTAGCCATGCCCGGCTTATCGCACACCTTAGTCCGGGCACGAGGCATCCCATTCGCGTCCATAAGCCTGGATTTTGGCAACTGATTACCCTTGTTCCAACTATATCATACCCACCCCGTTCGACAATGCTCGCACAGAGCGCGATCGCTGGAAATATGAACTTTCAACCATGCACGGATTTCCAATAGACAAATCGAGCCCGGAACTTTTTATTTGTGTCTATACCGATGGCGTACTGGCAATTGGCGAAAAACATTATTTTCTCATGGAGAACCCGTCAGCAAAGTCGCCACGACTTATTCCCAAGTGTTCGACACCATTGCGTTTCTTAGAACAAACTTGAGCACCGAGGAACTCTTGCGGCTTGCGATGCGGCCGCATGATCAGGATGCACTTTGGGAGTTAGCCAACGCTTCACTGCTCCCGAAGTATTGGTCATTTCCTCAGATTATTGCTGTGGCGTCGGCGCAGGCCGTTGCTGCACTTGCCGCGAGATGCCCAAATCGCCTCAGGTTCGACTCCAGTATTCGTTTGGAGTCTTCAACAGATACGTAACAAGTGGCGAACTCCAACACCTTTACGATATGATCTCACATCCTGTGGATACGTGCAGCACGGCGTTTGCCATCGTATTTTGTTTAGTAACGCTGACAGCGGCTGGGAAACAATGGAAAAGAACTTGCCTCAAAACTCAGCGAATCTCACCATAAAAGGTTCAGCAGAGCAAATGCTTATTAATGGGGTCATTTCTCCGGAGAATTAGGCTTTCTTGGACATTCACGTTTTACCTGAGAGTATAATAGTTCTTTTAGGGCAACATGCAGTCTGTCGTTGAATTCCAACTGTAGCGCGCCGTCCAAAGTATCGGGATTCCCTGCTAGGGTCCCGAATATGGGCACTGCCCGAGTCGGTATTGACTGAGTTCGGCAAGCGTTGCCGAGACCGGTGATCTACCCAAGCATGCCCAGAGGGCTTCGCTTTGAGCTACGCTTGGTATAGTTATTATTGAGAAGCAAACAGCATTTTGATGCACCATTTGCTCACAAAAATGTTTCGTCATCTCTGATGCAATAAGCCAGCTTTTCTAGGAAGCGAGCCGCAATTGTGGCCTGATCCGCAGCCGTACTTGTACCGAGTAGGCCGGGATGCTGGCGATGGCTTGCCAACCGTTGGAATGCTTCCTCTAACAGCCAGTGTCGGGCGGAAGATATGTTGAAGCAGAACAACTTTGTATAGGGGGAAGGCACATCTGTACTGTGGCTATGGCTATTAACAGGGAAAGGCTGGAAGAACCAAAGACCGGAACAGACGGAGCGGCCACGGCCATTTCCCAAACGCTGAGACTCTACCTACCGTCTCGTGGTGACAAGCCATACACGAACCACGTACTGTTGACAACGGTACGGCGAGCGGTACGGCGAGCGGTACGGCGGATGGCGGGCCGCTAGATCATGGTTTTAACTATGGTCGACCATTATATGTTCCACTGTTTGCCCCCAATTCTTCAAAGGCTGTGAGCACAGCATATCGCAGTGTTAGCCCCCCTTAGCGTCGTCTCTGTGAGACGCTGTCACAATATAAGCCAGGACTGTGGGGCATTGAGCTACAGGTGCCCCCGACTTAGACCCAAGGCCCAGGCCTGGCCTAGGGGAGGTTTTAGGATCTGAGAAACACGTAATAGGATATCAGTATACCTAGGTACTCTTACCAGTTCTGGTGGATACGCTAATAGGATGTGGCACCCAGGTGAGAGAGATAAGCTCAGGGTGAGAGAGTGGGTAGGACGGCCCCTATCGAGCCCTAACCCTCCCTATACGCAGTCTGGTAGATAAAAACGAGGGGATGTGGGACACGCTGCTTCTTTTGGTCCTCGCTCCGCTGGAAGCCCCTGTACCAATCGCGGCCTGCCAAAACACTGAACGGGTAGCGATTACAGTAGCGATTACAAAAACGAACCAAAACCGCTGCCGCGTGTATAGAGTACCTCTCGCCCAAGCTTAGATAGGTACGCGCTCTGACCTGAGGATCGTATAGTCAGCAGGCCCCTTGTTTTGTCTGTCCATCGACCTCGGCGCAGCGCCACAGTCGGTGGAGCTGTTGCAGGGTTGTGAAATCGACTGCACGGTTGCCCTTCGTGTTAGACTGTCTACGCTCCTAAAGTTAGAAGGTCATACAGCAACCGGAAATCGTTGGACATTATGTTGGCTATTTATTAGGGAACATTTCTTGGTTATCTATAAGGAGGCGAGAGGCCCCAGGGGAGCGAGGGCCTAATCTTGGACTTAACTTAGTTATTGCATGCAAAAGGTGGAGCCTACACTCCATAAGGCCGTTCGTACTAGGAACCTTGCTCCCGTGCGCGCTCTTATAAAGCACGCAGTAAAATGGGAACTTTTCCGACGTGGGGCGTATTATATCGAAGTAATGACTTCACCGCTCGGGATGGTCAGCATGCACAAGCCAAGCCATTTGGAAGCCGCTAGTCAATATAGGTTGCGGTGGGGGTCTTGGCCGACGGACTTCATAGGAAGTGATGCGTCGGTCCGAAGGATCGAAGGATTGAAGGATGAGCCTCACTGAGTTTACGGTACGCGACCCTATCAAGTCGGTTGATGGTGGGAGCGCGAATAAGAGGATTGCGTATCTAGCCAAAACGGGGTTGCCTATGCAGTAAGACTCCTGGAAGACCCTCCTCGGGAGTCGACAGCGCGCCTCGCTGGCGGACGGACCCCATAGGTCGACATGTAAGACTTCATTCCGTCTGCCAAAGACATCCCCGCTGTCAGCTACGCAGGCACTCGCCTGGTAGTAGGGCATATATAATGTGACCAAGAAATCTTGAAGCCAACAGATGTTCCTTTCGTCTCAACCAGGTGCATTGTATTGAGCTTCCACTCCCAAACCTGCACTATGGGCCCATACATCACGCTTCCCGACGCCGTGGACGAAGTAGACGTCGTCATCGCCGGAGGTAACAACTTCCTCTCCCACTGCGATCTCTGTTATCCAACCAGCATCTGACGCTCCAAGGTGAGAACAGGAGGCACAGCCGGCTGCGTAGTCGCCGCCCGCCTCGCCGCGGCGCTGCCCTCGCTGTCGCTGCTTCTGATCGAGGGCGGCGCCGACAATGCCGGCAACCCGACGGTGTCCCACCCCTTACTCTTCTTTACCCACCTAGACCCCAAGTCGCCGAACAACATCATGTACACGTCTTCAAGCCCCGAACCGCAGCTCGCGGGCCGCCAGCTGGCGATTCCCGCCGGCGGAATATTGGGAGGCGGCTCGTCGATCAACATGATGGCGTACAGCCGCGCGCTGCTGAGGGACTGGGACGCATGGGAGACTGAGGGGTGGAGGGGCGAGAATATGATTCCGTTTTTGAAAAAGGTTGGTACAGGCACATGCACTCTATGGGCAGTGACAGTTTGCCCGCCGCGCAACGTCACACAGGAGCAAAGCTGACAACCTCGTGATGAAAAGTTCGAGACCTACGTCGGTCCCGGTGACGCAGCCATGCACGGATCCTCGGGCCCCATCCAGGTCTCCCGAGGAACATTCGCCTCGCCCCGGGCAGCGACACAGTTCATCTCCGCCGCGGAGTCGCTCGGCTTCCCCGAGGTCGAGGACCTCAACGACCTCGTGACCGCCAGCGGCGTGCAGCGGCAGCTGCGGTACATTTCGCCCTCGGGCCTGCGGCAGGACGCGGCGAGCCGGTACCTGCGCCCGCTACTAGAAGACGAGCGGCGCCAAAACCTGCACGTGCTGCTGGAGCATAGGGTGGGGAGGGTATTGTTCGAGGGCACGCGTGCCGCGGGGGTTGAGTTCATGGCCAACCCAGAGTTCCAGCGGGACGAGCCACCAAAGGCACGCAGTGTGCGCGCCAGGAAGATGGTGGTGGTGTCATGTGGCTCGCTGGCGTCGCCGTCGGTGCTGGAGCGGTCGGGCGTGGGCAGCGCGAGCGTGCTGCGCCGCGCTAGGGTGGAGCAGATCGTGGCTGACCTTCCCGGCGTGGGCGAGGGATACCACGACCATCCGCTCATTTTACACTCGTACCACACGGCGCTGGAACCGAGTGAGACGATAAACTCTGCGCTGACGGACCCCGAGGTGCTGGGGAAGTGGCTGCAGGAAGGGAACGATATTCTGGGCTCGAATGCACAGGAGGTGGCGTTCAAGGTGCGGCCTAGCGACGAGGATGTCGCGGGTATGGGGAGGGAATTCCAGCATCGCTGGGAGAGGGAATTCAAGAACGGGCCGCCGCGGCCGTTGGTGGGAGGGGCTTTGGTTATGGCGTAGGTTGGCCCCCGGCCACCATGTGACAAGATATTCCTGACTTAGACTGACGACCTTCCAGCTGCCTTGAGGATCCCTCACCGGCACCACGGCAGAACATCTCCATCTCCAGCTTTAACCTCTACCCGGAGTCGCGCGGCTCCCTGCACATCACGGGGCCCAGCCCCAGCGACCCGGTCGACTTCCACAGCGGCATTCTCTCGGACCCGGCCGGTATCGACTTGACGGAACAGGTGTGGGCGTACAAGACGCATCGCGAGATGATCCGGCGCACGCCCATGTACCGCGGGGAGGTGGCCGTGACGCACCCACGTTTCCCAGCCGGTTCTGCGGCCGCGTGTGTCTACTTGGACATAACGGCCGATGCGGAGGAGGAAGAATCGACCAAGCGGCGTCGGGAGCGGCTCACGTACACGGCCGAGGACGACGCAGCGATAGAGCAGTGGTTGCGCGAGCACATCGGCACGGCGTGGCATCCTCTTGGTACGTGCAAGATGGCGCCGCGCGAGAAGGGCGGCGTGGTGGACAAGAACTTAAGTGTTTATGGCGTGCAGGGACTCAAGGTCGCGGATCTGAGTATTGCTGCGGGGGGCATTGGCGCCAACACGTGTAACTCGGCCTTTGCGGTTGGCGAGAAGGCGGCTGATATCTTCATTCGGGAATTGGTTGGAGATAGTCAAGCGTGAGAATCGTCTTAGGCCGACAAGGTGCCATCCAAGGTCAGAAAACTGATTCCCAACGCCCTTAACGTGACAAGTTGTTGACCAAGCAAAAGAATCTGCGCATTTGTCATGATTCAGGAATCTGGGAGGTGCTTAACCATTTGAGAATAGGAAGAAGCGCGTATTGATGTTCCGGGTCGATAGCCGTATTCATTGCGGATCTCGGCAAATCCGTCACTGCCATCTCTATTCGATGACGAGATGCTAGAAAGCGGGGACGGCGCCCTGCAGGAGGGGAACTTTTAGGTGGGCATTCGAGGGTGGGTTACTCTCGACCCGCACCTGCCCAGATAGACGCTCCTTTCCGCCGAAGGGGAAGTACTTATTGACATCATGTCTCCTTGAAACTTCAAGCTGTTCTACTCTTCAAGGTCAGAGCTGTGTTCCTTCGTCCTCGCACATACAAGGACAGATTGTAGAGCTGCACCGATCTACAATGTCGTCTGAAAAGATCTTTTTCGTTGACCTGACAAGCCAAAATGGCACGGCGTGATCGTTGGACCCTTGGAGAAGTACTTTCGATAACACAACATGAAACCGTAATTGGAAACAGCATCTAACAATACCCATTTCGTCTTCTGCTGAACCTCAAAGGCATCGAATACGAGACATATTGGGTACGATATCGATGCTCTCCCTAAGGGAAATCGACTGTCTCAAGAGCTGGAACTGATCCTTCTGCAGGTCGGATACTCCGAAATCCATGATACCCTCGACGGACTGTGAGTGACTCTTCAGCTTTCGTGAGGCGCGAGGGATATTAGACTACCCGAGGGCGGCATGACGACATGAAGTTTCATGGGAATATTTAGCGCGTGGGGTTTCCCGTGGGTTATTTAATTACGCCCAGTCAATTTCCATCGACAAAGTATGCTCAGGACCAGACCGACATCGCCCTCGGTGTGGTTGCGCCTCTCTCTTTTTCTTTTTTTTTTCCCGGGCATTCAGCTGGCTAGGAACTCGAATACACAGCCTAATTAGCCGTGACCGCCGTCGTCAGTCTAAGAATCCCAGTTGCCACAAGATTTTCATCAAGTTTTGCACAGCAATCATCTATTGTACTTATGCAACACACTCTTTGCATTCGCTCTGGAATGGCTTGTTTCCAAATGAGGCGTAACGCCGCGGCAGGCGTCCAATTTAGGCCCTCTTGTCTTGCTTCCCCTAAGATGCGGGGCAAAGTAACCCCGACACTGGGCCTTATAAGGGCGAGCCGCTTTGAAAGCCTCACGTTCGTCTGAAGAAAACCACAAACGTCACAGAAAAGCACAAAAATGCTGTGTGAAACCTGCTTACAGATTCCCCTCGACCCATTTCTGCCTCACGAGGCTTGGGGGTCGTACCGAAACGGCCGAGCCTGGTTTGGAAACGCCGTAGTTAGGGACGGCAAGGACTGTGTCGACCAACTGCGCAAGTCAAGCGAGGCGGGATGCCACCTGTGCACCCTCATCTTGGGCGCGCTGGACGGTGCAGAACCGGCTTGGGCCACCAACGAGTTCACCGGCTCGGATCACAGGCAACTGCTACACGAGCCCCGGCAACGGCGAGAAGAGGGGCAGTTGCTAGAAGCTCTTCAAATTGGCGTGCTAAAGGAGGGAGAGGTTATCATCACCGACGGCGATCGCACCGCTGGGCTGTATTGGGAGCTTGAGAGCTTGAATTACGGACATAAACAACGTACTTGCGCCCGCGCTCTCAAATGAGTTCTAATCAAGCGAATCGAGCTAACTACGTTACTCATAGTCCCCGTCCATGACCGAGTGGACTGCGAGAAAAACTTCGCCCTGGCAAAAAGCTGGATCCAGACGTGCATTCAACAGCATGATGCCTGTCGGTCCGGCAGCGAGCCCGAGTTCCTCCCGACCAGGTTGATTCACGTCGGCGATCCTGCCCAGGGGAAGCCTCCGCGTCTCGTTCTCACTGCCCACTTCCCCTTTCCCGAGCAAACTCATTATCTCGCGCTGAGTCACTGCTGGGGGACGGACAGTGGAAAGACAGTGACCAAGACGATGACGTCCACGCTATCCGCACAACTCGAGCGTATCGATGCCGAGAGCTTGCCTAAGACGTTCCGCGACGCTATGGAAGTAGTCCGCCGCTTGGGCTATCACTATCTCTGGATCGACTCTCTCTGCATCATACAGGATGATAAGAAAGATTTTGAGGTCGAGTGCAGCAGCATGCACCTTGTCTACTCGCAAGCGTTATGCACCATCGTAGTAGGTGCCCTTTGCCTCGCACACCCACCCGGCCGTGCGTGAACCTCCCCGAAGAATTTGTGTTGACATCATCATTCCAGGCCGCAGATTCACCGGACGGAGACGGCGGCTGTTTTGTCCCCCGGAACCCTCTCATGGCCAAGCCGTGCGTTGTGACCCTCAAGAATCTCCGTCGCCCTTACTACCGCACCAACGGTATCATGGACGTCATCCGAGGTCGCTTCCCCAATGAGCCCGACGAAGCCCAGGTTACCATCTACCCTAACTTCGGCCCCTGGGTCCAGGGCATCCAGCGCGGCCCCGTGTTCCGACGCGGCTGGTGCCTCCAGGAGCGCGAGATGAGCCCGCGCGTGCTGCACTACACCAGGGACCGCCTGATGTGGGAGTGCCGCGAGTGTACCGCGTCCGAGGACAAGCCCGAGCTGGCGGCCAAAAAACAGACGAACGAGTCGCTAGCGGCCCATCTGTCCAGCGCCCGCTTGCTGGACGATAAGGACCTGCACGCCGTCTCCAAGCTGGCCAGCCGCGTGCAGCTCAAGTCGCACAAGTGGGACAGGCTGGTCGAGGCCTACTCAAGACGCCGGTTGTCGGTGGCCACCGACAAGTTGCCGGCTATCTCGGGTATGGCACGGGTCCTCGCGGAACGCCAGCCCGATGAGTATTTCGCGGGGATCTGGAAGGGGAACTTGCTCAAGGGCTTGTCGTGGTTCCCGCACAAGTCTCGCGACCCGGCGCTGGCGCTTGTCCCTGCCGAATCCTGGCCGCCGGGCCCGGTTGATGCCGGAATCCCATCGTGGTCGTGGGCCGCATACGACGGTCCTATCACGTTTGTGGGCGATTCGTGGTTCAGCGGCGGATGGAGTACCATCGTTGGTCCTGATGGGAAGGACCAGTGGGTGAAGAGCGGACCTGAGATTAAGGTCGAGTCCGTCTCGGTAACGCACGACAGCATGGACACGTTTGGGAGGGTTGCCGGGGGAGAACTTCTCCTCGGGGGGTGGGTAGCCGGGTTAATGCTGAATGAAGCTTGCCTGATCGAGTCGGAGACTGCAGGTCAGTCGAAGAAACCGCCATTTGCATCCAAGTGTTACAGCGTTCCCGTGGACGAGACAGCGACGGTTACAGTCTTCTTTGACTACGACGTAGCGGAACTGCCAGTTGACACCACTGTTCTCTGCTTACAGCTTGGGACCGGAATCAGCGTCAGGGGTGGGAATCCAAAGGCGGATACGGGGTTGGCACTGATGGTGGCATCAGCGGGATCGTTCCGAAGGGTAGGCATGTTTGAAATTACGGGCAATAAGTCGCGATGGCACGATATGAGAAAGCGGGAGATTGTCCGGATTGTCTAGTACACCGGACTCCCCTGTCGGCACAGACCGCGCTGAACGAAGCGCGAAACGCATCAAGACCGTTCCTAATGGGATTTCCCTCGATGATAGTTGACCTCGATTACGGTACGATTACGAATGGCATGCTGTCAATGTGAGCTGGAAAGAAGCGAAAGGGAATTTCTCGTCCTTTTAACCTTTTTAGCTCGAGCCCAACCGCCACGCTGCAGGACTGCGCCACTTAGTGGCGCTAGGCATGGCGGACGTGGTGGCCGCCGTTTGGGCAGCGACAGTTCGCCCACCATGCGTCCATTCATGCCCCTGTCGTTGCAAGCTTTCCCCGCCGGCGCGCAGTGTCCATTTCCCTCATTTGCCCTTACCGAACTTCGCCGCGACTGCATGGTCATATCCCGGGCTAGAGCTTGAAACTTGTAGTCGCCATCACGATGGACCCCGTCAGCGGGCTCGCCTTGGCGTGCAACATTCTGGACATGATTGAACGTGGGTACAAATGTGCGGCCACTATTAAGAAGCTGCACGATTCGCAAACCGGCCTCCTGAAGCAACACGAAATGCTTGTCGGCGAAACCGACACACTCTCTGACATTGCCGGCGAGATTGATACACTCTCCGATATTGCCGGTGCGTTGGAAAAGACCCAGCAGGAAATCCTCAAATCGCCAGTCGACAAACGGATGAGCGAAATCGCCAAGAAATGCCTGTCTATTTGCGCTGCCATCCAAACCCTCGTCAACAAGTGTAAACCGGAAAAGGAGGGGTCTGTCCGCTCTGCCACAAAAGCTTTCGTTTGCATCCGTTTGCGGAAGTCGGACATAGAGACGCTGCAGTCGGAGCTCGCGAGCGCCCAGAAGATAATGGACTCTTTGGTGATGACTAAAACGCTGTATGTTGCGGCCTCGGACCCCTACATTGACTCACAAGCTTCTGACGAACTTGAATCTAGGAGAGACATGACTAGGCTCAGCGAGTAGCTGGGTGACGTGTAGCAGAAAATCGAGAAGAATGCCCGTCAATCGAGATCCCAAATATTGGAGGTTTCCGACACGCTCCGCGTGCTGTCCAGCAGCCTCAATAAGGCAGCTCAGTCCAATGACTCTGGCCAGTCCAGTTCGGTCCTTGAAAAGCTCCAGGAACTCCTCTGTGCCGCCACCGAGGCCACTGAGGCCTCCAAGATCAGCCAAGTTCTAGACGAGCTCTATTTTCCAACGATGAAGGAGAGGTTCAGCAATGTTGGCGAGATTGCCCCACGGACATTTGACTGGATCTTCAAGGATTCGGGTACCTTTCTTGATAAGCAACCGGGCTCAAAGATCACTTTCCGGGACTGGCTGAGATCAGGCACCGGGATATTCCACATTGAGGGCAAACCCGGGTCGGGCAAATCGACCCTTATGAAACATATATGCGACCACCACGAGACTGAGAACTTCCTCCGCGAATGGGCCGGAGAGAAAAGGCTCATCACATGGAGATTCTTCTTCTGGAGGCCAGGGACCCCCGAGCAGAAATCCCTCCGCGGGCTTACCCGCGGCCTTCTCTGGGGAATAATTCGACGGGAACGTCAGCTCGCCAAGTTACTCTTTCCTAGGCTGTGGCGGCCGACCGAGTTCCCGGAGTCTCCCCCCTCGCAGTTCATCGATTTGTCCGACGAGGACGTCGATAAGGCACTTGGTCTGCTGGTAAAGGACCCTGAGGTGTTGAAGAAATATCGCTTTTGCTTCTTCGTCGACGGTCTTGACGAATTCGAAGAAGACAACAGAGTTACGTAGTACCAACTTACGCAGCATCTACAGCAATGGGCGTCAAGCCCGTGCCGGAACGTCAAACTTTGCGTCTCAAGCCGCCAACTTCCTGTCTTTTCCCACGCCTTTTCGCCAGCCCAAAGGCTCACCATTCATCTCTTCACCCACGAAGATATTGTGGCGCTTGTTGATGAGAGGTTAGAGCAAAATGGTGCGTTTCGAGAGCTAGCCAAGTCCGAGAAGTATCGATGCGGTCAGATGGTTGCTCAAGTCATTTCGAGGGCTGAAGGAGTTTTCCTCTGGGTTTGCATAGTGCTTAACCGGCTCGAAGATTCGTTACGCAATGGAGATTCGATCACCATGCTGGAAAGCATCGTAAAAACTGCACCCACCGAGTTAGACGACTTATTCAGCTATATACTCACCTCCATTCCGCTGCACTACCGCCGCCAAGCATTCATCATGCTTGCACTAGCCATGCGGTTAGATGACTTTCTGCTATCGGAAGAACTGAGAGACTCTGACTCTAGGGCTGGAAAGCCTGAATATGAAAACAGCGGCTGGAGGCTTAGCTTGTTCTCATGTTCCTACCTTCTCGAGGGTTTGGACGATAAGAGCAAGAGCCTCGAAAAGGTCGTGAGAAAGGTTCCTAAGTCTCTTCCCAACAACACTGCCGACTTTCGCACTCGAGTTGAACTTGGAAGTCGGGGGGTCGCCGCCCGGTGTAAGGGACTTCTTGAGAGGCGGGATGGGATGGTTGTATTTATCCATCGCTCTGTCCCTGAGTTCCTCCAGAAATTCCTCGCCAAGACGCTTCCAACTCCTGAGTTCAATGACGAGATCGCTACTTGCACACTCGCCTGGATGACGCTCATCGATCTTAGTTACCGGGAGAAAAAGAAACTGTATGGACACGCCAACAAGGAGCCTTACCTCATCTTCGATTCACAGGGAGACAAGTATGACCCGGAGAAGAAAGACCTGTGCGCACCTACTGTCTTGATTAACAAACGTCTCCATCCCGGTGCACAGCTTGATTTTTACCTTCCCATGTTATTATTCCAGATTGGACGAGTTCCTGCCACCGACCCTGAGTTGATTATGCCGCTTTTGCAGCAGATCGAGCAGGAACTCTTATATCACCAATTCGGGATCAGGACGTTCAATGAAATCCCTGAATATCAACGCCACTACTACGACATGGTCAGTTTGTATTCAAGTGCCTGCGTCGGGGGTCACAATGAACTCATTTGTTGGGACCATGAGAACAAATCCCTCTCTCTCACAAGGGGCCAAGACTGGATGATTGCAAATCTTCTTGGATCGGTGATCCACAGGCTTCCGTTTTATCGCGGCGGAACGACTGTGGAGTTTTACCTACACCGCGATACGACCATTGTAGAATATTTCTTCCGGGCGGGTGTCTCCGCCGCAACACAAGTTGACCTCAACCCTCATGATCTACCCAGGATAGGATCTCCAGCACTGCGCTCTGAGCTTGGGGTAAAGCCTCTGCTACCTAAACCAAGCCACCGGTCCCCGGAGGACTCGATTCTCCTGGAGGGAACTGCCCATAGGGCAACCCTGCGAGATCTGTTCGTTGTTTCTCTCCTAATCAAGCCTCGTTACAAATTCACGGAGAGATTTCATCTTTGCCTGTATCCCTTCCCGCCTGTTTTTGGGGAAATGCTACAAATTTTCATGAAGTATGGCGCGACCTTTTCGATAACGATGTCACTAGACGATCTATACCGCCGAAAGGAATTTGATCCCGATCGTGACATTGAGCTGCTGCCATCTGATTCAGAGAGCTACGACGACGACGATGATGATGAGGGAAACGGTAACACTTGGCTTATGACGGGCCGACCAAAATACCAAATTATGAGGCGGATCGGCCTTACAAGGGACGGAAATTGGAGGAAGCTCATCACATTTGATGGTGTTATAGGTTCTTCTGCCGAGCAGCTACGGTCATTTTGAGAATTACTAATTTCCTCTGGCGGCTCGATCACACTGGGCGAGTTTCTGCGCTTCATAGGCGGCCCATGTTTGGACGTGCCAGTGTCACCCGTTGATGATGCTCAGCCCGATGGCGGTCTCGCAGCGGCTCCTAGTTCTTCACCCGACGAAAGTTTCGCGGCCGCGCCTCTGGACGTCGAACGCAAACAACAACCACAACAACAGCGGCGGCAGCAGCAGCAGCAGCAACAACAAACCAAGGAAACTTTGGAAAAGGCAGAGACATCCGGCAACGAGGATCTTGGAAGCCAGGCTACCAAACAGCCAGGCCTTTTCCCTTGGGTAACGCTAGGTAAGTAGCGCAATAATTACCTCGCCTTCGAAGTACCTTATTAACACCTAATTAGCAGTTGTGATGCTGGCAGCAATTCTAGCTTATTTCCTACCAGCATTCTGTTAGTTCGGCTGGTCTCCCTGCTCCGATATTGTGGGACGGGCTACCGTGGAAAAGGTAAGACCTCTTTACCCAACTAAGCAAATGATTCCTTGACCCCTCGTCCGTCTAATAGAGACACTTTCCCCACGAGACCCTGCCCCTGATGTTGGATGTCGCGATGAGAAATAACGCTGACCTGGAGTTATGGCAGTGTTTCCAAAGCCCCTGTGTCTAAATCGTGGGGACAAGCCGGTGCCGGGGCTGAGGCAAGACCTTACGGGTGGGAATGACATCTCGGAGCAAGGGCGGCGTGTTGTAAGGGATAATGTTGGGTTGCCGGGTGTGAGCGGTCGTGAGGGAGCGCCGGTGGCTAGGGGTAGGGGGATTTTAGTTTAAGGGGGATTTCATAGGTAAACAGGCGGAGTTTGTACCGAATCAGGGGTCTTCGTTGGGAGGGACACGGCCTTGGTCAGTAGACGAGACGAGGAGGATGAGGGAGTGATCAAAAGGTACAGAATTGCCTCAGTACTGCAGTCTACTCTTCACAAATGCCTCGTGCACTGCCCACTAACTTTAAAAAACGCCTGTGTAAAAGTACAGTAGAACCCAACCAGGCCAACCCAGCATCTCACAGTCCCACCGACCGCTTCAGAAACTCATACCCGTCCTTAAGCGCCGCAACAGCCCCCGGATGCCGGTCATACCGCGGATAAAGATCAAACAAATGAACCGCCTTATCCACAATCCTCACCTCAGCCTGGACCCCCCTCGCCTGCAGCTCCTCGACCGTCCGCTGCGCCTGCTGCCATGGAATCAGATCGTCGTCCACCGGGTGCACCAGAAACGTCGGGGTCTTGTAATTGCCCAGCCGTATCTGAGCGAGCGGGCTAATCGATGCTACCTGCTCCGGCGTTGGCGTCGGCAGCATGGGCGTCCCCTTTTTGGTCTCACCGTCTTCCTTGTTGAGCTGCTGAGGTTTCCGCAAACCATGCACAAGCACCTCCACCGTCTTCCCCCGCCAATTCATAAACAACGCAATCCTCGACCGCTTATCCCCCCTCGCCATCCACCCGCCCTTTGCCAGTGCCGCGGCCGGCGGGTTATACCCCACAATCGGCGCGTCTTTCACTCCCTCCCATACGTCCCACTCTTCCCCCTCTTGGATGTCCTCCCCAAAGGGTAGGTTAACCCTTCCCCAACACTCATCCTCATAATCACTAGGACAATAAAACCCCAGCACCGCCTCCGGCGCCTTCAGCCCGGCTGCGGGGGCTGTCCAGCCTAGACTAAGCGCCAACATCCCCCCCGTCGACCAGCCGATTGCTACAACACGGGCCCCATCAACAGACACATCTGGTCTATACCGCCGTGGGGAATTATCCGAGTGCGGGAGGGTATGCCGTGCCCAAGCAAGCGCATCACACACATCAGTCATAGGCCCCTCGAGGAGTGTGGTTTCCGGACAGAGACGGTAGTCGATGCTGATGGGGAGGAAGCCGGCGGTGAGGAGGAGAGTGGTTTGGGTCGGGCGGATGTCGCGGCGGGAGAGGAGGATGTGGCCGCCGCCGTGGATCATTAGAGCTATTGCCGGGGGTTGTGTGAGATGGAGATATAAAAGGGGGGGCTAGAAACGGACGGCCTCACCGACGGGACGGGGTTTGCTGCCGGGGGGATCTAGGGTTGGTGGGTAGTAGATGTCGGCGTGCAGGGCGAGGGGGCCTGATTGTTTGAAGACGACGGTTTCTTGCTGCGGAAGCGGCTCCTGCTGTGGAAGCGGAAGCGAAACCGGAAGCGGAGGATGCGATCGCGGAGACGAAGACGTAGATGCCACGATCAAGCGGAGGATACTTGCTTCTGCACTCCTCCCATCAGACCAATCAACCCACTCAAACCCCGACTCCAACAGCACCCTCTGCCATCTTTCCTCCGACGCCAGGGCGTGACTCCGACCATCCTCAAACAGCCACCAGCCCTCGAGCAGACCAAACACCAAATCAAACCAGAACAGGTTCTGCGTGAGTTCCACCAGACACAGCAGCCCACCGTCGCGCAGCATGCGTCGGATGTGGGTGCACGAACGGGTCAGGTCCCGCGTGGCGTGGATGCAGTTGGTGGAGATGATGATGTCGAACTGGCCGAGTAAATCGGCGCGGGGGGTCTGTTCGATGTCGAGGACGGCGTACTCCATGAAGGGGTACCGCGCGAACTTCTTTTTGGCTGCTGTGATGAGGGAGGAGGAGAGGTCGGTGAAGGTGTAGCGCAGGTTGTGCTGCTGGCCTAGGCCTGAGGCTGTGAGGTGCTCGAGGAGGTGGCTTGTGGTACCGCCGGTGCCGGCGCCGAGCTCGAGGATGCGAATTTCGCCGTGGTTGCGATTCTGCAGATGTTGTGTGAGGGTCTCGGCGAGGAAGCGCGCGAGGAACAGGGTGCCGGCCTTGAACATGGGCGCGTTGGTGTACACGTCTCCGAGCAAGCGGCGGGCTTCAGCGTTGCCGAAGAGCAGGGATATGGGGTCCGCATGGCCGGAGAGACAGTCGGCCAGCCGGGAGCCCGTCGTGTGCAGGAGGGAGTGTTCCGAAACGTGCTGGGGGAATTGTTGGAGGATTTTGGAGTGTAGGTCCGACGAGGTGGTCTGCGGCGTCGGCTGGGATGTTCGTCTGCGAGTTCCCCCGCCGTCGACGTTGACGAGCCCGGCGTCGTCGAGGATGCGGTAGATCTGCGCCATGACCTTTTCGTGTCTCGGCAGGTGTTGGACTGCGGGCAGAGCATCGCCTGGCTGGAGGGTCCTGAGGTCGCAGCCGAGTCTAGCTAACGCCTCGATTACGTAGGCTACTACGAGCTGCGCCTGGTGGGGATACACGTTTTGGCGGAAGCGTTGCAACTGACTCTGTTGGACGACGGTGTCGTATGTGTCTCTGTTGCTCGCCAGCCATTCACTGGCTGCGTCGGCCACGGCACTTCCGCCGAAGTTGCCAGTGGGTGCTTCTTCGTGACGGACTACTCCGTTGACTCCGTTGGTCACGGGCGGAGGAGTATCCAAGCCAGTGGTTTCAGGAGTTGCAAGGCCTACCGACTCGTTCGACTCGTAACCACCCACCTGAAGCTCCAGGCAACGGGACAGTGACTGAACATCGGTGAGCTCCTGCAGCTGGCTGAGCGGAATGTCGACGGAAAAGTGTTTCTTGAGCTCGCCGGCCAGCTCGGTAATCATCAGCGAGTCCACACCGAGATCCTCCAGGGGAGAAGTCGGCTGGATTTCGGCCAACTCGGCACCCAGGACCTCGCTCAGCAGATTTCGTAGCGCATCGAGAAGGCGGGGCTTTTTTACCTCGTCGACTGATTCCGAGCGTGGGACTTGCGGGAGTGTCCCGTTCGGGATGTCTTGAGAATAGGTAGCCCCTTTTACCTCGTCAAGTGATTCCTCCTCAGGCGGCGGCGTGGGAAGAGAACGCGAAGCCGGCCTGGGGCTGCTGCCGTTCAGCTTCGACAAGGCCCTGTACAACGACGACATGGACACTCGGGTGAACTCGGCGTCGAGTATGGCCAGGACGACGTCGCCCGAGACGGGATCCAGGACCAGAATGTCGTTGGCGACGGTGTTTTTGTTTTTGCGCTTGGCATCCAAGTTGGAGTAGACCTTCCAGGCGCCGCTCGCACTTAAGCTAGTGGTAGCCGAGTTGGAAGACTTGCCGGTGTCGCTGTTGTTCAGCCCGGCCATAAAGGTGTCGCTCCAGAGCACCTCCCCGATCGCAGTGCAGACAAAGACGTCGTCGTCGGCTCGGTCTCCAGTCAGGCAGTTGACGTGGATGCCCGCAACCTGTAAAAAGTTGTCGACTGCCAGGGGGTTCGACACGCCTAGTAGAGACTGAGTAGAAGACCCCGGCATAACCACATCCCCAACAACCTCCCCGTTCGCCGCCACAATATCTCTCACCCCCTGATAATGAGCCGCATAATTAACAATCCGGCCAAAAACGCGATAAATAATATCTCCCGACAACCGGTCCGCCCCAGGGGCCAGAGCAACCTGCTCGTTCCGGGAACTGCCCCCCATCAGCCGGCCGAGGAAGCGGAAGCGCGAGGCTACGGCGGTGGAGTCGGCTTCGAGGAAGGAGACGGTGCCTTGGGCGTGGGTGGTTCGCGAGGATGAGGGCGATGGTGTGCCTGAGGAGGAGGAGGAGAAGAGGGAGAAGTTCCATGTCGAGGTGCTACCTCCTTTCTCAGCAGCACCAACAGGGATGAGGGAGAGATATAACCGTCCGTCGGGTTTTAGTGCGAGGGGGGAAAGGATGCGCAGGTTCTCGAGACGAGGCACCGCCTTGTCGGGAGAAGGTTGGAACGATCTGGCTGCGCGAATCACAAGCTCAAAGTACATGGACGCCGGGCACAGGCTCTGCCCCAGCACGGCGTGGCCACTGACGCATGCAATGAAGTCATCGTGAGACGCATCCACAGCGAAGAGGGCCTCGTCACCTGCCTTGCGGTGCTGCTGCCCGGGCACCAAACGCACCAGCGCCGGTGGACCAGAGTCGGCAGACGAGTCCGACTCAGGGGTTGTTGTGTCGACTGCGCCCCGCCGTGCAGGCGCCTCAAAGTCGATCCAGTGCTTGGTTTTTGCGAACTGGTAGGGCGGTAGGTCGACCCAGGTATGTTGTTTCTGATGGGACTGATGGAACGGCCAGAAGGTGGCGGCAGACCCGGCTGTCCAGAGGCTGGTCACTGCCCGTGCCAGACCGGGCCAGGGGTTGTTGTTGTTGTTGTTGTTGTTGTTGTTGTTGTTGTTGTTGCTGCCCAGGTCCAGCGGCAAAAAGACATGTCCCGTCGACGTAGGCAGAGCACGGCGCGCCATAGCAACAACAGGCGAAGCAGAGCCAGCCTCGAGCCAGACGCACCCGGCCGGGTAGCGCTGAGCAATGCGCTCGACGGCGGCGCCGAAGTGGACTGTATCACGGGTGTGTGACGCGATTTGGCTTGCGGCGTCTTCCACGTCCACCGGCTCCCCGACGACGGCCCAGCTGCTGCTCTTAAGGCCTGGCGAGCACATCTCGATGGGGATAGTCGGCGGCCGCCATGTGAGCGACGCAGCCAGGGCTCGGAGCCGGTCGAGAATGGGGTCTGCGAGGCGCGAGTGGTACGCGTGGCTGTTGCTGAGCCGGGACACCCGGATGCTGCTGCTGCTGCTGCTGCTGCTGCTACTCTTCCCACGTAACACCCCCTCAACAGCATCCACAGCCGCCGTCTCCCCCGCCAGCACAACACTCCTCGGCCCATTCCAACACGCCACATCCAGCTTCTCACCAATCCCCCCAGACACACCCTCCAACAACCGCTCAACATCGACTCCCCCCTCAACCCCCTCAACAGCCAGCATCGCACCGGGATCATTCCCCCACAACCCCCCATCCTCAATCAACGCCGCCCGCCCAGTAACCAGTCTTAACCCATCCTCCACATCCAAAACCCCGGCCACACACAGCGCCGTTAACTGTCCGAAACTGTGTCCCAGCAGCGCAGCCGGACGGACACCCGCGTCCAGCCACGTACGCGCGGTGGCGTATTGGATTGAGAAGAGCGCCGCATGTAGCGCGACTAGACCCCCGTTGTTGTTGGTGTCGAAGGGGGATGCGTCAAAGATCCGTGGGATGAGGGGGGGTAGACCTAGGCTGCGACAAGCGGTGTCGCAGCGGGTGAGGTGGAGGTTCAGTGAGTGGGACTGCTCGACGACTTCCTGCGCAAGGTGGATGGTGCGGCCGGTTTGGCCGCCAAAAGTCAGGACTACGGGCAACGGGCTGCTGCTCTTGGGGTCGGCGCGGGATGTCTGGGATAATGCCACGGGACGCGTGCCGGAGGCTAAGGCGTCGAGGTCCTGGGAGAGACCGGAGAGGGTGGAGGACGTCCATGTTGCGATGTGCTGGAAGGAGGGGTTGAGGTTGAGTCTGCGTGCGAGGTGGAAGGCGATGTCCTTTAATGAGGGCTGTGTCTTGGTGCTGATGCCCGCGGGTATGGTAAGCTGTCGGTCGAGGTACGACTTGAGCGCGGCGGCGTAGTTTCGCACACTCTCTGGTGTTTTGGCTGCTATAGCGAGGGGGTACTCAGTCGTATCATTCGTATCGACGTCCGCCGACGAGTCCGCCGAGTCCGCCGAGTCAGAACAGTACTCCTGGAGGAGGATGGCCGCATTGCTCCCAGCAGCGCCATAGTTATTCACCAGCGCCGTGCGTTTCCCCCCATCCACCGTCTCCCAGGGCCTTCGCTGCGTGGCAATCGCCAACTTATCCGGTCCCAGCGGCGGGATCTTGCTGTTCAACCGGGAAAAGTTGGGCTGCTTCGGGATCACCCCGTGCTGCATCATCAGCAACGTCTTGATACACCCCGCCACCCCCGACGCAGCCTCCGTGTGTCCGATCACGTCCTTGACCGACCCAATGGTTACTTCCTGCTGCCGATGCGCTCCTCCCAGCGCGCTGCGGATGCTGGCGCACTCGATCGGGTCTCCTACAGGGGTCCCCGTGCCGTGAGCCTCGACATACGTGACGTCGGAAGGCGCCACGCCAGCGCTGGCCAGGGCTTGCGAATACAGTTCGCTCTGGGCCGCTGAATCCGGAACCGTGATGGGGCTGCAGTTGGAGCCCTGGTTTACCGCTGTACCCAGAATAGTGCCCAGCACGACGTCCCCATCGGCCAAAGCTTGGGCAAGCGGTTTGAGCACCAACACCCCGGCGCCTTCGCCGCGGCAATATCCATCTCCCTGCGCATCAAACGCCCGAGAGGCCCCCGTCGGGCTCAAAAACGAAGCCGCTGCCAGGTTCTGGTACAAGCTGGGGCTGGTGATGAGGTTGACGCCCCCGGCAATGGCGACGGGGCATTCCTTTGTTTGCAGGGCCTTGACAGCGTGATGAATGGCCACCGCCGACGACGAGCACGCCGTATCAAACGTCACCGACGGCCCGGTCCACCCAAAGTGATGGCTGACCTTGCCACTGATAAAAGCACGCAGCGTGCCCGTGGCCGAGAACGCCGTTGCGTTGTCCGAACTGACGTTGGCCTCGTAGTCGACCGAACCAACCCCCATGTAGCACCCAACCCGTTGAGGCTGACCATCGTCACGTCCGCCGGCGTAACCAGCGGACTCGATGGCCTCGTACGCGACTTGGAGTATCAATCTCTGCTGGGGATCCATCGATGCCGCCTCGCGCGCCGAAACCTGAAAGAACCGGTGGTCGAACGCCTCCGGGTCCGATACAAAGTTGCCCCAGAAGGGGCCCTTGGGCTCTCGCCAGAGCTCGTCGGCGCGGAACCGGCTGGGGGGGACCGGCCCGACGGCGTTGCGTCCGGAGGTGATCAGCTGCCAGAACTCGGAGAGAGAGGGGGCTTGGGGATATCGGCATGCCATGCCAATCACGGCGATGGCATCGCCCCGGAATGGCGGTTCGGAGACCGGACGAGGAATTGAGGTCCCATATGTCCCATTCACCCCGTTGACCACTGCCGACTGGCGAGGCAGGGTGGGGGTGGATTTCCCGCCTGCGTTGCCGGGGACCAGGGATCGAGGAACCGCTCCGGGCCCTCCGATAGCGACCATGTTGACGGGCCGATCACCACTCCCTGCAACAGCCGCCCGTACCGTCTCAAACCACTCGCATTTCTGCGTAAGAGTGTTATCTATGGCCATATCCGACAACTCCCCCCGGGTGATGACCCGGTGGCCATCAGCAGAAGCAGTCGATCGAAGCGGCAGAACCAAATGTTCGGCCGTCGGGAACCGGAAATCCTCGTTCTCCCGACACAATGCCTTCAACTCCCGCACCAGTGCCTCGCGGTCCGGCCTGGCCTCGTGGTATCGCCCATACAAACCGACTGGCTGCAGGATCGGGCCACCGCCGTCGGCAAGTCGTTGAGAGAACTCGGCTAGGCGGCCCGAGGGGAGGGTGATGGTCACTCGGTCGACGTCCGTTGCACAAGAAATGTAAGCCTAGGTAATAGGGCCAAGTTAGTCAGACTGTCAGGCTGCCCGTCTTTCATCCTTCACATCTCACGGAAATTCACCAAGTCAATTCGCCAGACACAAAGTTACACTCACTTCCGGGAACGACGCAAGCGTCTCTTCCAAGCACTGCCTTTCAGCCTCCGAAGTCCAGCGCACCGAGTATGCCGCGTTGAGTCCCAGCGATCCCGGCCGTCGCAACTGTTCGTGCTCCCCGAGATCAATCGCCGCTCCGACGCACGCCGCAAGCCGTACGGCGATGCCAGCCAGTCGCGCCAGCTCCTCCTTATTCCGCGCGCCAGCCACCGCCGTCGCGGTCAGGAAACCGATGCAGAACCCCTGGACGTGGATGGCCCCCTGGCGCTGGTCTAGGAAGCGGAGGTGCTCGACAACGTGGGAAATCACCGTCAGCGGAGCGAGGAGGGCGTTGTTAGGCGGTTCACTCGAGGGGATTGCGCCACCGTTGTCGGCAAAGAATTCTGCGAGCTGCTGCAGTCGCTGCTGGATCTCAGAAACTCCTCCTCCTCCTTTGAGTTCGAGGTCCCCCCGGGAGCCGGAGGCCAGGGCCGCGAGGCTGGGACAGGCCATTTGCACTGTGGTCGCCCACTGGGAAGGTAAGTCGCGGACTGCCTTGGCGAGGAAGTCGAGGTTGGGATCGCCTAGGATTGTGGTTCGGAGGTCAGTTAGGTGGGACTCGGTGAGCCGGGTTAGCTGCGGTCCGAAGAGCAGCAGCGATGGACCTGAGGCAAGGCCATCGTTATTGCTGCTGGTATTTGTTGCGTGCATTGTTAAAGCTGCCTGGGTAAGGTAGGCAGTAGGTAGGTATGCCGGGTTGAAGCTTTCTGCTGATTGGTGTATCGTGAAGATGAAGTTTCGTGTAGTTGAAACACTGGCTTCGGTGAGCTTGCTGCTAGTCGGAAACCTTGGGCCGCTGTGAATATGATGGGGCGAGTGGCCGTTGTTTATTAAAAGGCTGTTCTTGAGCCTTTGGCAACATAGTTTTCCTGCCCTAGTTGCTGTGCAAAGTGTGTATGATTACCCAGTTCAGCCTCCTCATCTCGGAGTTGCGACCTTACTATCGCAAGCCCCATGGGCCCATCGCCCTTGACCCGACACAGCGACGACATGTCCGGGTCTTTTTCCTCGTATAGTCCAGACTTGTTCGCCGCCCATACCTTTCAATGAGAATATACCGATATACCGGCGACTTGTTTTCTTCTTTTCCGTTTCGGCCTTTATTTCCCTACCCCGGATTGCCCTTTTCGGATACTCTCCCCCCGTTTCCCGAAGCTCACTGGCCAGATAAGAAAAGCCACCGGCAATACGAGCAATGCGAGTTATGCGAATACCGGGAAATATTTACAGCGCCGGGCCAGGCGACAGTTTGAGCCAGATGGATTAGTAATTTTTTTCTAGTATTCCACCCCTTGCGTCTTGCATTCGAGGCTGGACTGCGATCCCGGAGTCCGAGAAAACGCCTCTACCTTGGACATGTCACATCTACGCTACCTTTTCCCCTTCCACATCCCCCTCAACATTTCCCATACGCTTGGCTCTAGTTCCAGGCTGCCTAGTTCCAGGTTGCCCTTGACCCTTGGTCACCTAACATGTTTGACAGCCGCTCGCAGCCCATAACGCCTCTGGCGTTCGCGGGCCTCGGCCTAGGCCTTCTCTGCTGGGCGTTTCTTCACCAGTTCCGGGTATACTACCGCCTCCGGCATTTTCCCGGTCCCTTCTTTGCTCGTTTCACAAACTTGCAACGCGTCTTCTGGGTGCAAACCGCACGATCTCATGAGATCCATACGCAAATGCACAACCGCTATGGCGACTTTGTGAGGATGGGCCCCAACATGATCTCCATTTCCGACGCGAATCTGATTCCGGCTGTGTATCCTATCCGGCCGGGTGTTCCAAAAGTATGAAATGTGAACAATGGACCCTGAAACCCCTGAAACCCCGAAAAGCCCTGAAAAGTAGTGACTTTGCTAATGTAAAGTCTGTCGGCCTCCACAGGGCAACTTCTATCGGACTCTGATGCCCTACTCGCGCCAGGGATCGGCCATGCCACTCATCTTCAACACACGAGACGAGGCCCTCCACATGAAGCTGAAGAAGCCCATCGCGCCCATCTTCTCTCTTTCGAATGTCCTCACCTTTGAGAAGTATGTGGACCAGATCCTCGACCTGCTGTTTACTCAGCTGGACCAGCGGTTTGTCGGACGCGAAACCCCGTTCGATCTCGGAGAGTGGCTGCAATTCTTTGCCTTTGAAGTCATGGGCACCATGACTTTTTCCCGCCAATATGGGTTCCTGGAAAAGGGATGTGACGGCAACGGTCTGCTGGGGGCTATCTGGAATTATATGAAGACCGCGGCGCCTGTAAGGAGTCTGATAGTCTGATGCTCACTGGCCTCGACTTTTTTTCTTCGTTTCTTTTCTTTTTTCTTGTTTTTTTGGGGGGGCTATTAATTACAGTGCGCTGACCGGATATCCACCGCCTTACTAGATTACTCAAATCCCCTGGTTCGATCTCGTGTGGTACAAAAACCCTTTGGCCGCCGCCCTCCGTCCGACGACGGGGATGCCAATTCTCAACATCGTCCGAAGCGCCATCGAGGAGCGGCAGGCAACCCTACAAAAGAAACCGAAGCCGAAATCAACCGGCGACGACGAGGCTGCTAACCGAGGCGACTTTCTCTCCCGATTCTTTCACGTCCAGATGAAAGACCCATCTGTACCGCCCTGGTAAACACCCATGAAACCTAAACCCAGCGTCTTAAATCCCTCTTGAATCCAGGACTAAACGTGTGTACACAGGGCAGTAACAGCCTGGACATTCTCCAACGTGATCGCCGGCTCCGACTCCACCGCCGTCGTGATGAAAACCCTCTGGTACAACCTCCTCACCCACCCCAACTCGATGCAAAAACTCTCCGACGAGCTCGCACAAGCTAAATCAAAAATAACCCGACCCTATCCCACCTGGACCGAGGTCGCCTCCCTGCCCTACCTCGATGCGTGCGTCAACGAGGCGATAAGACTGCATCCCCCGTTTTGTCTGCCGTTGGAGCGGGTGGTGCCTAAGGAGGGGATGTCGATCGGGAATGGGGACGCCCAGCGCTTTCTCCCCGGCGGGACGGTGATCGGTATGAACCCTTGGGTTGTGAACCGGCATCGCCCGACGTTTGGGGACGATGCGGATGTGTGGCGGCCGGAGCGGTGGTTGGTGGGCGCGGACCGGTATCGTGCTATGGAGGGGAGTGTTTTGACGGTAGGGTCTTCTCTTGACGCTTTTTTGTATTATTGACGAAGTTTGATGGGCTTGATGTCGTGACTGAGCTGAGCTGATCATTGTTGGTGTTGGTTCTAGTTCGGGGCTGGCCGGCGTGTCTGTCTGGGTAAGAACATTGCGTTGTTGGAGCTGAAGAAGCTGACTTCTGCTCTGGTGCTGAACTACGAGGTTTGTGTTTTACTCCACCCCCCTCCTGCACCCTCCCGGTTTTGACGAGAGGCTCGGCTGATGGCTGATGGGCATGATAGACTACAATCTTGGATGCTGCGCAGTTTCAGGTGGAAAATCGTTGGTTTTTTCGTCAGTGGGACTTGCAAGTGACCATCAAGCGACAATCTTGAGTGAGAGCTGCGGTAAGGACCTCTCTCTGTAAAGAGATATCTATATAGGAAGGGTGAAAACGAAGATCGTGATTTGTGTAAATAAAATGTACCAAGTGAGATGAGAGATAAATATAATGACAGACATCGCCTTCAGGAAAGCTCCTTGCCCTTCCAACAACTCATTTGACGATTTCTACCTGCCACTCCAGTTTCCCGCAACCCAATGGAAGATACCGATGTTGTGTGGGTTGCTTGTCCGTTATCTACTTTACGGAGGTACCTATGGTAGGTAGACTTCAGGGGCTACAAAGCTGGGGTAATTAATCAATCGTCCTCAAGCTCTAAGTGTTAAATACCTTCTTCATTGCAATCATAATGTACAGAGATAATGTCCCATATTCTCATACAAACTAACAATCCGAAGCTAGTCAAAATCAATCCACCAAATCCTCGCATCTCCCCGAAGCCGGCACCGCCGACTTCCCCCGATCCACAAACTCCCCCTCCGCCGGGTCCACCAACCCTTCCCTCCCGGCCCTCACAATCGCCTCATACCAATGCCGCGCCATAATGCTATACCCTTTTTCATCCGGGTGCGTCCCGTCCGGTAGCCGCTCCACCGTCACCCCGCGCATTAGCGGCGCTAGCACAACTTTCCTTTTCCCCTTGCCCCCATGACCATGACCATGACTGCTGGCGGCGGCGGCGGCGGCCGACACAACGTTGGGGATGTGCGCATTATACTCGTCAATGAGCGCGTTAACAGTGTCGTTAGCGTTAGGAATCACGCGGGCTACGACGACCAACGCGTCCGGGTTATGCGTAGTAACAAAGTCGACAAGGTTTGCCAATCGCTCAGGAGCCGTAGTGACGTTGACTCCCAGAACAAGGTTGACAGTCCCGGCGTGGAGGAGAATAATATTTGGTTTGCGATCCCGTGGCAGAGTGAGTTCGGGGACGGCGGCGGTGAGGATTTCATCGAGGGTGTGCAGGTTGAAGGCGTCGCTTTCGTTGTTGTCCCAGTTGCCGTTTTGGATGGAGCCGATGAGGGAGACGGGGTTGCCGGTGGTGGAGAGAAGACATTGGAGGTCGCGGCGGTAGGAGTTGCCGCTGGGTTCGTTGTAGCCGAAGGTGATGGAATCGCCGAGGGGGAGGATGCGTAGGGGGGCGCCGTTGGCGATGGGGCCGGGGGAGAACCCGAGCCAGGGGAGTACTGGCCAGAAGATGTTGGAGAAAAGCATGGTGTCACAGTTTTCCGTTTACCGGATGTCTCCCGGATGTCTCAAGTGACGCTCCACGGGATCCGTTTTCGAGATAAAGCTGTCTCATGTCATCGGAACATCGTTGCCCCAGGTGCTCGTATTAGTGCCCCTTGTTAGGGGAAGGTATAATGCACCGAGGTTGACGTGACCCATATCGATTCTACTCGGTGTATATTATAATCATGGATAATTAATCGTGGTGAATGACCGGATAAATACACAGGTACTCGCCGAGGTTGTGGCGGTGAATATCCTAGTATTTCGGCGACTATTTATGCTGTAGTTGCATCTGCGACTTTTTGAGGGGAAAGTTCCATGTATTTTCTTCTAGAATACAATTACCGTGCATATGGAAAAGATAAAGAAACCAATCTTCGATTTGTTTTCTGGGGGGTTTTTCCAGGGATCCCGAGTCAGGCAGGTCGTGTAGTTTCAGCATATGGAGAATAGCATTTGAAGCCGCGGAAGATACGAGCTTTGCTTCACACTTGCTGCAGTGTTGCAGCATGTAAAAATCATGACATACTCATAGTCAGGCACAGTACCTCGCCATTTACCTAACGCTAAGCACCCATTCACCATGACCCTAGTAATCCCTCTTAGGGAACCGCTTCCATGCGTCCGCAAATCCCGCCCCGCGCACAAAGTCCCAATGCTTAGTCCACGTCATAGGCTGGTCGCTCCCAGAGTCAATCATAGCAATCCCCGCCGTAAGAAACATGCCCTGCTTGACGCGGAACTCAGCCCTCTCATCATACGGCCGCGAGAGTTCCTCCGCCAGCGCCGTGGACCGTATCATCTTGGACATGTGCCCGTCGTCCTCGTGGTAGCACGCCCGGTCAAACACCTCAGCCCAGCCCTGGTTTGGTAGCTTCGACTGGTGCGCGCATAGGTAGTCCAGCCGTAACTGCGGCGCTCCCATGCCCGCGTAGGTCATCATGAAGACGCGGCCGCTGTACTCGAGCAGGCGGGCTTTTTGTGCCGCGGTAAATGAGGTCTCTTGTAGGAAGGAGGCGTGGCCGATGCTGGCGGTCAGGCAGTGCAGCAGGTAGAAGTCGAAGGTGCATTGGTATGGCGGCAGCTGGGCGCCGGCGGTGATGTACACTGTAAGGTGTTAGGTATCTTGGTAGGTATCAGGGTGTTGGTAGTAGAACTGCACCCCCGCCAGTCTCCCAAACGAAGGACATACCAGCCGTGTTGATGAGCTCTGCCGTAGCCCGCTCAAGGTCGTCCGGGTCTACCCGCCACCGGGCAGCCAGACGAAGCAGTTCCGGCTTGGCATTGGGCAGCACGCCATCCCGGGCCAGCTCCTTGTCCATAGCCCAGCGGCCCGAGTGCTTCCTCGTCTGCGTGTGGAAGTCCAGACTGGACGCGGTGCTGATCTTGGGGTCCGCGCGCTCCATGTCAATGAGGTCGGCAAGCGGCAGCGGTGGCTCCTCGGCCTTGGCGGCGAGCGCCTCGGCCTCGGCGAGATACTCGACGTACCACATGTCGTGATGCACCGCGGCCTGTGCTAGGCCCTCGGCCAGCAGAAGGGGCTGTCGGAACTCGAGGGCGAGGCCGATATGGATCAGCCCGTGCACATAACCTAAGATGAATGTCAGCATTCTTGAAAAAGGTCATCCGCGTCTAACCCGTCACCCACTAGAGGCTTAGAGCTGGAACTTGCCCATGTAAATGCGGATCATCATGTCGTTGGCAATCGGTCCGCCTCCGACCAGATACTTCTGCAGCACGGCTTGGTAGCCGTCGCGGTTGATCTGGCCCAAGAAGAACTTTTCAAAATTGCGAAAGTTCTCCTCGCGGCCTAGGCACTTGGTGAAAATCACGTCGTCTTCCAGGTCCTGCACGAGGGGATCCACGATGATCATGGCGTCTCGCATGTAGCGTGTGTTGCGCTTGTGCTGGGAGATCAGCACCTCCGGCTTGGCTCCCAGCGCCCACAGCGTCAGGTCATGATGGGCGATATGGTTATGCAGATATACCTTATGTGCGTGATAAGCTTGTGAGGTTTCGGGGGAATTTTCGCTCCGTCCGTCGTGCGGTACTTACACCCATGTGGTCCTCAGTGGTGAAGAATATGTGGTACTTCTCATTGTTCTCCTTGAGCAGGGCCGTGGTGGTTGCAGCACTCTCTTCCGTCAAGTTCGCTGCGTGGATGAGGCCAGGCGTTTTCTCCACATCGATCACGAATGTATCTGTCTGGAGCATCTTGGTTTGTTATCCCACTGGTTCTGCGTTTTGAATTCTCGGTCTTCAGGGAACAATAAACGACAAATAAGCAGTGAATTACAACTTTACAAGAGCAAATGAGCAATCTTCAATGAAGAGCAGTGTGGGTTATGAGGTTGACTTCGACCTGGTTTCCCGAAGCGTCCGGGCATTAAAGTCCGAGTGTGATTAAGGTACAGTAATGTGAGACTCATCCCACGGTGTAACAGCTTCTCCTCATGTAAGCAAAGAGTCATGTGGAATGGGGATTTGACTATAGCAGGAATCGGCGACTTTCTCGCCAAGTTCTTTCTAATAGCCTGGCAGCTCTTTCCTTGTTTGGCCCCAATTACCATCTAAGTGATACGTTGGGGTCGTATTGCGTTCTTACGCGCGTTTTCCAAACTCATACATGTACATATATGCATGCATATAGGCGTCAATGTTTCCCAAATCATTATTCAGCGTCTTGATGTATAATTGTGCAACTATCCAAGTATGGAACTCGATTAGCAACGCTCCCGTCCCGGGTTTAGTTCGCTGCCCGGACCAATACTCGTTTACAAGCATCAAATACATCAAATCTTTGAGAAGTCAGCTTCTAGTCACTTAGAAAAACGGGATCGTGAACTATTGTAAATCGGGGAACTTACCCAAAGTCGTGCTGGTATCGCTCAGGGAAACTAGTCGGGACGGCTGCTCAAGGAGGGTGGTAAACGGTGATATTAGCTTAGGTTCCGTACACAGCGAACTAATTACCGCAGAGCGTGAAAAGTACTGAGGAGACCAAAGAAGGTTGGGACTTGGAGGATAATTACTCGGATTCAGGGGGTCGGCAAACTGCCGAAGCTCCTCCTCTACGGCTTTCTCCTTGCCCAGCCGCGTCTTGGACAAGGTCTGGACCCGGGATGCTCGCAGGCGGCGAACCTCCTCAAACAAAACGAGGCGTTCGGACAGGGCCGCCGCGGACTCGACGCCTGTGAGAAGAGCGCCCAACGCCCCGGCGTCCTCGATGACCTGGTTGGCGCCCTGACCTCCGAAGGGAAGCATCTAACAATTTTTAGCGGGCGACCTGAAACGTGTTAATTACTAGCAACGGGAGAGTTCTCACAGGGTGGGCTGCATCGCCAATCAGTACAATCTTCTGCCGATGCCAGGTAGGAAGAGGGTCGTGAATAGGCAGCGGCCAGTCGGTGACGCTGGGCGCTACTCTGGATTTCCGCGCTGTCAGCAACTGAGCAAACTGCCCAATGCCGCTCTCGTGGAGCCGTTCTTACTTGATGATCTCTCTCAAGCTGGGGTGGAAATGCCCAAACTCATTCAACATAAGTTCCTTCAAGTCTAGAGGTAGCGGGCGTTAACTAGTCAGCTTTGCCATTTCATACTCACCCCCCTGGGATCCTGTTTCTCAGGATTTCTCAGGATTTCTCTCACCTTCTGGAGCACACTCCTGTTGTGCCGAATGGATACCCACGAAGTTTTGCACCTGCCCCCTAATTATTCAACGTCAAAACACAACCCTTGAGCTCAACGCCCCAACAACAACACCTCCCCCTTCAAACCTGACGAGGTAAACCGAGCAATCGGCGCGACTTACCCTTGACAATCGTACCACACCAGATGGCGCTCCGACTCATGCGCAGTATCCGGGTCCGCAAACACAGTCGACCCATTCCCCTTGACCTTGCGCAGCTCGCCAAAGTGCGGATTTCCCTCAAGCATCGCCGTAGGGATGAGGAACCGAAACGCGCTGAGTCCAGAAGGCGTTACGCGGGCAGCTTCGGCTTCGTCCCCGAGCACAACGCCGCGGAGCACCGAGTGCAAGCCGTCCGCTCCCACAATAAGATCCGCCCCGGCCAAGACCTCACCGTCCTCGAGTTCCACCGCTCCCCGCGCCGCGTCAGCTCCCGCTACGCGAGCGCCTGTCCGCAATGTTACCGTCTCAGTCTCAACCCCTTTTCCAACCCCAACCTTAGCCCCAGCCTCCCCCACGTCGTCGTCGAGTAACAGCCGCATCAACTCCCCATGCAAATCCGCCCGATGCACCGTATGCAACCCGGCCCCAAACCTCCTCCGCGCATCACTAAGATCCGTCCGCGCCAGCGGCGCCAGCGTGGCACCGTCCAGGACCTCCCAGCAGGTCATTTCATCCGCTCGGGCACGTTGGAAGTCAAACCCCAGCGCGGATAGGACGTGTTCGCCGTTGGGGGTTAGGAGGAGCGCGGCGCCTGTGGTGGGGGTGGTGAATGTGGATTTTTCGAGGAGCTGTTTTTTCGGGGGGAGGGTACCGGTGGTTAGTGCTTGCTCTGTCTGTTACCTGGATGGTGTTTTAGGTGGGTAAGGTAGGTAGACAGCTCAATATCTGGCTGTCTGGCTGTCATGATACTACAGCCCTATCCGTGACATGGCATGGCATGGCTGGATAAGGACTAAGGAGTTAAGGGGTAGCCTCACTGACCTGGACAGAGTGGCCGGCCTGACGCAGCGCAATGGCCGTGCAAAGGCCGCCGATGCCCGCGCCAACGACGATGATCTTGAGAGGCATATTGGGATCGACCCGGACCGACTTTTTTGGTGGGAGGGACTAGGACCGAGGGAGCGTTTCAATAGTTACCACAAGTAGCGCGCGCTCGGAACACCCTGGAAAGGCACCAGGTAATTAGGTGAGGAGATCCATAACGGTGCGTCTTTTACTCGACTCGTATGTACAATAATACACGGCGGTTGGTGTCAGAGTCCGAATCCGAAGTTTCGACACCGGCGGCCGGTGGCATCTCCTCCTCGGGTTACACGAAGTCACGTCATTCTATCAGGCCGCCCATATCGCAAAAGGGTTGATTTAGTCGGAGGCTTGTCGGCGTATTTTGTTTTGTTCGGCGATTTCCTTCCGGCGTTTTTCTTTTTTTTTCCTTTTTTCCTTTTTTTTTGGGCCCTTTCGCTCCTCCGGGTCTTCCCTCCCGAATCTGGTTTTACCCGGTTCATTATCTATCGGAAGTAACTACCGGTACTTTTGTCAGCCTCAAACCCGTTAATCAGTCCGACAAGTCGAGGGCGGGTGACATTTCTTTGGGCATTGTAATTATTGGCTGGCGGCACGAGCCGCACCGGCGACCTTCACTGGCCTTGAACACTGTTGCGGGCAACGCACTGAAATGAGTGGTGATATTGTATTTTGTCTCTTGTCACTTATCTGTAAAATATGGAAAAAAACCAAACCCTCCACCCTGCTGGAAAATGCAGGCCAAGACGGTGCTGGCAGCTGCTGAGAGTGCTGGGCCAACTGGCCCACACAACATACATTTATTAAGAGTCAGGTGATCCTATGAACCATGTATTATTTACAATACAGGCCGAAAAGAATCTACCCGCCGCTTTGTGTAAGGGTTGTATTGGACAACAAAGCAACCCTGGTATGAGCTGCTGTCACCATGATACTCAGATTACCCCTGATATCTAGTCCCTTCCCCACGGTCCCCCGTGCCCCTTTATCATTGCCCCTCGGCGAATGGCCGCAAGTCCTCCTTCATTAGCTCCATAATGCGCTGCAAAGCGTGCAGCAGAGATTCGATATCCTCGAGCTCCAAGCTCTCCGGTGTGGGCGGGTCTCTGGATACCCCCGCCAATGCGGCGTTAACGTTCCCGTCGAGACTGAGCAGTGATTCCAGAGAGGCACTGCTGCCGGTTCTACTCCTGCTCATGTTATCATATTCGCTGTATTCGGAATCTGACCTGGTGCATTCCCATAGGTAAAGTGACGCGGCTTTGATTTCCCGCAAGGCGCTGCGGATCGCCAAGCTGATGACTTCATTCTTGGTCTCCCCTGTCAGCTGGAAGTTGCCGACGGAGACTCCTATGTCGGAAACCACGGGGGCCACAGGGGAGCGTTGCCACGTTGCCGCAGAGCCGCGGGGCGTACCATCGGCGCGCCGGTGGCAGGCGGCACGGAGCTTCTGGACCGAGGAAAGAAGGACACGGATGCTCATGGCGAACAGCATAAGCACATACCGGTTGTTTTCCTCGCCTCTGCACCTCAGGCACCGCATAAAACTGTCCCAAGGGCCCTGGGCCAACTGGACTCCGTGCAGGACGCTGTCGACAGATGGGCTGGCAGCCTGCGAGTCCCGGAGGTCTTCCAGCCGGTAAACCAACCTGACTTGCTGCCGAAGACATGAACATTTAGGTAGTTCCCCCGTTAGAAAGGCTCTCGGGGAAAATACCGGGCTCGGCGAGTTCGGTGCGCCTGTGGCCGAGCTGGCGGGCACGAGGCTGTTCGCGTGCCCTTTGTGGCTGTCTTGGGCCGCAAGAGATCTCTCGGAAGTTACGGCTTGGTGGCGACCCTTGAGAGGTCCTGGCGCTACAAGATCCTATTTCAAATGCATGACTTAGTTAGACCCACTACGATGAAAAGAGCGAGATGTTTTGATGTGTGCCTTACAAGGCTGAACATGCCATCCATACCCGATCCCTCCCCAACACCGATCGAGTCCATCAGAGAAGCCAGGTCCGGACTGAAGACTGCCTGGGGGCTGTGGTCGGAGACGAAGTCGAGGAATTGCTGCCCATCGTCGCTCCAGGTGAGGGCTCGCTGGCCGTCGTCGGACCCGGACCCAGGCCCGGGCCCATGCTCGGTGATGGCTTCTCCATTGCTCCCCTTTCCCTGCTCAGCCTGCTGCAATAGCGTTCGTTTGTTTTTGCTGCCCTTGGGTCGGCCGAGGCGATTTGTGACGCTATAAACACAGTTCGACTGAGAGACGTGACAGGGGACGCAAGGATTGCCTCCTGAGCACTTGATCTTGCACTGATGGCAGGTGTCGCAGGCAGAGCGCAGTCGACCGGCCGGCTTTGAAGGGTGCTTCCAGGCCTTGTTCCGTCCGACTGCCAGCTTTTGGACGTGGGGCGCTGGGGTTGAGAGAGACATGGGGTAACTAGGAGTAGGGCCTTTCGTTCCGGCTGCCGGTCTGTGGTTCCTCCCGCAATGGCGCGGCCCGGTTGGATCATGGATGGGGAAGATAGGGGACCTACTTTAAGAATCTCATCTGCGCCGCATTCTCACAGCGCCCCCATTAGGAGGACCCCCACCTTCCCTGTGGGAGGGTAGGGAATGGTGGGGAGTGTCGTATCGTGCGTTCGATCCGACAGGCTTGCAACGTTTAGGTTCTCGCTTGTCGCTAAATCACTATCGTTTCTGTGGAATTAATCCGCTGCTTACGCCCACAGGTGTGCATTTAACTGGTCGGAATAGCCCGCTTACTTCTGCAAGTGCGGTCGGTTCCATGGTGCTGCTCATGCATGCAAACACGGTACAGCATCGGCCGCCGTCAGATCCGCAAATGCGTCCGTCATCTGCAGCCGCCGATCACCATCCAATCTCAACCACGGAATTAGTCCGCCCATGCCATTTTAAACTTTCCACGTCCCATGCGACCGGCCCATATAGTAAGTCGAGGCGGCCAGCAGGCCCGTGCCTATCAAGCAAGTCGCGACGGCAAAGATCTGCAGCCCGGAGTAATCTGTGTCGCCTTGCCGGTTCAGAATGGCCCCCATGATTGGGAGGCCAGTCAAGGAACTGTTCAACGTATCAGGGTGTCAGCAGCCCAGCGTTCTGCAAGAGACGAGTGTCGGAGAGTTTCTTGAGAACACATGGCCCCGGCAGAAAGAAAGGGACAGAGACAGCTACTAACCTCACTGCGATAATTGTCTGGAAAGTTCCAAACCGCTGACCCAGAGTGTCCAAGCTACCTGATTTGGCAACACAGGGCATGAGCAAGCAGACGAAGGCGCCACTGACAAAGCCGTACACAAGGGCGAAGACGATGATGCCCGCTTGGGACGTGTGGTAATTGAAGGGCAGCCACAGAGCCAAAATGGACGCGCCCGTCAATAGGCCGGATACGGTCAGCACGTTGAAATGGCCGATGCGATCTCCCAGATGAGGAGGCAGGATGCGGCCCGGGATCGAGGCGGCGCTATTGTGTGGGGTTGACTGGTTAGCCCATCTCGTCCGCAAGTTTCCCTCCTCCTTGTCGCCGGACTCAGGGACAATAAAGGCCTACTTGATGATGGAGATGAGGTAAAATGACAGCTCGGGCGAGAAGTCGCGGCTCAGGGCCATGCTCGAGATGAAGTCGAAGGGCGCCCACAAGCCCCACCTGTAAAAACAGCAGCAGTGCCGCCACTCGTTAGCAGGCCGCTAAACAAGGGAAGTCGGGAAATCCCCCAGTCGCCAAGCCACCTTGGCGCCATCGTATCGCGGGACTCGGGAGAAGCCGAAAGCTTGGCTTGACGACCGGGGGGTGGCCCTGAGGGGCGGCTTACATGACAAAGAAGGAGCCAAAGGTGTACAAGGCGAACTGTTTCTCCTTGAACAAGCCGACATCGAACCATTTGGCGTCCCTGTTCCACTTCTTCCGCGGCATACGCGAGCGCACGGCGAAGCACGACAAGGCAAGCAGGATGCCGATAAGCAGGGCGGTGTAACGGACGGCGCCGTAAAAGCCGACACGCTGCATGACACGATCTAAGAAGACGGGGAAGATGACGCCGCCAAGGCTGCTTCCGGTGCTAGCGATGCCCGTGGCTAGGCCGCGGCGGCGAACGAACCATTGGCCGACGCACACCATGGCAGCTGTGAAGACCCCACCTGATCCGATGCCGAACCCGAGGCCCTGTGCCAAGAAGATTTGGTAATAGCGGTCGGCCAGGCTCGTCATGCACAGCGAGAAGACACACATGAAGGCGCACGGGTACAGGACGGGAGCCGGCCCGTATGTATCGATGAGGCGGCCAAAGAGGGGTCCTGGCGCCCACATGAGGGCCAGCTGTGCCGCAAAGATCCACGCGATATCGGACGGCGTGTAGTCCCGGAGTATGGTTTGCTGATACGTGGCTTGAAATACGCCGATTCTGTAGGTTGTGATGCTCGCGTGAGTTGAGTTGAGCTTCACATAGCATCTTCCAGGCCGTCATCAGATTTTCGTCGAGGCAGGGCCCACTTACGCATTCAAGAATCCGAAGCTGCAGAAGAGGCAGACAGTGGCGCCGGCAACGCAGAGCCAGCCCTGGAATCCCTCTTCTGGGGGCAGTTCAGGCTCGTTGGGGTCCGTTTCGGCCGGGGTTGGTTCCGGAACCTTGTCCGAGCCGGTCTCGATCTCTTCGCTCATGGTGGCTTCGGCAGACATTTTTGAAGGTAAGGCTGAGGCCGTAAGATGCTGCAAAACGATTCTTGTTGGAAGCTAGCTTGTAGAAGAACCGGAGAGCAGAACTGAAACTGGGAGTGTCGTCAAGTCAGGGTCGAAGTGATTCACCCTCCTTTTTGTGTTTTTTTTTGTTTGTTTTTTTGCTTTCTTCCCAGGGCCGTGCAACACGGGGCAAGCTGCGCGATGAGTGACTTCAATCGAGTGAGCAGCCCTCAGAAAATGGGAAGCTGGCGGACAGCAACAGATCGGCAGCTACTGCAGCCACGAACCGGAGACTTGTCAAGTTATTGCCTCGCGGGGATCGGAATGCCACCCTACCTTTATATGGATATGGCCCGTCATCCCGCCGCCAGCCCATCTTGGCGTCTTGCGGCATTCCAAAGTGTTGCAAACTCTGTCAAAGAAATGTTTTGTCAGCAATAAACCATGGAAGACGGGCAGATATGCTGTACAGCTGCATCAAAGTGGGGGGCGGCAGGAACGAGCGGCGGTCGACGGAAGGAACCATGCAAATAGTGAGGATTGCAATTCCCTAAAATGAGCTAAATGACCAGCCGTAGGGAGGAGCAACCGCCAGTTCCCTTCATCGTATTACCTAAATGGGCTAATCCGCCCAAATTAAGAAATAGGCTTACTTAGTTTGGACAAGCATTACCAATCCGACCCGACAGAGGGCCGACAGGCGGCCGCCTTGTCGGCCGCCTTTCCGCCATTGTTCCCGCCTTGGCCCTTGCGGCTTTGCCTTTCTCACCTCATCGTCACCGGAGCCTACAACATCTAAGGAGTTAGGACCTACAAGATGAAAATTTGCTTTCGCCTTTAAGGCACGACTGCCTCGTGCCCTCAACAATCCGACATCCGACATCCGACATCTGCCATTCGCTCGCCGCCTCCCGTCCGAAATGGCGGCCGCTCATGCCGCCTTCGTGTGTTTCACTTGCAAAGCCCGGAAGAAGAAGTGCGACAAGGTCTTGCCATCCTGCGGTTACTGTAGTGGGTAAGCCAACGTTACCTAACCTTGCATCGACGGGAACGGCACCGATGATCGTGCTCTGAAATGACAGCGTTCCAGCAAACGGGTACATTGTACCTACGCCTCCCAGCTAACACCATCGACCGAGATTGGGCCAAGGACCCCGAGCACAACCACAGACACAGATATCGGCACAGGCACAGGTACAAGCCCCGCCGCTCGCCATGTGTCTGTCCTACGCTCTGCACCCTTGGCGGCCGACGTGCGTTTCACGTTGAACACGATCCCAACCGAACCGTCGGCGGCCGCGGTGAGCCTCTATCTCGAAGCCAACCGCCTCATCCGTGCTACCGGCCAGTTCCCCGACGAAATTTACACCCGGTACCGGCTCGGCATCCATACTCACCTACCCGTCATTTGTTTAGAGACGTTCGACAACAATCTCTTCACCCTAGCAACCGCTCCGACGCCCCACTTCTCCGTCCTGCTTGTTGCCATATGCTTGATAACCTACCTCCCCGAAGCGGTCCCGCAACCCGCAGGGGCTGGCGCCCGATCCACCATTGACCGGACCACTCTTCACCTCGCTGCCCGGTCCCTTTTTGCCCAGGTCCGAGTATCGTCCCCGCACTCGGTCCATCTAATCCAAGCGGGCCTGCTTCTAGCCGTCTACGAATATGCCCGGGGCCATGCTGATGACGCCTTTACCTCCCTTGGCGAATGCACCCGGATGGCCTATGCCGCCCATATCTGGCGTAATATTTCCCCACCTCGGCCGCCAAATGCCAATCTCGAGGATCTGCCAGGGCATTCGGCCTCCTCGTACTTAGATGCCGAAGAAGCAACCAATACTTGGTGGGGACTCATCATCTGCGAGCGGTAATGTCGTCGTTTTTTCAGCAATTCCTTGGGTGATGCCGTGGCGGGCCTCTAACTGACTGCGACAGTACTATTTTCTGCGACATAACGGTCCCCGAACAACCGTTGCTCACCGTCGTCCCCAGTGCAAACGCCCCGCTGCCCAGCGAGCCCGAGGCGTTAGCCCAAGCTGCCCAACATGGCATTCCAGAACTCGGTTTGAAACCGAATAGCACTGTCTCTTCCCTAGCGTCGGACGAAGTCGGTGGGTTTGGTCGAGCCGCCCAAGCCGCTCTTCTGCTGGATCAGGTCTTGAAGAGTTTTCAAACCCCGAACCTCGACGACCGGCTGGTCCAGCTCGATGGACTAGATACTGCTCTCCGGACCTTCTTAACGGTGGTACTGGAGCAGTCCCACGGCAAGCCGGGCCCCTTTTGCGGCGCAATATCACTGGCTATCAGGTTAATTCCACCCCCCGAACTTTCCATGACCAGCGTGATGATTGTCTTGCTGACCAATTCATTTCGGAGAACCAGAGCCCTGTTTACGCTTCACTTACACATCCTCGACCAACCTCGGCAGACAGTGAGCGCCAAGTTCAAATCACTTGACCAATGGCGCGGAGGCTCACGAGCGGCTCTTGATACAATCATCAAGATGGTTGTCGACATCGCCGATTCCCACGATCATGTTCCACCGGAACGAATGGATTCACTCCCACCCAGCTTTTGCTACGACGTCATTTTAGCGCTGCGGCACATTCATACCAAACCACAAGTGGATACCTGGCTGCGGGAGGCCGAGGAACGGCTCCAGACCTCGCTCGATCGATTTGATCTCCGCTGGGGGGTCGGGGCCAGGCAGCCCTGAGACGACATATCCCGTTCGAAAGGATCTTTAACGGCTATCCCCCCTGTGACAGAGGTATATGATGAGATAAAGACCATTCATCGCGGCAGCCGTCTTGAGATTGTTCTCACCAAGGTTCATGGTTTGCAGGCAGTCTGAGTCAGCGTTCAAGATGAGGCCCCCACCGAGAGCAGCAGAGCCCTGAGGCCCCGAATAACCCAGGCGGCGGTAGCATCTCGGCCGAAATCGGCATTGATTCTCTTGCTCTATTTGCGTCCACGTGGTACGCGCCCCTGGGCCTCGGGTGGAGAGATACAGGCTCATACAGCATCCAACGCCATTGCGGCCCAGTATCGGCGAACGGCTCGATCACCCACCTCGACTCCCCGAGCTCACCCCTAGAGAACAACGCCGGAATGGATTCATCACACAGATTTTAGATCGGCTGGTCGGCATAGGGTACGAGGGCGTGAGCACAACCTAACACGCGTTGAAAGCTGCAATGCCTCTAGTTGAAATTGGTAGTGTTGAAAAGGCGGTGACCGATGTCGGTTGTTCCTCGACCTGTGAATTTGTTTTTGAAGAGACGGAGTGCGACTAGACTCAGCGCCCTATCTTTCGCCAGGGCTTGCCCCACCGTTTGTCTCGGAGGCCAGGGAGGGCTGAGATGCGTCACTAGTCAAGAATATACCTAATTACGCGACAGACGGCCCTTCCCAGTTCCCACCTGCGTTTGCACCAGGGCGATATTCGGCTTCCCGGGCGTGCAGGTGACTCATTCGTCTTATGCGGCTGGATGGATGTGCAGCTCACCAATTGAGCATTCATGTCGTGTGCAGACTGTCAATCTCTCCTTTCCCCAGCGTTCTGAATCCGGACCGCCGGGACCGGCGAGAACCTTGGGGGCCCTGAGTATAGGTTTCCGGATAGGAGCAAGTCTTCCCACGGAAGTAAGCTAAACAGAGCCTGTCTCACCGTAGCGCAATACCCAAGAGTGCACGCCTGTGTTGATCCCTCTTCCGAGACGTTCGCGGGCTGGTGCCGTTCCGGCTCCGGGCCCACACCTGTCCCGGACCCGACTCGGAGGTGGAGCCCGAGGTGCCCGACTCCCGAGCGCGCACATCAGGGGGGGGAGGGACATCAGGATATAAGGAGCCATGGGCAAGGCATAACCCCAAGTAGTTCTCTTTCCGCAAGCTTTCTCAATAATATAATAAACGCCTATCTGCATTCCGCCATAGGGCCAGTTCCTTACACGTGTGTTTGAGAGGGAGTTACACTAAGCGCTTATCGCGTCTCTGCGTGGCACGCGTTATATTGTTCGGGCCAAGTTAGCGGCAGTTAGCCACTGCAGATCTCGGATCTAACTATCCTCGTTGCTTGAACGACACAGCGTTTATCCAATCATTGAGTCGGGGTTTCTTGAGCTCCGTGAGAGCAGTTTGAGTCTTGACTATCTCCACTTGCCGATCTACGCTAGTGACCAGCGATAAGGTCAATTGGCTTAGTCGGCAAAGAGGGCGGCCAACTTGGAGGACTTGAACAAGCCAGATCCTGCATGATGACCAGAGCCCGCATTGGTTTGCACACTCGTGACTCCTTGTGTTACACCGCCGCCCAAATTCTCCCCACGATGCTTGATGCCCTATCTTCCATCCTAAGACATTGTCGACCCTATGTCCTTGCTAGTATACATGTACGTTTGCCACCACACTGAGAGCCTATGATCTACCGTTGGTTCCGTTTAAGTGGTCAGGCACAGGACAGGATGCATTGTGGCACCGAAATGTCTCAACATCCTTAACTGCGTATGGTTGATCCCCTGATATCAACGTACTCCACAAGAGAGTAAGACACATAGGTATTTCTTTTGCCGCGCACATGCAGTGAAAGGTACCGCGGAATTGGTAAGGTGCACTAACACTGTTGCGGTACCTTTCCCCGTATATACATCGCAAAAGAATACCCTAGCTACCTTACTTGCTTATGTGTCTCACCCGGCTGTAGAGTATCGTACGTTGTATCAAGCAATTTCACTAAGTCCGTCTCTGTCAAGCGCTCAGGCCTAGGACCAAGCTTTCGCAAAGGCCTTGGCCATAAGCACTAACTACCTAGTGTTGAATCGTGGCCGATGGCCTCGAGGAGACGTGGCCGAGTTGGCCCTCCTCTGAGACAGGCTCCGGCGGCGGAATCCGGGCCGGCTAAGTGGGACGAACATAGTCGTGCCCGTCGGCCCCGTTTCGATATGTACTGGGACAATGGGGCGGGTCGAAGTGAAGCGAGCCGCAGCGGCTCAACCATCAACGAATCCTGTGGAGGATATGTACACAATACAACGGGACGCCTAAGGCGCGCGAGTAACTGCGTGTCACCCGTTTACACGAAGCGCCCTTGTTGTTGGGACGGACAGTCCCGATCAGCTCCCGTCGCGGACCCGATCTGGGACTCGTGGAGCCCACCAAGCAGGTATGTATGTTGGAAGGAGGGGACATCGGGATATAAGGAGCCCCGGCCTAGGCATAGCCACAAGTAGTTCTCTTTCTGCAAACTTTCTCAAGCCACCTGCGCTCCTGATAGACGTATGTCTGTCTGCTGACCGATATTCACGTTGACTTCACGCTGCGAAAATGCTTTCTTCCAACGTTGCACTGCCATTGGGCTTCTTCGAAACCCGCGAACTTGCAGTTATAGGCAGCGTGTGTCTTCTCCTTACTTTCATGTGGAAATACTACCGAGATGGAACAAAGGTAAATCGGGCAGTTTGTGGTACGACCATGTCAAATAACTAGCTCGCCAATTGCTCATCAGTTTCAACCCGAGTTAGCAGATTCCGAAGAACCGTTTGCCGCACTTGGCGCTTTTGACTGTACGATTCCCAATAGAATGCCTGATAATTTGGAGCGCGGATACTGACACTCTCAAGGATGAAGAAATCCACGACACACCAATTCAGTCTATGTCGGCGGCATTGAGTACCTACGGCTCAGTTGTCGGTTTCAAGCGGGAGGGGAATGTAGGCCACAACAAATAACGGACTTACTTGACCACACACTGAGACCCTCTTTGCAGATCGAGTATCTCGTCGCCAAGGAACATGCTCAAAGAGTTTTTACGGACGACTCGTCGTTTAGTTTTGAAGGCGGAATGGCAGGAGTAGGAATATTCCGTCCGCATCATATCGGTTCATAGGCTAACGTCGCTGTTCCTAGATACTGGGCATTAGGGGGATTCGCCTCCTTCACAACGGCTCCTTTTTCCGAGACATAGACAGCATCATAAGAGCTTTCTCAACTCGGCAGATGAACAAGATTGTACCAGAAAGTAAGGATCTAATGTCAGCGCTGTAATATCTAGATTGGCATCATGCTGACCTCCACCATAACTTGAAGTTTGGCCGCTCTTTGAAAAGGCTGCCCAAAAAGCAGTCGATACTGCGGCTGGGGATCCCGTCAATATCCAACCCCATTTGCAACACGCCATGGCGGAGGCAACCGTCAAAATCTTTCTTATCGAGGTAAAAGCATTTTAACATACCCAATCGTGAGCATTATTATATATACTAACTCTGCAAATGGAGTAGAAATACAACAGACCAGACTTCAAAGAACGAATGATCAAGGTCGCTGCGTCCATTGCCGATCTTACAGGCCTTAACCCAGACCGGTCATTCCTGGCACGCACGTTTCCACTACTCTGGCACGCATATAAAGTGTACGGTATTATCGACATTGGTCTTCACGGTGTAGTGAGGAAATCTTGTACTAACAACTCGTTGCAGAACCTACATTGTTTTCGTCAGACTTCCTTCGGATCTGGGGTTTAGTTTGGCGCGGGAGTTGTGGGCGGACATATCACGGGACATTCAAGATTGTGATCCAAAGGCATGTTACCCGACACTCCTTAGTCCTTACCCGAGCAGAACTAACGATTGGCAAACGTAACAGGACAGTACCATCTTCTCGTATCTGTCACGTCGATCCACGAAAGGTGGCAAGCTCTCCTTTTCGGACAAAGTCTGGAACTTGGTCTTGGTATTGGCAGTCATGTTTGGGAGCATGCATCAAACGTACGTTTATCTTTCTCAGCACATATCACTTGTCCAGGATGGCTCACAGGTCTTTAGAATCGTCAGCATGATTTGGGTCACCTTCTTTCTGGCGCAGTACCCAGATTGCCAGGAGGCTATCCGCAAAGAGTGCTCATCCATCGCCGGAGGAGGAGGTGCCTTCAAACAAGAAGGTTTACAGAGCGCTGTTCTTACAGACTCTTTCATTCGCGAAGCTATGCGGCTGAAAGGGGACAGTGTGAATGCGGTGAGACAGTGTGTCAAAACTGTCGAACTGGATGGGATTACGGTCCCCAAGGGTAGGTCTTCTGACTCTTCTATGATGAAGAAGAGTCCTTCCAATTTACTAACACAGCCTCTGTGTAGGATCGCTCGTTTTTCCATTTACCTATCAGTGTTATCGAGACCCAGATCTCCTGGCAAACCCCACTGACTTCATGCCGAGACGGTGGGTTGGCACCGGAAAATCAGCAGCAAGCACAGGCCTAGAATATCCCGCCTTCGGGTACGGACGATGGGCCTGCCCCGGGCGATTTCTTGCCCTCAACGGTAAGCGCCCTATAAAACACCCCCTTACTCTTTGTTGCAAGGCGTCGAACGCTAGAATATCATGTTCTAATGGAAGCAGAGATGAAATGCTGGATCCTCGCTCTAGTGGCCTTTTCACGCTTTGAGTTAGATGGGGGTAAATATGAAGTGATGGACTTTTTCAACATTACCGCTTTTGCTCCACACGGGCGGCTACTTGTTCATCGGGTTGGGGAGGAGTCTTCAGAAGCTGCGACCAAGGATTCTACATAGGCTGCGCCGTAGTGCGAGTGTGATATAAACAGTGAATACATGACCCTAGTCTCTCCCCAGTCGGCGCTCCGTATACTCAACCAAGTAGATCTTGCCAGCGTCTTCGGTGTAATTAGAAGAGGACGGTCAGGATATCGAAGCCGAGTCGCTGTTCTGTCCGAAACGCCAGGGTTTGGGGTTCTCGCCGAGTATTGTCGTTGGCAATTCTGTTTGACCTTGATAATGAGCGCGTCACCGAAACTGAGCACGACTGAGAACGTCGCCGGCGTCATAGATCCAGCGGGCGTTGACCATCGGGCAAAGGACTTTGAGCATCCCTAAACGGTGCAACGATACCGAGGGCTAGAGGACTGAGGTAGAGCATCCATCTTCTGATGATGGCAGAGGCGGTAGGCCAAGGGAGGCCGGTGGCCGAGGAGTGGAAGGCGGCTGAGGCGAAGGCTCGGCGAGAGGTAGAGGATCGACAAGCAGTGACGGCAGTCGCCAAAGCGATGGAGGATCCCAGTCAAATGGTGACCAAGGAGCGGAAGGTAGATGATCGATGAGAGGCAAGGGGGGTTCTATGAGGAGGTGGAGTTTGTACCGGATCAGGTATCTTCGCTGGGGGAGAAGATACCGCCCAACTTGGTAACGGAGACGAGGACGATGGAACAGTACTTAGATGTTGAGGGAAGTAAAGCGTGTTGCTCCAGGGCTGAGCTTGTGGGACGAAATATAATGGTCTAAGACGTTATCGCAAATAGAGAGATTACAGAATGGAGGATGCGTGTAACTGACGATGTGCGCCTTGGAAGTGGGATTTGAGATCGCTGTGGAAGTAACGCTAAGCGCCCAGTCTAAATACATGCAGTGCAAGGCCTGGTACGGCGCGACAGATGTCTATATACCGCGGGCCATCTATACACGCTCATTACCGACCGCTACAAATTCTTAAAAATAAACCCCGCAAGCGCCATCGTAAACGCCTTATCAATGGGCACAAAGTGCGCCCCGGGGTGCAAATACACCACTTCCTCCTCACACTGCCGCACCAACTCCATACTCCGATCCTCCGCGACCACCGTGTCCACTGTCCCGATACAGTGCATCACCGGGGTCTTCACCTTCGGTGCGTACAGCTGCTGTAGGTCCCGCGGCGCCGCCCGAAACCCGCCGCACACTACCGCAAACTTCAACGGCTTATCCTGGCCCCCGCCGTGTGCCGTCTGGACCGCCTTGACCCAACCCTCATGAGCGGGCAACTTGGACCCCCCGAACGGGTTATGCGGCCGCTCCAATGCGGCGGCCAGCAGCGCAGCCATGCACCCGCCCTGGCTGAACCCAATGACGCCCTCGATGCCCCCGCTGTCATTCCCTTCCTCGCACGCAGCATCCAAACGTGCGCGCTCCAGGACCTCCGCAACGACTGCCATGCCCTTGTCGATGCCATCATACTCCCCGGTCGCATCGTTGCGGCGCCACCATGCCCAGGCGTCGACGGCGTCTATGGATGCGGTCTCGCCGGCCTGAACCGGTAACGGAGCCGTGGGGTAGATGAAGATGGGCTCCTGGTTGCGGGCCGCGAAGAGCGGGGCGAGTTTCTTTCGGAGGGCGCCCGTCTTAGCGGCGAAGTTTGGGCCGGATTGGGTGTAACCTAGGGGAGTAAGTATTTGGAATGAGGGTAGAGATAGGGGAGGAAGAACTACCGTGGAGCATGAGGATCCGGACCCTCCTCTTGGGTGGTTTTGGCGCCGGGGTGTTGGTGCCGGACGTTGTGGGGGAGGTGGTGTCGCTTGGTGCGAGTGTGGGAGAACCAGTGGTTGGTGGCTCTGGGTCGACGGCCGGTTTAAGTACTGGTCCAGTGGGTGTCATAACGCCCTTCACGGACGAACCTTCCCACTCGATGGGCTGAAGAGATGTGGAAGGGGCCATGGTGCTGATTAATGAGCCTCGGTTAAGGGCGTGAATTCTTGGGTATGTCCGTTGTCTGAGTGAGTGCTGTGGACATGGAGTGAGTCGAAGAAATGTCTGGCTCCGGGAGAAATGTCGTGAGATGGATTGAATGGTGAACATGGAGGAGGGGGTTGAGTTTGGGGGAGAGAGGGGGGGGTTATAAATAGTCAAAGGTGAGAAATTGAGAACGAGCCGCACAATCAGTCGTTGTCAAAGTGCAGGCCGCTTGGGAGTCCGAGTGTGGGGCAAGAAAAGACCAAGTTCCAATGAGATATGCAAGGAGTGTCAGTGCGAGTGTCAGTGTGCAAAAAGCCTGCGATAAAGCTGCGTATTTCGTAAATCATGACGGCATAACGTAATGTAACTTAGATATACAAAGACGAGCAAATACTCTTAGTCCTGTTGCTAGGGCTGCGGCAGCTTATCTCGCGGTAGTTCTCATCAAGGAACGGCATCAGGCACCATCGCGATTAAGAAACTGGCATTATGCCCACCAAGTCACGAACAAGGAATGTAACCTCTACTGATTCCCAACATATCGACGAGTATCAAGACGAACTCTCAATGCGGGCGCCCAGCAACGGGTAAAAAATTGATCTCTGCCAGGAGCGAAAACATCCACATCAATGGAGAAAATGATGGTGGATGCCGATAAACACGCTGAGAACAGCATGTTAACTGGCAATGTGGACTGCGTCCAATGCGTCTGCAAGGACGTCTTCATAGGCTGAACCAACCAACTTGCCCGCACCTCTCGGACGGCAAGTTTCACAGACGTGCATGGATGCGCGTCCGCATCAACTCCCGGGCATTACGAAATGCCTTATCTGCCACATTTCACTGCATACCGGGAACCGAGATCAACAGCTCAATTGACGTTGGCTGCTCTATGATACAGGTCCGTTCCTCGGACAGTTTCCCGCGCACAAGTGGATATCGCTCAAGTAAAATTGTGCTTGCGTTGATTTCGTAGTCGTATCCTCCGCCATATGCTGTTCACCAACTCGTCGTTTCTCGTTCTAGTGTCCAGCCCTGCGGTTCGGGTTGCGGGGGTCGTTCCTGAACTCCTCACCTGTAATCTTGTGGTTAGCTTTCGGTGGCTCTGGTGAGGAATGTGTGGCCGAGTGGGACGGCCTACCATTCATCATCGCATTCTGGGCAGCGTTGACGCCATAGGCAATGACGGCAGCTAGCTCTGAGCATTAGTATCCAGTCTTCGAAAGGCAAGGGGGTATTCTATGGAAAGTAGAGCGACGGGTTACGGCATACCGGCAGCCAGAAACGGAGCCATCGGACGCACTGCAGTTGACGGTCAGTCAGTATTTATCGCGCTTCATAAACAATCGGGCGCGGTTCAATTGACGTACACACTGGCGCCGGGAACTTCTTGAGCGGGACGACACCGAACCAAGACATCGTGGCGGTCTTTTCTGGTGGTGACGGTGGTAATGGGGTTGGTTTGGGGATGCGGTTGTCAAGTCACAAAGCGAGCGTTTTTCGCGGTTCGGCCTTCCGAAGCTTGCGGACCGCAGCTTTGCCGAGCATGCTGCTTCCTTGCGTTTCAGGCACCAATTCTTCTCGAAGCTCGGACCCACAGATGATGCCGGAGAGGAAAGAATGTTTCTCCGAAGACGGCAGAAAGTGGACCCCGCACAAGGTGGGGTTCGCCAATGCGGCCAGACCTGAGTGACATCATCCCCCGCATTTTGACAGCGGGCAGAGCTCACTGCCCGCACTCGCGACTCTGGACCCTGGCAGCTCGGCCAGCTGACCACCAAACGGGCAGCAAGCGAGCCAGGCTGGGGTAGGAACCATGGGAAACCACCAAGCTCTCCTTGCTTTCCCTGCATCCGTAACTGTCCATAAAAGTGCGGGGTGAAGGCGGCTTCGCGTCCTTCCTCCAATTATCCTGCACCGCTCCCCTCCTCTTTACTCTCTAAGCTTCCTATCTTCACTACCAACTTGGTTTCGGAGACCCAATCTAGCTTCCCGTTTTGCCGCGCCTTCCTTCTGTGCTCCCCGAACTGCCGCCACCACAAGCTGCCTAGAAACCAGACGAGCCATCGTCCCAACTATCTCCGACGTCTTCTGCCGTGCTTCCTTGTCTTCTATCTCGTGTCTTCATTTTTCGCCTTTTACGCTTTCCCCGGAAACAACATCCAACACCCATCGACGGACATATCACGCTAGCTTCCCAACAAGGGCTGGCTCTCTCATCCACCAACCGGTCTTTGTTTCATATTTTCAATTCGGAAACTGGTTGCGCGTTGGTGCTTAATCTCGCATTGTGCACCGACCTCTCCCAGCTCACGGTCCCCTTCATTTTGCCTCCTTCTAGGGGTCAATCTCAGGGCCTCACCACTTTAACACATCCTCAACAACAAACCGCCCCGGGGCCCATAAACCCCGCAACCATGCTCTCGCAACGGGTTGCTCGCGCTGCCAGCGCCGCTCGGCAATCGCCAGCGACACGGGCTTTTTCGACAACTCTTGCGGCCCGGAGCGACCGGCCGCCAACGTTGGGCGATATCCAACCAGACCAACACGACGCCTTCAACAGCCGGCAGAAGACATTCCGATCGCAGCTTGTGGAGGCACAGAAACAACGGGAAGCCAGTGGGTTTAGTTCATCCTCCTCCCGTTCCAGCTCCCCTTCCTCTTCCTCTCTTTCCTCGGCCCAGGGCCTTGGGTCGCTGAGCACAGCCCCTCCTGGTACAGATAACGTAGCCCGCGCTGCCGACGAACAACCCTCGCGCAAGGCGGGCCCCCTGACCAACCTCATCTATGGCACGAAGGAAGGCCGCGAAATGGATGCCCAGATTGAGGCTAGTTTCAGTCAGGTCCTGGCCCGCGGCAAGTACGTGCACTCAATCGAGTTCCACGATGTCAAACCCGAGTGTGTGGAGGAATACATTGCTCTCGTGGGCAAATGGTACCCCCAAGTCGCCACCGCCGCCGAGAATAAGGTGCACCTGGTTGGGAGCTGGCGGACCGAAGTCGGCGATTGTGACACATTCGGTGAGTTGTCCCGCTCCTAATGAGCCAGTGAACGGCGACTTGGAAAAATGACGCAGCTGACGCCCCCTGCTTCCCAGTCCATATCTGGGAATACCAACGGTACCAGGGTTTCCACGCCTCGCTGAACACGATCTCGCGCAACCCGCAGTACCCCGATTTTGAGAAGAAGCTCCGCAGCCTCGTCCATGGCAAGCGCACCTCGCTCATGCAGGAATTCAGCTTCTGGCCCACGACCCCACCACGCCAGCTAGGCGGTCTTTTTGAGCTGCGGTCGTATACTTTGCACCCGGGTAACCTGCTCGAGTGGGAGACCCACTGGCGGCGCGGCCTTAAGGCGCGGCGGGAGGTGATGGAAGGGGTGGGAGCGTGGTTTGTGCAGATCGGCGACCTCAACACGGTGCACCATCTATGGCAGTTTGCCGATCTGGAGGAACGCAAGATTCGCCGTGAGAAGAGCTGGAGCATAGAAGGCTGGGCTGAGACGGTGCACAAGACAGTTCCTCTGATTCAAGAGATGAAGAGCCGTATCTTGGTGCCTATGCCATGGTCACCAGTGGCTTAATGGCTGAACCATGTGGTCGTTGTTCGGCGTTGCGCCTTCTGATCTCGGCACTGGCTGTGTATATAGGGCGGTTGATCTCTTTTGTCCCTTACCTGTTTTTCTATCACCTATTGCCTCCCGCCTTTTAGGATGAGGGCTCCTGGAGGGTATCTGTACCAGGCAAGCATAGTCGCCGGCGTTGTTTATAAGCCAAGAAATCATGAGATCATTCATGACCCAAATTGCGATGCACGAATTCAGTTTCAGCCCATCCAACCGCTGTACATGTACACACAATGTTATAATCGCGCCCCATCCACCGAAGGCATACCTAGTCATAAAAGCACGCTCAATTTCAACGATATCCAAGACAACAGGTAAAAACGCGGACACTGCCGCCAGGGTACGCCATGCGATCCAACTCCAGTTTATGCAAACAACGCGGGCTAGAGATGCCATTCTTGGACTCTCCCGATCTGCCATGTCCCGCACCATCCATTCTAGAAGCGTATATGCCCTTGCTCCGCGGTTTTGTAACCGCCTCGCCTCTTCCTCTTCCTTCTGCATCATAAGTGACGTCCGCCGTGGGAGCGTTACGTACCACGTTCCATATAACCCCTGCCCCGACCAGAACGTCCTCTTTATACTCAACTGCAAGCTCAGTCTCATAAACAACACCACCACCACCACCATTCACACCCACAAATTCCTAATTCTTCCCCCCCTGTCCCCCCTCTTCTTCCCTTTCTCCATGACTCTCCCCACCAAGAAGAAGATCATCATCCACCTCCTCACCCAGCACGGCGCTCAAATTCCGCCTTGCCAACGCTAGCGTATGGCTCAACGCGGTCAGTTTCGAAGATAGCGATAGTAAACTGGGATCGGCGCTCTCGACGCGCAGTTTCTCACGGACGAATACTTCGGTGGATTTGGGCTTGTTTTTGTTCTTGTCGCGTGTGCCGGAGAGGGGAATGGGGGCTGCGGCGGGGTTGGATGCGGATGTCTCTGTAACGGTGCTGGCGGAGGCGGGGACGTCCGGAGAACGGCGGTGCTCGTGGTGGTGGTCATCGTCTACGCAACAGTATCCGAATACTTTTTCTGTCTCGTCGTGTTCGAGGCGACGGGCGGTGCCGATCGCCAGCGCGAGTTTTGTGCCGAAGTTCAGGGGTGCATCGGCTGGCTCGAGGGTACGCAGCCAGAGGACGAGGGAGGAGTCCTCGATGCCGAGGTGGAAGCTTAGGGAGGGGTGGGAGGAGTTGGCGTCGGGCGGTTGGAGGGGAGGGAGGAAATGTGAGGGTGCGGCTGAGCGGGTTGTCCAGGTATCGTCGGAAAGTTTGTCGGAGGGGCCGCGGAGGAGGGCGGAGGCTTCGGCGAGGGATTGGGCGAGGAGACGGAATTGGTCGGAGAGAAACTGAGCGGGGGAGACGTCGGATGGTAAGGGGGTGTGGGGGGTTTTGGAAGGGTATAAGTAGGAGAGGGTGAAGTTGAAGAGCTCGATGGAGTGGGTGAGGAGGGAGTGGAGGGTGGTGAGCGGGGCGAGATGGATGGGATGGTCGGGATTAATGGTGAGGGTTTGGTGAGGGAATGTACGGAGGCGGATATGGATTGTCTGGTGGATCAGGACTGAGGGTTAGCTTGTCCACTGGAAGCTGAAAAAGAAGAACAAAGTCGAGATTGGGGGTGACGAACCCCTTTGACTATTCGTGTCCCGATCCGAGTCACATGCCCCTTGACAATCTCATTCCTTGGTGTGCTAAGCACCAAGGTGCTCCCCGGGTCGATCGGCGCAAGCAGCGCATAGCAGTCTTCGAGACCATGGTTGAGATTCGTGAAGGTTTCGTGGAGTTCGTCGATGAGCCAGTCGAGTTCGCGTTTCTGAGGGGGGACATAGGGGTCAACAACCACCCACGATGCATCAATAACTTCGGTCATGTCGACCAAAAGCTACGTTGTCACGGGAACTGCTGGAGACTTGGACAACCTGGAAGAACATACCTCGGTCGCCGCGACCGCGACTTTAAGCTGGTCTGGCGCGACGGGAGGCCAGATTTCAACGGACATGGTGAAGGTAGTCTATTGCTGTATTTGTTCTTTAGAGTAGGCACCCATATTTCAAAAGTGGTGATGCTTGCGTGAGGCTGCTGCTTCAAGCGGGCAGCTCTGAGGATGCCTGGAGAAACCAGCTAGGAGCTGCACGCGGGATGACGACGCAGTGGGGGAGCTTCCAGGTCAGCAGTCAACAGGCCTAAACTGGCAGGCGGTGAGAGACTCGGGTGGACATCCCCGGATCTTGGCGCATACCACCCGCACCCCACCAAAAAGTTGGAACCCTGGATCGAGTCGAAGCGTTCTGCATGTGCGAGACCCTGATGCGACCAACGCCAAAGCGCTCCACGTGCCTTCTCGACAACGTCAAGTTTTACCACGATTATCAATTCCTTGGATACTTCGGCCCTATTTTGCTTTTTACCACAAGGATTGTAAGGCGTCCGCCGTTAAGACGCTGTGGACATCCAAACAACCCCAGCATTAATCGCCGCGACCGCCTTCTCAACGAGCGCAGCCGGCATGGCCCCAACAACGCCAGCCGACAATGGCGCCTCCCAGAACACCGCGCTCGTAAACAAGCCAGATACCAAACTCCCACCAATACCCAATGGTATGTCCCCCCGTACCCCAAACCAACTCCGAGGTCCTAACTAACCTTCACCTTTCTCCCCTTCAGGATCCCGCATCGTCAAACGTCCTCTCCCAGGCCCCTCTCCCTCCGCCTACCCACGCGCACGTCCACACACCCAACCCCAACCCCAATCCCACCGACAACCCCCAAACAAACCCACAACAACAACAACAACAACAACAAAACCACCCACCACCGCAACCCTTCCCGCCTTACTCGCCACCGCCGACAGCGACGGCTACATCCCCCCACCACGCGCCGCCCACACCGCTGTTCTGAAAGTCTCCTCCAGCGCCAGTTTCATGAGTCTTGTCCGGCGAGCACGGAAAATACTAGATCGCCGGGCGACTGCTATGACGATGGGGTCGGGGCGAACCGGAGGGGCGAAGGGGTTACCGTCGCTTGCGGCGCGGGTTGCTGCGTTGGGGGGGAGTAATGCTGCGAATGGGAGTGGGAATGGGGGTGGGCATTCGGGGTTTGTCACGGATGGGTTGGACGACGTGTTATTTGTGGCGACGGGAAGGGCGATTGAGAAGGCGGTGGAGTTGGCATGTTTTTTTCAGAGGGAACGGGAGCTGATTGTGCTGATGAGGACACGGTCGGTGAAAGCTGTGGATGATGTGGTGGCGGCGGATGAGGAGGCGGATGTGGAGGATGGGGTGAGGGTAAGGAATCTCAGCTCTTTGGAAGTGGGCATACGTTGGGCATCTTGAGTTGGTTTTGGTGTTGGGTTTTGGCCGCCATGTTGGGTTTCCTTGCATCCTCGGTTCTTTTGCATGGAAGCAGGGCTATACAGGGGCAGTGGGATCATTCGGGCTTTTGCATTAATACCGGCGTTGAGGTTGTGAACGATATACACGTGTAGTCTACTATGTAGTGTCAGTGGGGTCTCAAAGCTTGACATGAGACAGGAACCATGTGTTTTAATTTTCAGCAAGGGGGTTCCTGATGTTTCTGAAGTGGAGTTGTTTGACCTTCAGACAACTACGGAGTAACTTGAGCATGTAATATCAAATGCAAGAAACTAAGTGATGTACGGCGGAACATTACCAAGTTGACTTGTTGATGATTTCAGCGCACGAAGCTAAACGATCATTCTCACTCGCTTCCCCATTAGGTTAGTACCGGGCCAAAGGAGGGTTTCTGGAGCAGTAACGTTGGTTTGTACGAAGTATGCCGTATGACACCACGCTGCCGTATCTCTACGTAGCAAACCCAACTAGTTTCCACGTTTTTCTTCGACGCCCGTTCGCTGGACGTCGGTCCACAAAGTCGGACGACATCTGAGCCCTGTGCACGTTCATTTTGTCCACAACGGCCGAAACAAATATGAAAACCTTGAACCGGAAATTGCATTTCGGTTTCACAAACACCAAGAGCCCACGGCAAGCCAACGCCCAGACCATGTCGTGGGGTCTTAGACGCCCGTCTAACTGAAACAACCGTTTGGCCGATTAGGGGGCCGACCAGCGACAACCTCCCATCAATGCGTTAACCCCAGGTTCATCCCGTCGGCTGAAATCGGACGGTCATCTGAAGTCTTCGCAGGAAGGCATCCTATCCAGTTCGGACGGTTCCTGGGAAACGTCAAGAGGCGGGTTCTAAAAAAAAAGGTATCCTTTCGCCCATCGTGACTCAGGTTGCCAGTCTCCTTGGCAACGTTGATTGCTGCGCAATTTGAAAGCTCAAGCCGCGTATATTCCCACAGCATCATTACCCGTTTGCTCAGAGCCGCAAGAAAAGGAGAAACGAAGGGAGAAGGCCGTAGCACGCGCACGTTTCGGCACTGAGGGGCATCACAAACCCAACGAGATCCGATGCCACGACGTTGGGGGCAAGTCACGGCATGGGTTGTCACCCTTCCCAACAGGTTTGAGAACACCCGCCGCTTCACCCGCACCCGTTCCTGTGGTCATCGGGCCCGGCGTTCTCGTTAGGCACTCGGCACACACGCACGGCACTCTTGCAACGTGGTGTGCCCGGGTCACCAACACATGGCACCACCCAGGCAAGGCAACCTCTTTCCCTCGCAATATCGCCAGCCATTTGCTGTTACACTACTCTCAGCTTCATTCTCATCCTTGAAGGAACCCCACAAAAAGAAGGCTGTCGCAAAAACGCACAAACCCGACGAGGCAGATAGAGAGCGATGGAGCCGGCGATTTCGATTTCCCCTGTTCCGCGAAATGCATTTGTACCCCAGATTCGCCTGACGAGGCGGGCGAGCGGGCCATCTCCCCCCTTGGCTGGCAAGCGAGTTTTGTGTTGCGCTCACTTCCATTTGCTTCGGCACGGTTCCCCCCTGATTGGGGTTCTGGCATTCTGGGGATGTTGGCGTTGGCGTCGGTTGGCGCGAGCTTGAATGGCACGTCATCCCAGGCACACCAATCAAGGGCCGCCGGGGCAAATTGGCCAAATCTCGCACCTCACTGCCGTTGCTGGGTTGCGTTGCCTTTTGGACCCAAGGATCTTGCGGATCATTTTGCCCAGATCGCAATCGTCCTGAAAATTCTGAAAAAATCTCAACAGCCAAGCTGAGGACCAAAGAAGGGAAGATGGAAACTCCGACATCGTCGACCCCGAAGCCATGCCAGGGTACGTGATCTTTTTTTGTCTTTTGGCTGTGGCGGCGGCGCAGAGGAAGCGGCTCAGACGAGCGAAGCATACTTTATTTGGCCAAGCGTCCTTGGCCCCCGAGGTCGCACTCCAAGGGCGGGACCTTTGTCATGCAATTTCCCGTTGAAACCCGCGAGCGACCCCGAAACCGTTTGCGGTTCGGAGTTGGCGAGAATGACATTCCAGCATCATCGGATTCAAGACAAGGAGACCAAGAAAAGGGAGAGCGCGAAAAAGGGAGGCGCTTCGCCAACTCCGCTGATCCCTGGGGGGGCCGAGAGAAATGAGGAAAAAAACTCGATCGCAGCAAAAGAGAACGTGATTCCCTCGGCCCGGGCTGAGAATTGCTGTGTTTGGCTGCTTTGGGCGCTTGCCCAAATGACTGGGCTCGAGGGAGGTCAGCAATCCCTGCCAAAAACGATGCAGGTACCGGTCAGTCCCTCGTGGCGCCAAGCCTTTCTGGGGAAAGCGTCAGGTACGTCCCGCTGACAACTGCGGCCTGTGCAAGGCGCTTTTTCTTTGTTGTTGTCGACCGCCATTGGCGCCCCCAGTTCGCAATTTGCGGCCCAAGCTTCGGCCCCCCCAGGGTCCCCAGCACCCCAGGCACACCCGCTACCATCGTGGGCGCCTCTCATTCCTTCCCGCGCCTCCTCTTCATAACTGTGCCGCCCACTCATCGACGCTCGTTTAAGTCCTCCTTCCGCTCAGTTCTGCTCCCACACCGGCTTCGTTGGCAAAGTCTACTCTTTTCGGAGCACCTTAACCACTCATTCCGACCTTGGATACTCGACGTATCCAGTCTGTCATTCTTTTGAATCGATTCTTTCGCTGCAAAGCACCACGCGCCCTATTCAAAACGCCACGCTTTCGCGCCCAGTACCTACGTTTCCGTTAACTCGTTGAAACAAACTGGAAGACCGATTCTCTCACAACTCACGAACAACCTCCACTTCCCACCCGGACTTCAGAGCTCAAGCTCGGCTTTCCTGATTCTTCACCACATCTTCTACAAACAACCAGAACAAGCACAATGCATTTCCCGACGATCGCCGCTGCGCTCCTCCTGCCCTTCGTGGCTGCGACGGACCTTACCACTATCACCTCCACCAGCACCAGGACGCTCACCAAGACTGTCACCATCCAGCGCGCTGCCGCGACACACACCGCGCACAACAGCACCGCGATCCTCACCACCCCCTCGGCCACTCTCGCGCCTTCCAGCTCCAGCACCACCCCTCCAGCTTCGTCATCCACCGGCGGCGCGTCAGGACTAGGCGCTGCCCAAGCCGCGATGCTTGGTGTCGCTGGTCTCTTTGCCGCTGTGGCTCTTTAAGCCGGGCACGGGCCTATCAAAGTGGTTGATGGGAAGGAGTTTTTGGATATTAATGGCAAACTATGGGGGGAGTGTTGCGAAGGAACGTATGAACCTTGGACAACAACCGACTCAATCTGAACGTACCTGCTCGCCTTTGACGCAGCCTGATCCGTCTTCAGGCCTGGCCTCATGACACGCAGGATACATCCCTTCCGCAAGGGGATGGGCTTCTTCATTTTTCTTCTTCGTTCTCCCAGCAGAGCCACCGGTCCCCAACGCGAATTCAAGCCGCCCGAAGTCATTCCCCCCCGCCGGCCGCTTGCGGCATACCGTCAACCTTGATACCCCTTTCTCCATTCTTCAATCTTCTTCCCGCCCGCCTCTTCATTCATAACTGGCGCGGGCCTTTTTCGGCATACTACCTTCAAGGGGAGGATACTCGGGCGACAACACGGTGGTTCTTGCCTGGCTGGACTTTTTTACTTTATTCTTCCCGGGGATGGCTTGATCTGGGACAGAATTTGACTTGGCATTGATCAGCAAAGTAGGGAGGGTAAGCAGGGGCGGCGGGGTCAAAATCTGGTTTCAGTTCACGGCGTGGTTTTTCATGAGGAGCTTTTTACGAGGGAATGATGGATGCGGCGTAAGAGAAATATGCCCCTTTTTCTACTGGCCTTTCTTTTTGGCTTTTATTTTGAATCTTCACCTTTCGACCCATTTAACACTTATATAACTTCAACATTGGCCAATACCCCTTTGGGATCTTTACCGTGACGGCGAAGCCCAATTTCACACATTTGTCGAATCAATCTCTTGTGACCTTAACCTTCGTAACACACCCTATTAACCCTTGCCTTGGAGCCTGTCGTGTATGTGACGAGTCCGCGTCCACATCTGAGCCGTCAATAAGCGCCGGCCCAACCGACGACCACCTTCAGCTCATTCATTCACCCATTCAATCCAGCCCACAACCAGGAAATTCACGCACAGCTTTACGACCGGGCCGCCCACATTGCCACCCACATTTTTTTTCCTGTGATGTACCCGATTTTGTCGCCGCCCCGCATCACAAGAACCGAACCCGTCGGTCGCGTGTGTGACTGGCATCGGCTCTTCGGGACAGGGCACAAATTTCCGGCCGGTGTGGTGGGGACAAGAACGCCGATCATTATCTCACTTGGGTGTCTGGTGACAGCCGGACGTGAACGTCTTCTGGTCTTACGAACAACGTTGGAAAGCAGTCTTTTTGGAGAACTCCCTTCGCTTCGCTGTGTTCATTGGAATGGTTCATTTGCAGTAGAAGGACAAGATGATGAACTCAAAGAAATAACTGCAGTGAGTACGACCAGAAACGCCGCGAAAACGAACAACTCAAAGCCGACGCGCTCTCACAAACAACCCGATCGCCGAGGATATTAGCCACTGCCGATCAAGGCTTGACTTGACTTTTTGTTTAAAGTTGCCGAGTTGCCGCCCTTGCCGCCAACCCTGGAGAACAAAACAGAAAATCCGAGGGAGACGAAGCGACTCGGCTTTGACTCGGCTTGTCAAATCTGTCAAAAGAGACATGTAACTACATCCGAGACGGAAGCGGAAAGAAGAACATGTGATACTTCGTACTGGTAATTCGATCTTGCAGCCGATTTGCGTTGATGAGCACGATCCCCGGAGCGGATCAGTCAATCACTGATCGATCAACACCACTTTTTGTGGACGCTTAACTTAACACACGTGGCGCATCAAACCAGATCGGGAAGAAACCATTTCAATTTTATTCATGACAGAGAAGCGAATAGTTAGCCTGACACCGAAACCGTGTACTTTCGTCCTGGTGACCCGTTCAAACCCCCAAGCCCATCCATACCAACGAAACATCCTTTGATCTGGTCAAACCCCTCCCAGAAAACGTCAACAGAATGAAAATAAGCACAGCTCATCAGAAGGCAAGCAGATTTCTTCATCAAATCAACACGGCATGGTCTCGTTACGGCATGACTGAGCGAATGATGTTGGTCTCAAACCACCACCTTCTTACCGGTATCCGACCGAAACGCCGCCAGCGTGCTCGCAAACGTCGCCCGGTTCTGGTCCCACGTCGCAACATCCATCCCTTCACTGGTAATCATGCTGACGGTACCAATAGTGTTGAGATTGTACATCTCAACCGACAACACCTCGCCCTCTGCGCCGCCACCTCCAACCCCGCTGCCGTAGGCGCCGTCCGCTTGGCTTTCCCCGGTCCAAAAGATGCGCGCCTGGCAATTCTCGCCGGACTTGACCGTGCTACAGCTTGTATTGTAATTGTTGAAGAAGCTGTACAGCCCGGCACCAAAAACCACGACGTTCTGCGAGTTGATGATACGCAAGCCCCAGGCCATGGCACAGGGCGGATTGCCGGCCAAGACTGGAGAGCCGGGGCGTTCAGTCTGGCACTCATTGGTAAAAACGGGGTCGTGGATTTTGAGGTTGGGTTGGGCGAAGGGGTAAGGTGCCGGCGGGTTGGGCTGGTAGTACGGTGTTTCGGTTTGAATCTGGCCCATCCAGATGTCGGATGCATTGAGAAGCTGGTACTGGTACAGCGTGTAGTGCTCGACCGAACTTCCGACAATCCAGACGCGGTTGCCTTCGACCAGCAGTCCGCGGGCAACAAAGACGCTGATCCGCGTCGAGTTCCAGTCATCGATATCGTGGTCAGCCACCCAAATCCAATTGTTCTCCATGTACAGGTTCCGCGCGGAGGGGGTGATGTGCATGCCCATGTATCCGGCGACGCACGAGGGGTTGACGTAATTCGGTTGGTCCGGCGTGGTAGGACACTCGGCAACTTGAAGCTGTGATCCGGTGAAACCGCCGACACGAACATGGACGTCCCACAAACCCGACGGGGTATCCCCAGGGGTGCATGTGGTCTCCGCGGCCGGTGTGTTGAGGTTGTATTGAATCATGATAGCTCCCGCAGTCGGGCCCTGAGTAGAGACAATGAGGTCGCTCATCTCGACAGAGCCAACATCCCCGGGGTTCCCAACTTGTAAGACGGGCCGAGGATCGTTAGGGTCAGAGAACTTCTCGCCAGCACCCAGAATGACGCTTGCCAAGCCTTCACCGATGACACGGGTGTTCGGTGGGACAAAGATGGTGTCTGTGACCCGGTAGTACCCGGCGTCCAAAAACACAATCGAAGACGAATCTGCCGCCGCCTGGAGGAGTGCGTTGAGAGCGGAAGTGTCGTCAGTGGACCCATCGCCTGCTGCATGATGATCTCGAGCAGAAAGGAAGCTTGAAGCTGGATACTCCTCGTAATTGGGCTTCGATCGCTCATAATAACGATCTCCAAGTTTCAAGGTCGACGGCTGGGAAAAGGCAAACTCCCGACCCTCCAACAGAAAAGGGCCTTTCGGAGCATATGTATTGCCCTGTCAAAGAATATTAGCTAACAGTTTAACGGCATGTGTCTCAGAAATAACATACTCTGGCATAGCCCTGGTCGTACACCGTTCCAGCTGGCTCGCCCAAGAGAAGCGGTTCCCCATTTGCCCCGGCCAGGACGGTCGGTACATTCTTGTATTCGACGTTCTGGAGTACCATAGATCCCAGGCCAGTCGTGTTCCCGGGGTTCCGGCCCGAAATCATCGCAGTGCCGACGTCTTCAAACGAGCTGTCGAGAAGGATCACAGAACCAACGTCAGAGGAGGACATGTTGATCCCAACACGGGAGCCGACGATCTTGATAGACTTGTACGTCCACCCCCAGTTCCATATTTGATCGATGGCAGTGTCGGATCCGTAAAAGGTGAGGTTACGCATCGTATACTGTTGGTTCCCGAAGCGGGCGCCGTACTTGCCCCCGTAGAATACCAGGTCTGTCATGGTGCCACCGCTCCCTTCCTCCATGAAGATGCCAATGTGGGTGTCGTCCTCGAGGGAAGACAGTTTGAAGACACAGTTTTGGACCAAGGTAGCTTGAGAAGATGGCCAGTGAAGTCCGGTGATGGTTCCGCGGACCGAGGTAGTGTCAAACACGAGGTTGCGAATTTGCCGGAAGAAGACATTTGTGGCTTGGAAGTTGAGTTCTGGCACAGACACAGTTAGCGGCGGATACTGTTCGAGCAATGGAGCGATCACGTACTTCCGCTATCCATGTAGGGATCGGCGTCCAGCATGGCGATGGCCTGCGTGGGAAAGTCCGAGGACGCCTTGATCGCGGGTAGACTGGTTGGATCACCGATGAACTGAGTGTAGTAGTAGCCTACAATAGGCGTCGAGATGATATAGGTTCCGGCGGGGAAATAGACAATGGCTGGAGTAGTAGTTGAGGCCGCGCAACTCGGGCCCCCGCAACGATTGCCGCTGCTGATCGCCGCGTTGATCGCAGCGGTGTCGTCGGTAACTTGAATTATCGTCAGCAAGATAGGTGTGTCTCCTGAGATCGGAATAACCGTACCTCCATCTCCCTTGGCTCCATAATCCTTTACGTTTCTAAAGATCTTGTAGTCACGCGATGGGTTAAACGGCGCGATTCCCTGGCGGTGGATGTCTTCCATCCAGTATGCTGCCCAGGCTACCGACGCCGCGGCCAGCAATAAGGCGAAAATCGACCTCATGTTGTCGATGAGGGCACGATGTTGTTTGTTCTAGTGGTGGAGATCGTGCTGATAAACGCGACGATTCGAACAAATCGCAACAGATCGCAAATAGTTGTCGGGATTGAGGTGAAAAGTGTTGCGCGAAGCGGAGATGTAGTGTTGAAGGTTTTGGTTGTTTTCCAAGACTGGTTATTCAACACAGAAAGGATATGATAAGAGGGACGATCAGAGGATGGTGCCTAAAGTAGTCTCAAAGAATTGAATAACCCCGACGTGGTCCTGTAAATTGGATGGTGGATTTGAAAACATGAGAGCGGGGGAAAACGTAAAGATATTTCTCTGAGGAAGGAAGGGCAGCTGGCAGGAGACCCGTGGACCCAAGGCGAGGAAGGAACGCACCTTCCTTGTGACAACTGACAAGCGAGGGGAGTTTTGCTGTGGTAGTTTACACTAGGCTGCAGCGTAACTAAATTTGTTCTTCTTGTTCATGAAGAAAAGCTTAGGTGAAATCTCTGCCATTTCAAGCCGGCAAGTGGTAAACAGGAGAGAAGTGCCTGCGTCATACAGAAAGACTCCAAGGGGAAGGTCATGCATTGCAATCTATCCGTACTACGTTTACCGGCTACCGGGCGTTTCGAGAAGTTCCAACCACGTGAGACAATATCTAGAGCCCATATTGTATATGTATGCTAAGATCCCTACTTGGTCTACCATAGGCTCAGTTAGGGTTGACATCCATCCGGTGTTTTTAGTATTATTAATTACAATTTATTTGAGTCTGCGTTCATCGGAACGGACCAACAGGGTACGCACAGCAAGACGCATTTCTGCTTCTAGGAACAATTGGCTAGCGTGTTGGTCGAAGAAATGCGTGCCTCAGTAGGTGTGTACCTGGCGGACTCCGTCGCTAACGTGTGTAGTGGTGGGGACCGGGTGAGTGTTTTTGAGTAGCACCAGAGAAACGTCGTGTTAATGGTCGTCTCAGGAAGAATGCATTGTACTTTGGTCACTTGGTGCTTAACTGCATAATTATCTCAGTACTGTAATTACCTGCTGGAACGCGCCGAGATGACCGTAGATACGAGACAGTTGACCGGCTTTTGATTCGACAAAAGGTATGTCGAATTTGGAGACAGCACCCAATGAAACTACTCCTGGACCCAATCCAATCCCTCCACCAGTCCACAGACTCCACCTCACTAAAGCACACCGTAACCGTTAAAGTTGGAGGATTTATTTGCTTCTTGCCATCATTGTGGCACCACACAGTGAAAATGGCATTCCGACCGGACTCACCGGAGGATGTTAAACCTCTGCTCCTCCATCTCCCCTACTCGATTCGACACCGCATGTACTTGTATGTGGGGGTCGTGCCATGGGACCATCAGCTCCCGTCCATGATTGACCTGCGGCCCCCCCGCAGACGATATGACCGAGTTAGCTTCCACGGGTTACTACTATCTTGCCGAGTTCTCTATGGCGAGGTGTCAAGACTACTTTACTCTTCCCATGCTGCCATCATCCATTACAGATCCGTTTCCGGAAAGGACGCCGGCGCGTCTCCGTCACTTCAACCCCTTCGGAACCTTACCGACTCATCACTCGCATCAATCAGGCAACTGAAGATCGTGCTGAATCAAAACGGATGCCATGAGACAAGGCCCGCGGACCCACGGAACGTTTGTTGGCGCTGCTGCGACTACCCCGGGACGACACATTTTCATTTCGGAGCCGACTACTGCAAACCTCACCTTCATGACGAGCCACTACGAAGTTCTCAACACCTATCTGGACCACTTTTGGACGAGCGGTGCCGCACGGTGCAGCATTTGTCTTCAAGAATCGGACCGGATGTCCTAGAGCTTGCCTTGGTATGCGACCTCGATCACACTCTGGCTGACAGTGAGGCCCTGGCAACGAAACTCGTCGAGCCACTCACGTCATTACCACGGCTGAGGCAGTGTCAGATTTGACTTTCCAGGAGTCGCAAGGCGGGCGCACTGGCTGAAATTGCACGACGTACGGTGCTGAAAGCCTGCCGTTCCCCCGAGGCCGAACTTCATACACCATCACCTTCGCCGGGTGCCACCGGCTTTCACAGCCTTCCACGGGAGTTACGACTTCAAACTCTAGAATATACCGATCTTGTTATTCCCTCGCGAGAAGTGATGTGGACCAGATTTGAACGGGCGTATTCATACCTTGAATCTGGCTGTGGCGCCAGACAGCGCCATTACGTCCGCTGTTATCTTAGGGACCACTACTTATGCCAGTTTTCGGGATGTCACGGCCCCGAATACCCTCACGCCAGGCCACAATTCTTGGGCCCTGGTACGCTGGGCTGTTTTTGCCGAGCTCGGCATGCCTCTTTCTCGCCCATATGTCGCTGCTGGGCGCCACCTACCCCCTTATTTCTTGTTTGCAAAGGTTTAACAGAAGATGCGCGTTTTATCTTCTTTTCCCAAAACCGATTCGTCGTCAGCGACTCCTTAGCAGCACCCTGTACTTACTTTCCTCTTGACATTCTCGCCAATAGCCCGTGGCATGAGCATACGCCCGACTGGGCCGAGTATCTGTCGATTGGGCTGGGCGAGGCACCACCACCCAGCAGCTACCCAGCAGAGCGCCTTTCGGCAAGTGAATTCTTGCGGGATGTTGTGCCCACAGGCTCCCTAAATCACCTTCGCTTTCTCGAGGTTGTCTTCCCTCCATACAATCACAACTGCTGGCCAGACGACGCGCATCCGGCATTGGTAGATTGGGCGGCGACCATCGATTGGCTCCAAGACAAGCTCAACATCAACAAATTGACCCTGAGGTTCACCGTAGCGGGGTCAGAGTTTTGGCCGCCCCATGACACAGATAAACGGGTGGGTGTCACCCAAGAACAAGGGAATAGAGTTCTTGCAGGGTACGATCGCGTTGCGAGGCCATTAGGTTGCCTCGGACGCCGTAAGGGGGGGTTGGCCCGTTTCCATGCGGATTTGTCGTCACCGTGGATGTGGTTCGGCTGGGTGAATGATGAATACATTCATACGGGGGAGAGGCCCGATATCAACCTGGGGCAGCTCAACGAACACGTTGAACGTTTGGTTTTGGGAGATCGCTATGATACTCGTGAGTCGGAAGGAGTGGATATGGGGATTTGGCAGGATATTTGGGAGACCTTGCGCGTTTAGGCCTCGATTTTGCGACAGTAATGATAGAGAAACTTTCAAATTGATAAAACAACGTTGAACGGGTATAACAGGTATAACAACCTAACATCTCCAAGCCCACGTAATAAAGACATAACTCTAACAAACAGTACGTCGAAACCCAGGGTGTGAGAAAAGGCAAACGCAATCCAGTTCCCCGCGAGTGTATCCAGTCCCATCCGATCCGTACTCCATATCTATACACTTAAAAACATACAATCAGAGGCCGGCCGTTTAGCAATTAATCTGCCGCACTCGTTAGCCATGAACTCTTTTCAAGCAACAACAGGCGGTGGTGCTACAACAAGAGAGGAAACAAAATACTCACGTCCCAGCAGCTTCCCCCTCTTCGAAAACTCCCTAGCATGATGCTCCTTAATCTTCGCCCGCCTCGCCTCCTCCTTAGCCTCGACCTCAAGCAAGCGCACATGCTCGCGCGCCTCACGCGCACTCTCCCGCGCAGCCATCAGCGCCTGATCCGCCGCCTTCTCAGCCCGTTCCGCGCCCACCAGCCGCTCACGCGCCTGCACGATGCTGGGGTCCATCTCCGGGCCGTGCCGGCTGCCGTGGCCGAAGGAGCGGTGGAGGAGACCTGTGCCGCCGGTGCTGCTGCGGCGGTCTGGGGAGGTGGAGGAGTGGGTGGTTGTGGTGCTGGCGGTGGAGGTGCGGGTAGGGGAGTGACTGTGCTTGCTGCCGAAGAGGCTGTGGCTGTGCCGGGGGGGTTCTTCAACGACCGGCTCGGGTTCGGCGTGGCGAGAGAATAGACCCATGATATTTGATGTTTGAGTATTTATTTTACGAGAAAGGAGTTGAAGTGGTGGTTGAGATAAGCTTTAAGCGATGTTTGTGTGGGTAAGGACAAGATGGAGAAGGAATATGCAAGACCGTTGGAAACCCGGGGGGACAAGTCCCCTATTTGAACTTTTTTGATCTCACTCAACACCATCTTTTCGTTACAAGTTTCCAAACTTGATTTTGGATCCATTAGAACGATCGGCGACGTGACGTCAAAAGGAAACGCGCTGATGGTCGCACCACTAAATCTTGGTGTTGGCGGTTCATCCAATGAGCGCAAGCCCATGACGGAAGACGACCGGACGGGGACCAGCCCGGCACAGCCCTTCATGCGACATGCGATGAACAACCGAAATGCAGGGTCCTTGGTTCTGGACTTCCCTCCACTACCTGACCTCATTTCCGGTATCTTTCTGCTTGAGGGACCATGTCATCGACGTCAAGCCAGAATCCCGCTCACGGGACGGACAATGAAAGGCAGCACCTGTACATAAAAGAATACTAGGTACTCCTAGCTACTGTACTGTAGTTTGGAATGAGACACAATTTCAGGAACAACAAGTCGAGTGACCATCCGCTTTTCATCGAAAGATCGGAACCCTCAGTGTCAAGCAGTATGTTGATTTACAAGCGCATCGGACCCTTCTCCAGGTGAAGGGAATTGGGGATTTCCGGTGAACGAGGACTTGGGTCCGACGTCATTCTCATCGAGGCGAGCTCTAGATGCTTTTTTAGCGCGGGTGGTATCCTTTCACTCGGTTAAGAGGGTGAAGAGTTTGGGTGCGCTGGCAGATGCTTTTGCTCGTCATCTGGCTTGGGGAAACATGGTTCCCGTTGCAAGTTGCAAAAGGGAAAATGACTTTTGCCAAGACAATGACGCAAACATGGGCTGCTCTGCAAGGCCGGAAGAGGCAGGTGGGTCCATTCCTCAAGCCATCCAATCATGTGGCTTTACCCGCCGCGTCTTTCTCGATCGAGCAACCGCGCACGGCGCGCCTGAATTTGTTCAGTTGGAGCTTCCAAACGTTTGCAGCGACCAAGTGCAGTCACCAAACTCGGTGATCCCCAACTCGACCTTCCCTCGAACGCTCCGACAATATTTGATTCGCTCGGACGGATCACTGGCTGTGCGACTTTGCCGTTGCCGCCATGGATTCCCCTGTTCGGGAAAGTGAGCCCATGGCTCTCGATGATCAATCGCGGTCTCGATCACGAACCCCCCACTCTCGTCGTACGCGATCGCCTTCGCAATCGGTGGACCGCCGCCGTTCCGACGACCGGGACGACCGCTCACCCGGGCGCAACGGCCGATACAGAAGTCGCAGCCGCGGACGCACTCTCAGCCGCACCCCGAGCCGCAGCCGCAGCCGCAGTCGCAGTCGCACTCGGAGTCGCACCCGCTCTCGCAGCGATTCGCGCGGCCGGAGCTATAGCCGGGAAGACGATCGCTCGCGCAGTCGGACTCGCAGCCTCACTCCTCCCGCCAAGTCTACCAAGGTACGCAAGCACAATTTTAGGCGTTGGCTAGAAAATCCAGAGACTAGCTCGTTGCGACGGCTGGCTAACGAAGAGCAACTGCAAAGATTGTTGTCGAGCGCCTGACGAAAAACGTGAACGAGGACCACCTTTACGAGATATTCGGGCAGTATGGTGAGATTGACGACTTGGATCTTCCCATCCAGAGGACATGTACGTACACTCCAAACCATATCTCCCCAGAATCTCTTTTCAGGATCAGCGATCTAACTCGGATGCTCCCACAGCCGGATTGAACCGCGGAACGGCCTATATCCTCTACTTCACCGAAACCGACGCCCAGGCCGCCATCACACACATGCACGAAGCGCAACTCGACGGCAACATCATCCACGTCTCGATCGTCCTTCCCCGACGCAAAGTTTCCCCTGCTCCTCCCCAGGCCCGTCGCGGTCCCCGTGGGCCCCCGGCCAACGTGAGGTCCGTCCTTGGCCCATCTGGCGGCGGCAGCGGCGGTGCCCAGGGCGGTGGTCGTGGCAGACGATCACCTGGCGGTGGTGGTGGTGGTGGTGGACGCCGCGGTAATCGGTCCGACGTCTATCGTCCGCGGTCTGCCTCTCGTTCTCGATCGCCGGCTGTGAGCGGTTCGCGCAGGTACAGATCCCGGTCTCGGTCGGCGTCCTATTCGTCACGGTCCCGATCTCGTTCACCTGCTGGGCGTGGCGGTGGAGGCCGCAGGGGCGGTCGTAACCATGGAAGGCGCCGGAGCGCCAGCCGTGATAGCTACGATAGTTACGACCGACGCAGCAGGAGCCGGAGCCGCAGTTAATTTGGACGGGATTGGAACGGACATGGACGGAGGTGAAAGACGAGAAAGTGTGGATTTTCAAGGGCAAAACTACTGGCGTTCTGGGCGGGCAAAAAAGAATGGAAACCTTTGGGAACCAGAGCTGAAGTATGCTCTGCAATGTGTGTTTTAGCATTTGGCGTTGATGACGAGACGAGGCAGTATTGTAGCACTCGCGGACTATTGTCTAGGTTAATGATTCTTCGTGGTTCTGACGCGCGATTGTGCCAGTTTGATGCATGGAGTTTACCCCAGTCGTGCTAGTGGGATTTCTTACACATACGAGGGGGCCTCGACATCTTGATAGTGGCCAAAGAGAGATGGCCTGATTTTTTCCACTTCCCACTTTCGACTCTGGCAATCACATCCACAGGGGGTAGGTATTCCTGGTACCTCGATGGCGTTGCCGTCGTCACTGACGAACTAGCTCAAGATTTTCCGTCGCAATGTTTCAAGCATTCCCTTGTTGCTGCATGGGGCTCCCACGTCGACCCAAACATCACCACTCCCGGCTAGTTTAGTTTGCGGTCCTTGCGAGAATCTTTCCTTTTCGCTCTACAAGCAGTTTTGACGCGATGTTTTGAGCAAAACTGGAGTTCTTCCACTTCGAACCACGGGCTCTATTTTGAGTCCTGGGAAACTAACATATCATACAGTATGCAGACGCCGGGGGTCCGAAGTCGGCCAACTCCTGGCTGGACCACCCCAATTCCTCGACTTGCACCCACCTTCGTGCATCTTCATGGGCTTCGTTGCGTCTTTGATATCGACGCTGGGCAGCCACCGGCGTGTTGGCCCCGAATGACTCCATGCATCGTTTGTCCTGACCCTGCCCATGATTCCTGCAGGAGCTTGTGAGCAGCGGTACGGTGGAATCTCTTGCCTGCTGACCGGAACATTTCCCATTTGATAGCCCCAGGGACCTTCCTCGTGGTAAAACACCCAGCACATGCCATCCTCAAGAATACAGTGGTACACAGTGTTTGGGTTCTTTATCGTCTTCCATTGTTTCTTTGTTGGAATTTAAACCGACACCCTCCGTCGGGCTGCCGGCCCGTGGAAACTTTATGCGGTGGGCAGGTGTCGTTGTACGGGTTGAGAAGGGATGGGGGGGTGTCCCCCAAGGTGGACGACCAAGCACTGTGTCCTCTCTGGATCTCCCCGCTCGTGTGACCGACTCGGGTTGCTCGCGTGTGACTTCTGTGATCTTGCTGTCCGGGTTTTGTTTGCCAGGTTTGTCTACAAAGGATGTAAGGGATTGGGAAAAGGTGTATATAAGGATCGACGAGACCGTCAGTTTGTGTGGATGGTAACGCTGCAGACAACCACAGCAAGAACACTTTCACCAGACCCAAAACTCGCGCGGGTAAAGGATCAATACCCATAAAGCCAAATCAACGCTCAAACCAAGCTCTTCATCAGAATGATCAGGATCCAGGAGTCACTCCTCTGGGAAATGGGCGTCTTGCCCTCTTTCGAAGCCCACGGCGTGGGCCTTGTTAACACCGAGGGGGACGACATCTCCCCGTACATTATCGGTCCCTTCCAACATAATTACCTCCAAGGCGGTAACGACTACCTCACCCCTGGGAGCATCACGACCCCCAACAGTCCTGTTACACCGCCGCCGAAGCCGAGGCCAGGCCCGGTTCAACCCCCTCCTGATAACACTCCCCCTAACTCCTGATTGGGGGCGGAAAACGAGTCGAAGGGGATGGTTCTCAGACGGACATCAAGTAGGGAGATCATGACTTTATCCCAAGTTCTGCGACGCAGGAGATTGATAGAAGAGGAAGGGAAAGCATAGGAAGGATTGAAGTGCTGGGTGGATGTTGGTGGCGTATGTCTCGGTCGTATGAGCAGGACTACTCCTAGACTAGAAATAGACAAATTTAGGTAGCATAATTCTATGATGTAGTCAGGGAGGATTCTTCCCTAACTCAAACTTGATTCAATGACGGCTAGATATGCTGGGGAGGCTAAGTTGATATGTGAGGACCAAGTTCAGGATGTTTGGCGGCTCTGTCAGATTGTTGTCTTAGTCTTCAACCCATGACGTGCTTAACCCCGACTTTAAAAGGTGTCCAGTAATTCTTGCCAATACAGAAGGGGATAAGATTCCCTGTTTCCCCAAGGTCTAAAACAATGCTTAAAGCTCTCACGAGAGTTAGAGATGCTGGGTTAACCCGAACCCAGAACCTTACAGCAGCACATGGCGGCCCATATGCCCCTCATTGGCGCGGCGAAATGTGGGGCACCCTGGCACCGATAAGAGAAATTTCCGGCTGATAACGGGAATGTCTAGCAAAAAAATCGAGGACGCGGGGCAATGCCTATCGAGTTCCCCGTTGATTTGTCTTGCAACCATAAAATCTACGCCGCAGCAGCGCCTGATCTCTGCACTGCCTGGCTGGCTTACCTTTTTCTCCTTTTCTACATATATCCCGCCCCTTTTCGGTTCTTGGTACGTGTAGAAAGTATCTGCACATACACTTCCGATCCCAGTTCCACTACGCCGCACGCTCGCCTCGATAACCCGAATCGCTCGAGATAAGACAGGAAACATCCTATGCCGCATCCCGTATCACCGCCGGCAACGATGACGGTGCCCATCAAACCGCCCGATGGCGCCGCCCCGGCCCCGACCCAGGCCGAGGTATCCTCCGTGATCAACACCATCTTCACCGCTAAGACCTCCTCCGCCTCGATCGATGCCTGCTATGGCCTTTGCGAGCTCATCCTCAACTCGGTTGGCTTCCAGGGCCTACACTACTATGGCGTCCTCGCCGAGGTGAAGAAGGCCGCTTCCGACAAAAAGAGCGGGTTGCGCCGCGAAAGCGCTCAAAACCTGCTCGGCGCCCTCTTTGAGCGATTCCCTCCCCGCCAGCCGATCAGCGAAATTGTCTTCCTCCTCCAGGATGGCGGCATCCTTGGCTGCGCACTCGACGCCCTTGCCGATAAGGGTGCCGTTGTCCGGGACGCCGCCCAATACGGTATCGACGCCCTTTTCTCCAACCTGTCTGCCGAGGCCATGGTTGTCGCCCTTCTTCCCGCCCTCCTAGAGTACATCAAGAAATCTGGAGGCAAATGGCAGGGCGTGGTGGGCGCTTTCAAGTTAATGGAAAAGATGGCCGACAAGGCCAAGATCAGCATTGGGACCACAAAGGAGCAGGCGCAGGAGCAGGACTTCTTGCGCGAGGCGATGGGCGCGAAACTGGCGAGCCTCATCCCCATTGTCGAGAACGGCATGCTGGACATGAAGACCGAGGTGGAGAAGCAGGCTGTCAAGACGATGACCTCGCTGACGTCCCTCCTCTCCAATGACGACGTTGCGCCGCGCATCCCACTGCTCATCGAAACCATGCACCACCCTTCGGCCGAGGCCGTGCAAAAGGCCATCCACGCCCTATCGCAGACAACTTTCGTTGCTATCGTGACATCCCCCGTCCTCGCTTTGCTTACCCCTTTCCTCGAGCGCTCTCTCAACAACCCAACCACGCCACAAGAAGTTCTCCGCCAGACCGTTGTCATTACCGAGAACTTGACTAAGCTTGTGCACGACCCCATTGAGGCCCGCACTTTCTTGCCCAAACTCCAGCCCGGCGTTAAGAGCGTCGTCAACAGGGCTTCGTTGCCTGAGGTGCGCGAGCTAGCCACCCGTGCTCTGGGGGTCATGGATAAGGCTATGGGCGACGACAAGACCACCGTTGTGGAGCGGACCTCGGTAGAAGATGTCGCCAAGGTCCTAGACGCCGAGGTCACCACCGCGGGTGGACTGTTCGGAGATGCTAACGCCTACGCGCTAGCGCGCCCCTACATCGCTGAGATGGTGAGCGAGGACGTCAACCACCGCCAACTGGATCGCATTCCTTCCAAGATTGTACCGTACCTCCAGTTCTTGACCCCGGCGGCGGAGACCGTTGCCGCGGCTGTTCACAAGTTTTACGTCGAGGAAGACCACCGCAAGTATGGCGTACCCGAGAAGGAAGACGACGGCGAGATCGAAATCGTCAATGCCGATTTTTCGCTTGCCTACGGCGGCATGCTTTTGCTATCGCACACCAACCTGAGGCTGCTCAAGGGCCACCGTTATGGCCTGTGCGGCAGGAACGGTGCTGGAAAGTCTACTTTGATGAAGAGCATTGCGGGGGGCAAACTCGAGGGTTTCCCTCCTCAGGATGTGCTGCGGACTTGCTATGTCGAGCATAACCAAGGTGAGGATGCCGACATCAGCATCCTGGAGTTTGTGTCCAAGGACCCCACCATCGCGAAGGAAGGCAAAGAGAGGATATCGACTGTCTTGGAGGAGTTCGGTTTCACATCTGGCCCCGAGGGTCGCCAGTCGCAAAAGGTCGGCTCGCTCTCGGGTGGGTGGAAGATGAAGCTGGCTCTTGCGCGTGCCATGCTCCAAAGAGCCGACGTCCTGCTCCTGGACGAACCGACTAACCATCTTGATGTCGCAAACATCAAGTGGCTCGAGAACTACCTTAAATCCCACACCGACATCACCAGCTTGATCGTGTCCCATGACTCCGGTTTCCTCGATGAGGTCACCACCGACATCTACCACTACGAACCCAACAAGAAGCTCGGGCTCTACAAGGGCAACCTAGCCGCCTTCGTCCAGGTCCGCCCGGAGGCCAAGAGCTACTACACCCTCTCGGCGTCCAACGTCCAGTTCAAATTCCCCCCTCCGGGTATCCTCTCCGGCGTCAAGTCCTTGACACGCGCCATCATCCGCATGACCAACGTGTCGTACACCTACCCCAACGCCCCCAAGCCCTCGCTAAGCGATGTGTCTTGCCAACTGACCCTGTCGTCCCGCGTGGCCATCATCGGCCCCAACGGTGCCGGTAAATCGACTCTGATCAAGCTCTTGACGGGCGAGGTCATCCCTTCGGCCGGCAAGGTCGAGAAGCACCCAAACCTGCGTATCGGGTACATCAAGCAGCACGCTTTGGAGCACGTGGAAATGCATCTCGAGAAGACACCCAACCAGTACTTGCAGTGGCGCTACGCCCACGGCGATGACCGTGAGGTGCACATGAAGCAGACCCGTGTCTTGTCCGACCAGGACCGGGAGCAGATGGACAAGTTCATCGATGTCGGTGATGGCAAGGGCAAGCGGCAGGTTGAGTCGCTTGTTGGGCGGCAAAAGTTCAAGAAGACCTTCCAATACGAGGTGTAAGTTTATCATGTCAACCCCTTTTGACTCGTGCGTGTCATCCCACTGACATGAATTTTAGCAAATGGCGTGGCTTCCTCCCCAAGCACAACACTCAAATCTCACGCGAAACCCTCCTCGAGCTCGGCTTTTCCAAACTCGTCCAAGAATTCGACGACCACGAAGCCTCCCGCGAGGGTCTCGGCTACCGCGAGCTCCAACCCTCCGTCATCTCCAAGCACTTCGAAGACCTCGGCCTGGACCCCGAAATCGCCAACCACAACGAGATCGGCTCCCTCTCCGGCGGCCAAAAAGTCAAAGTCGTCATCGCCGGCGCCATGTGGAACAACCCGCATCTCCTCGTCCTCGACGAACCGACTAACTTCCTCGACCGCGACTCCCTCGGCGGCCTAGCCGTCGCCATCCGCGATTTCCGCGGCGGCGTCGTCATGATCTCCCACAACGAAGAATTCGTCGGCGCTCTCGCCTCCGAACAATGGCTCGTCCAAGACGGCCGCGTCGCCCACCGCGGCGCATCCACAGCTGCCCTCGACCGCTTCGAAGACAGCGTCACCAGCCCCGGCAACAGCAAGCCCGCATCGGCGTTCAACAGCGGGTTGAACACGCCGATCCCTAGTTCGAGCGCTGTTAGTAGTGCGGTGAATAGCGGGGCGGAGGATAATGGGGTTACGGGGGAGAGCATGAAGTTCCGCGCGAAGAAGAAGAAGAAGTTGACCAAGAAGGAGTTGAAGGAGAAGGAGGCGCGGAAGCGGTTGAGGCATATTGAGTGGTTGAATAGTCCCAAGGGTACGCCCAAGCCGCTTGATACGGATGATGAGGCGGAGTAGGCTGTTGGTGTTGTGGTAGGGCATGGAACAATGGGATATTAACAAATTGGGATTGGGTTTCCTTTTTTATCTCGACGACGGGCGATGATGGTGATGATTGAGCAAGCAAGCAAGCATTTAGGATGGATAGGGTGATGAGTTGCTTAGACTGCATGGCATGTTGGTTTGAGACGACGTGGTGGGTGATGCGATATTTGGGTTGGAAAAGCAGGAGAGGGTTATAGAGAGGACTGGCTTTTAGAGGCGTTGTCTAGTTTACATGGCTTTTGTGGTTCGCATAATAGAGGGTTTCATTAATGATCCAGTGACATCCAATCGCGGGTGGCGAGAGTGTATGCCCGAGGTAATGAGCCGGCTGCGGAACTTAAGGGGCTAGCTACTCGACTGAGGGCTCTTCAGTCCGTCACGAAAAGCAAAAGGGAACAGGCATAATGAGGAGATAATTACTTTATTTCGTAAGCCAACTCCACGCTCTCGCCCTCTATATACCCAACAGCCAGCCAATAGATACCCAACATATAAACGGAAATCCTTCATGACATGACTACGTCGGTTCGTAAGACCGCACAAACAAGCAGCCTAAAACCACAAAAGCAAACAATACGCTTTCACCATATCCCAAACTCCAACCAATGTATTTACTCCCTCCTCACCCATCTCCTCCTTCACACAGAAAATTCCCTAACTACCAAGAGAAAGTCATCAACGCAGGGTTCAACGCCAGCGGTAACAACAAATGCGACGCCGCAACCGTAGCCATGGGGAGAATGGCGACAAAGTCAGTGATATGCCAGCCGTACGGGATAAAAGGGGCGACGGCAAGGATGACCATGCCGGCGATGAACAGGCTGGCGAAGAGCATGGAGATTTTGAACTGTTGTCGTTATGTTAGCAACTATTGCACAAAGATAGCGGTGGGCCATGGGGGCCCAAAAAAAGGGGAAAAGACCTACCTTCTTCAACACCTTAGGCACCTCAATAAAGAAGTTCGAAAACTCCGCCTCCTTCGACGTCGCGCCCCAGGTCATATCAATCTCAAACATGTGCGCTAGCAACGCCTGCGAGACATGCAACGACAACCCGCCCAAGAAGATCGCCAACAGGAACGTCCACTTGAAGTTCTCGTACAACGCATACAAGATGTTGCGCTCCCCGACACGATACCGCATGACGGCCAACGCGATGTTGCCCAGCCCGTTAAAGACAATAATAATCGAGAACCAGACCTGCCACGAGTCGACGTAGTACTTGTCGAGGTAGCCGTTGAACCAGCCCATGATGAAGTAGTTGACGCTGGTCATGATCCAGGCGGCGCCGATGGCGTAGTAGGTGCCGATGTAGGAGATGACGGTGATCTTGGAGGTGAAGCGGATGTTGGAGAAGAGGAAGCGGCGGAAGAGAGGGGTGAAGGGCCCCTTGTAGATCCATTTGCGGATCGGGTGGAAGAGCAGCTCGTTGCAGCCGTAGGCGTACTTTTCCCACCGTGCCAGCTCGTCGTACACCGTCAGCGACACGCCCTCCTTGAACCCTTCGCCGGCCCAGGCGGCCAGGCGGATGATGTAGCCCGCGCACTGCAGTCGGAGAGACATGTCGAAGTCCTCGGACACGTGGCTCTCGGACCAGAACTTCTCGTAGCCGTCCTCGTCCTCGTACGAGACCTGCTGGATGGCGGACCAGCGGAGGATGGCGTTGTGGCCGACGAAGGGGGCGACGTCGCCGTTGGAAACGGTGTAGCGGATGGCGCTGTAGATCAGGTTGGTGAAGAAGGTGATGCCGTTCTCAAAGTACGTGTGCACGACCTGCATGACCCCCGACGAGAACTGCATGATGCCGACGTCTGGGGACAGTTCCATCTCGGAGACGGCATCCAGCAGACAATCGGCGGGTACACGGGTGTCGGAGTCGATCAGCAGGATGTAGTCGCCGACGCGGATGTTGCCGTCAGCCCAGGCGCGGCCGTCTTCCTCGAGAACCTCCTTGAGCGCGCGCTCGTACGCCTGAGCCTCGTCGTTCTGCGACCAGTCCGGGGTGCGGTTCAGAGCTGCCAGCTTCTCCTCGACTTTGCAGGAGATCATGAGGGCGAAGTTCATGTTGGAGGCCTTCTTGAACTTGCCGCGCCGCAGGAAGCCGTTCTCGCCGTGCTTCGGGCGGGCCACCCAGCCGATGCTGTGGTCGGCGTAGAAGTCGATACGCGCGCGGCGGTCCTCCTCCGAGATCAGCTGCAGGCCGTCGTCATTGATAAACATGTTGGCCGACCCGCCTTGCAGTTCGTACGTCGACATGGCCTGCTTGATGGACTTGACAGTCGGGGCAATGACACCGCCAAGGCCCTCCTTGTAGACAGGGCATTGGACGGTAACATGCGGTAGAACGGTAGACCGGAGCCTTGGTGGGGGCCGGGCGGAGTAGAACTTGGAGTTGATGGTGAGTTGGCGGATCGGCCCAAAGATCTGAGCCAAGCAGCCGACAATGACCTGGCCGAAGAAGAGGGTGAAAAAGATCTGGACGGGGAACAACGCCACAAGCGCCAGGCGCAAGTAGCTACCGTCGACTGAGACCTCGATGGCGAGCTGCCGGAAAGCCGCGCCCAGGGATACCGTGACTAGCACCAGCGTCATGCTGACCAGGTAGGTATTCAGCAGGTGGACCGGTCGCTTCTCCGGCTTCAGCTCGCCGCTCTCCTCGTCCACCTCGGGTTCCTCCACCACGGGGCCCGCCTTCTCATCAGCATCCTCCTCAACACCGGCCTTCCACACCAACTCCATCAGCTCGGACTCAATCGCCTTGGCTCGTTGCACCAAGTGCAGTGCCTCGTCATCCCACACCACCAACAGACCCTCGGATGCGACAAACGCCGCGAACTGGTGTTTCCTAGCACGGGGGAGGTCATCGATGGTGGGGAGAATCTGCACCCGCAAGCCGTTCATCAGGGGAACATCGACAGCATCGGGTGACCACTGGAGAAACGTCTTGATGACTCGGGAGTTGACTGTCATGGCGCACTGATAGCTGAGTTAGTAAACCATGTTCACAAACATTGAGATACAGGGACGAACACACCTGCACATTCAGCGCGGCACAGGCCATCGCAAACGGCGACTCGCCGAGCTGTGGCGGACACGCCATGTACTGCCCCCTCGTTTTCCTCAGGAGAACACCTTCAATCTCCCCACTACCGTCCGACACCCAGAGATTCGAACATTGCTGCTGGTACAAGTAGCTGACCATCACCTCGTGCTTGATATCGTCCAAGACCGAGCTCCCCGTCGACCTCGCCGACCGCCCTGAGATGGACTGCGGCCGAGAGCTGTGCCTAGGGGTAGGCGGAAGAAGTTCGAGGCCGAGTTCGGGTGATGGCGTAGGAAAGCCGGAGGGAGATGGTGGTTGCTGGCGAGTCTGCCGCGCATTGCTGCGTTGTGGTGAGACCGGTGCGGCCGCCGGGGTCGCCGGAGGCTTCCCGGCCTTGAAGTAATTCCCGATTCCCATAGCGGCGGTAGCCCTCGGCGGTTACCCCGTTGATTAAGTCCTCCTCTCTGAACTGCTGAGGCGCGCAACTCTCGCCGCCCGCCCCAGAAGCCTGGGAGTTGGCGGCTATTACTGGCTGAGTCTATGCCTGGGACTCCAAGTTAAACTCCCTTTCCTTAGGTAGTGAAGTCAACCTCCCAGTTAACATGCACCCGGGACCGAATTAGCGAATGGACGGCTTCAGAGCGAGCTGGAAGCCGGAAAGTAGCGAACGGGTCGAGATCTCAGGATCGTCGTCGTCGGTGTGTTGTCTCGAGTGTTATGCGAAGGAGACACGGCCGGAGGAAGTAAAGGCCACCGGATACTCAACGGCCGTTGACGGTCTTTCTCTTTGTTCCCGACTGCCGGACTGCGGCGCGGACCAACAAGGTTGAAAGAAAGATCCCGAACGGTTGGGAACGAATGTAGTGTACAGTGGAGATCACCAGGAAGCTTCAAAGGTTGTGAGAGAGCAATGGAAGGCTGGGATACAGTGCAACAAGGGAGGGGAAAAGTCAAGTCAAAAAAAGAGTGCATGGCCAGCCAGCCAGCTAGCCGTAGCCCACGAAGCAGAGCTGGTCGGAGTGTTGCAGCAGAGCAATGCAACGCTGGGAACGGACGCATGGGCACGATGGGACGCCATGGTCGCTTCTCATCGTGTGCTGGCGATTGGTCTGGCCCTGGCGAGTTCTTGGTGGGCGCCGGCCCATGCGCTTGGCGTCCAGGACAGCATGCAGGACGGCGGAGGGCGTCCAGACCCCTGGTCGGCGTATCGGCGGATGTGTCGCAGGGATTAGGGCGGCCGAGGCCTTCTTCGCTTCCTCGTGTCGGTGATAACCCGCGGGGCAGCCGGTTTCCCGATCTGTCCAGCTTTTACCAGCTGCAGTGCTGCGGCCTTCCGTGGATGCACGGAGGGCCTAGTATCGGTCGCACGAAATCGCATATCACCAAATGGGAGCAGGTTTCCAGCTGGCTGCGAGGAACGCACTCGAGAACGTTGATGTAGTACAGCAACGGTCGCTTCTCATCTCCCACTTCGCGTGCTCATGCTGCGGCTGCGGCCCTCATAGACGCCATCAGGATATCTAGGCGCGAAAGGAAATTTCGCGCAGGTCATGGCGTTTGGGCGGCGGCTGGATGTGTCTGAAAGATCATGATTGGGGGGTGACGCGATTTTTACTCCTTTCCTTTTCCCATCGCCATGCCCAGCTCGAAACACTGGACCCGGAAGGCGACAAGTGGCCAGCAACGTTTAACGCAAGGATCTTTCCCTGACAGACCCGACGAAATATTGCACTTTGTGTCAATGGACCATGATAACGGATCGCTCCGTTTTCGACTCTTTTGCAGTGGTATTCGAGTGTTGAGGCTCTGCTTTCCCGAATCCGAGGCTGATGATTTTCGTGAGTGGTGCCGGGTTCCGGGAAGATGTTCGATTGAAGTTTTGGAACCCACAGGGGCCCCTGTCATACTTTGTGACCCCCGCTTAAGGTGTGGGTCTACACACCAGATGGAAGGGACGATTTGAGATGTCTTTGACCGACCCTTCCTCAAATTCAGTTTTTTAGTGTTGGGAAGATTCCTATGACTTGGTCCATTGACCGAAAAAATTGAAGCAATACTGGAGAAGCCCCCTCCCGGTGGCTAACGAACGGAGCTGAGCGCCCCCCCGCCCCGCCGGGTATGGTCAAAGCACCAATATTCCACGAAAGCTTCAGCGTTTTTCTTCCTTAACCGGCGGGTACATGCGCCTTCATCGATCTTCAGCTGGCAGAAAAAGTCCCTCACCAGCAAGCCCAGCAAGGCGGCAAACAGATCCCGTCTCGGAACACCAGTGGAGTCTCCAGCATCCCTGAAGTATCGAAGCAATAGCGCCCTGCACGGACACTCAGCTCAGCCCTTTTTTACCATTTTCAAGCTGTAATTACAGGTAACTAACGTTAAATATCGGACAGAATAAAATTTGCCAAAAACAGCCCACTTGAGTCTATCTCAACGCCGTGTAGTGACTAACCAAATCAAACCTCTCGCTGGTCTTCAAAATCTCTCAGCAGTTTACATTTATCCGTGGGGGAATCGCACCAGCGTGGTCCTTCAAAGGACCGGAGAGAAAATACGAGGATTGGCATTGGTAAACCACGTCACTGCGACAGCCAAAAATAGGCAAGGACGTTTCCCTTTCTGGCCAACCTTGTTCAATCAGATCGCATCTGCAAGCCACTGCATCGAGCAGGCCCCTCCCCTCGTCTTCGCCTTCGCGAAGAAAATTCGAGAGTGGGAAAAAAGCACAAACGCTCGGCATCTGCATGGTTGCGGTGACACAATAACGCCCAGTGCCTTCCCAAAGAAGAGGTTGTTAAACGACACCACTCCACGAGCATCTCGGAAATTGCCCAGGTGCAATAACCAACTACTCTCCCAGCAATACTGACAGCCACAATGACGAGTCACTAAACTAGCTTACTATGTAGCATTATTCCCCTCGAAAAACCGCACAGAAAATGAAACTACCACTTTTTGCGTCGGAGGTGCCGCTTCTCCCCCCATCACTTGCCCCATCGCCTAGAAGTTTGTGTTCAGCCAGGGCACTCCCGGCGTCTCGCCCGCTGTGTCTCACCGTCTTACCCGCCCGCCCAGTGACTGCCCAGCCCAGCACAGAAACCGAGCAGAAGAGGGGTTGGCTGTAGTTGACGCAGGTCCGATAAGACAATACGAAGTGAGACAACGCATTGAAGACACACCACAATGAGTGGACAGCAGCTTTTTTAAGTAGTTGGCAACCATGAGTCTCGAACCTAACCTGCGGGTTAACGTTACTTGGGCGCGGGAGGTGGGCGGGGAAGAAGGAAAAAAACACTGAACATCCACCACCCAGCTCCAATGAACGGTACCACCAAGCTGGGAATTTTGATGCAAAACAAAAGTCGCTTGCGGATGCAGTCAGCAAACGCAAGATCCTGTGGTCCGTCGACAGGAGAACGATGAAAATAACGATATCACAACGGCCTGCAAGTTCAATTCGTAATTCTTCTTTTAGGCACCTATCTTTAACCGATAGATCAATCCCGTCCGACCAGAAATGACACGACAAGTATCAGCAAATATTGGAAAAGCCCTGGTTCAGCCGCTGATAACAAACAGCAGCTGGAGTCGGTGGCTACAATCAGTGACGCTTCCATACCATGGCATATCCTTACAATTCCAATACACGGATCGAAAGCGGACCCGATCGCCAACATGGTTCAAGGTTCGTTGTTTGATGCGCCATCCTCATGTAGGTTAGCGATGATGAACTGGTGTCTTTTTTTTTCTTCCTCTTTTTTTCCGTCGCATCTTCTTTCGCCATCCGCGATAAGGGAGGGGTTGCTTGTCCACCGCCAGAGCGGTAGTTCTGAAGAGGGACCTGCTGTTTGGAGCACCCCCCCACCGTCGCATCGCCTTCCCTTTCCGGCCCTAAATTTCTGTCCTGAATCCCTCTCTCCACGTAGTGATGTATGTCCGCAAGTGACGGATGCCCTAAGACTACAGGAATTTCACCGCCAAGTGTCCCGAGACAGGCAGTTCTTAGGCCGGAGAAAAGCGCAGGGCGAGACGCCGCGGGCGCCGTAGTGCGTTTCAGGACCCTAAGAATGAACTGGTATCCGAGCGCTCAGGGGCAGCTCGAGCACGGAAAACCCAGTGTATTGTCACGTAGTGTATTAATGCTAATTCGGGCGCGGATGGAAAACGCAGTGTCCAAAATGCATGCTGAGCCAACTCAATTCCAGTCGTAAATGTAGACATTATACCCAAAACCGAAACGGTAAAAACAAAAATTCCAGTCTAGACCCCCAACACCGTCGCCAAAAATTAAATACCAACAAGACAACAAAGAACCGTTAACCCTTCCCGCTCTCGATCAAAGATCTTCATTCCCATCACACTGTTGCCACATCATGACCTTGCTAACCTCCATCTGCGGCTGAGTCCACGTCGGGAACCAACGGTCCTTAGCCTGCCAAAAGTCCTTGCGCGCATTGGGCGAGGAATCCAGCCAGGGCTTGCCGTTAACGTTATCCTCAAACCATCCGTTGGTGCCACCCACGCCAACATTGAGGATCAGGAAAAAGGGTTGATCAAAGGGCGTCTGGGCGCGGCCGGTATGGCTCCAGATATCGTTGATGCGCGCGCCCTTGTTATCCAGGATGGGGAAGTTACCGCGTCCCCACATGGGCTCGTCAAAGTTGACGTACAGCACCTGCAACAGGCGCGAGTTGACGTAGGTGAAGAGGTACTTTTGCGACCACTCGATGCCAAACGTGTTGAAGCCGTCCGCGTAAGTCGTGTGCAGCGACTGCCGCTTGACGTTGGTGCGCCACCACCCGTCGTTGCCCGGGTTAGGTCCCCAGTGCAGTGCCGACGACATGATGTTGTTGCCGCCCTGCGGGTAGGTGTAGTTGTTGCCGCGCGACTCCATCAGGTCGATCTCGCCGGATGCAGGCCAAGGCCCGTAAGCGTCGTCCCGGGGCATCATCCAGATCGCTGGCCAGAGCCAGTCGCCAGCAGGCAGCTTCGCGGTGACCTCGACGCGGCCGTACTTGATAGCTGCGCCGGGCTTCGTGTTAATGCGGCCGGATAGAACTGGAGGCACAATCGAGGAGTTGCCAGTCGTGATGTTAGTGTAGGCGATGCAAGCAGCGGGCGACTTGGACGTGCAGGTGCCGTCCTTGAGCAGATCAATCTTGTAGTTCTTTTGCATCAGGGCGTCATCCTGCGGAATCGCCTTGATCATCAGGTTGCCGTTTTCGATGAAGACGTTTTGGTCCCCGCCAGTCGTCTGTTCAAACTCGTTGTTTCTGTGTTCAGAGATTAGTCTCGTACGTCTCACTGAAGCAAGCGGCAATGCATAGAAAAGCTTACCCAAACCCATTTACTTGTACCTCCTTTAGCCACACTTTCTCGTTGAACCCATTGTCCCAGTTCTCCTCCAACACCAAGCAGTAGTTGTGCTTGACCACACTCCGAATGCCATCCCACACCAAGAAACCAGAGATTCCCAAGCCGATGAGGATGCCAATGAGGGGCAAGATAGTAACCCACTTCTCCTTCGGATCCGCCTGCTTCGTCCACGGTTTCTCGACCTCGCCCTTCCGCACGCGTCGAGAGTGGAAGTAGCGTTGCCCGCCGTCGAAGCGGCCAATGCCTGACGCCGAGTCGAAGCTGCTGGCGGGGCGCGAAACCGAAGGGCTGATGAAGGGGTTGCCGTTGGGCCCTGAGGATCGGTGCGATGCTTGTGATTCGAAGCCGTCGCCAAAGGGACCGCGGCCAACAGACTCGCTTGGTGTCCCCGGCCTTTGTGGTGTTCCAGCGGCCGTGGAGGCCATGGATGGCAGGTTGTTGCCGGCCGTGCGGCCGAAGTAATCGCCGTTGTCCATCAGACCGGATACCGGAGCGGGGTGGATCGCAGTGACTAGGCGTCAAGGCTTGTGAGTGTGTCGAGGTGTCGCTCACTCCTACCGCCTCAATCGAAGATATGGCGGGAAAGATGTAACCACCAGTCAACCCGGAGTAAGAGCAGGGGGGGAGGGTAAACTCCAGAGGGGCAAGCGAGTGTATTATCGTAGGTATCAGGATGCTCGTCGGCCCTTAACGAATGGAGGGGAATCGGGTTGGCCTAGTCCGCGGTTGCTTCAAACACACAGCGGAATCCCAGCAGACGTCGTGGCTAAGAACGAAAGACTCTCCCCGAATGAACTCAAGGCCGGCGATGTCTAAGTGAGTGGGATGAAGACAAAACGATTCCTCACAGCAACCCTGGACAGGACGACAACAAGAAAGAAAGAAAAATCCCGGCCCACATGTCGCTGAACTCAAAGCGAGACCGTCCAGGGTGGCAGCGGCTGAGGGTGCCATCGACCAAGCCCCCCAAGTCCGGGCGCCCGCACACACGGGAACACCTCTCTTCCCTCTCTTCCCAGTTGCCGCCATCGTGGTGCCAGGGCGGAGCTGGGCGAGACTGGCGCGGTCTGGACGGCGGGCGGCATGCATTGAGCTAGCGCATGGGCCCTCTCGCCCTCTCTTCGCTTCAGTGGAACGTTGGACCGAAAACGGGATGTTGGAGTCTTGGCTGCCGTTCGTGCCGGCCATGGTGTGCCTGGCAAAGCTGGAAGCTCTCCCATTGCGGGAGTTTTGCAAGACATCGAGAGGGTCCCCAGCTGCAGAAGCAGTCGGCCCCACCGAATCCATCGAACTATCCGTATTTTTCAGCGCCTCCATCCATGAACTCTTTTTTTGCAGCGCAACAGCACAAAGAAGGTTCAGATTACGGGCTTGGCGCCACCGAGGGGCGAGAACGGCCGGTCCCGTCGTTCCTGGCAATCACACTTGCGCTGAGGCGCTGCCCGATTAGGTTAGTGCGGACAATTTCACGGCCAGCGGGCGGCTGTAATAAACCTCAACAACTGCTGAAGGCCCGTGTGCGTTGGCCATTCTCATCACCATCCCACGTCTCGACCCCGATAATGCTTCCCAAGGATACCCGAGGTGGCGCACTGAGCGAAGCGAGGAGTATCGTGGCCACGCATTGGGAACCTAAGATTTCAGCCGCAGCGACTGTTTGTCTTTTTCTCCGACGGGATGAAAGGCAATACCGGAAATCACCCAAGAAACCGAGGTGCAACATCCATACACTATTCGTAAACTGGGTAACTTCAAGAGATAATTGTCAGTCCCCCGATCACTCCGGCTCGAACCTGGACCAAGTGCGCTAGAAGTGTAGAGGATCAATCCATCCCATGCTCATATTTCTCGTCTGCTCAGACCAATTTGATGGTTTTGATAGGGCTGTCGGTTTCTCGGGAGCAGCGCGGGCGTGCAGATCACGATCGTCGCAGGAAGACCCCCACTCAGCCGCAAGCAGACTAACGTTAGGGGGACGACATGCCAGAATCTCGTTCTTCCTCGAACCTCAACCACAGGGTGGGCTTCCAGATTCCAATAACTCAGGAATAGACCCTCCTGATATAAACCCTAAAACGGCCAGCGAATGTTTGCCGACGGCAAACAATGTTCGTACTACACCCTGAGCTGAAGCCCCTTCGGTGGGTTACTATGGTAAGTACGACGCCGCCAGTCGTGCAAACGCAAAGTAATGGAAACTCGAACCTAGAAAAAGAAGGCTTTCATTTGTATAGCTTGGATGGAGTTGGGAAATATTTTGGCCACAAGGTCAAAGGCGCAGCGTTTTGGTAGGTAGAGTACTCGAGATAATACCGTATCAGTTTCAAGACAAAACGCATGAAAGAAACCGCCCGGTTACGGAGTGGAGACAGGATATAATCCTCTGACGCACGTTTTACCTCTCAACGAATCAAAGCCCCTTGTGGTGTAGTTGGATATCACGTTCGGCTGTAATGGAAATTATCGATACCGAAAGGTCACCGGCTCGATTCCGGTCGAGGGGAGTCAACTCTTATTTTTGTTTTTTCAAGTCCAATGGCACCTTGTTATCGACATAAAGATAGGGGAACAAAAACTGAAGCCGTAAAGTAAATAGTAAATTAGCAAACTCCATTGTCTAATGACTACATTTTGCAACTGTCAACGTCTACAATGGATTCCCAAGCTCCTATAACTCAGACACTGCTACGGACTATCAGCGGTCTGAGCGCACTACGCCGTGGACTCTCTTGACGATGCTATCGTCAAGGGAGTCAAGGGCATGAAGCACAAGGGTGACCTGAACGACGACCTGGAAGTAGGGTAGTCAAATAGTATTCAGATGCCCCTTCTCCCTGGTGTGGGAGAAGGAGGCCAGACTATATAACTACCAAGGGGAAGGCTCCATACCCTGTGCCAAGGCACGGGGTCCCTGGTCCAAGGGTGCTCGAAGCCCTCCAGCATAAGGCTGCGAGGCTTCCAGCCTCCCTTGACCAGGGCACCGCGTGACAGACACTCTCGATGTATTTTGGAGTCTTTGGGAGTAAACCCAGGGTTGACAACGCCTTTCATGCCGACGGTCCGAAGCACCAACTTTAAAATGATATGGCATCTCAACAAACACACAATTAATTTTCTAGCCTAACAATAAGCGAATTATCGAAATGTCGTCGTAGAGGTCTCTCAACCATAACCAGACAATTGAAACATTCAACCATTTGTACAGAGTGCTGGAATATCTTGATACCGCTTGTCGACATGTCTGGGTATAACCACTTGCTACCAGTTATTGAACAAACAATTATAGAGATGTAAGCCCGGTCGTATGGCCAGTACAGTACCATCAAACGGAACCTTATCATGCTACCCCTTGATCTCTTTTGATGAACACTAGACTCGCTTCGGAAAAGACGACATGAACCGTGAGCCTCAATTAAGAGGCACAAGACAAGAAACCAAGACAGGGGTTCATTCACCTGCCGCTGTCATCTCACTCCTGCGAAGCATCAAGGGTACCTATCCATCCGGATACCCGGTGACCACGTTTAGAACTCTCTAGTTCTTCCTTATATTCAGACAAGGATCCCTCCTCGGGTCAATTTGTTTCAGACCTGCCGAGCGTTACATGGATCTTCACATATCGATTGTGAATCTAGACGAGGCTTAAATTTGCAAAGGTGGGTTCTGTAATTATGAAGGGGTTGTTCAATGCATATGTGGCAGGCCAAACTAGTCACAATAACCGCACGCGAGAAAGATGTATATCAAGAAGATGATCACAACAACCCAATCCCTACATGAGCCACTAGTAGGTATCATTCACAAAAATCGGTTGCCCAAACGCAAACAGGGCCTAGTAGCAGCGGGCCCAGACTTTGGGAGAATCACCTCCGATGCTAGCCGGAGGGCATGGTAACTGAACGTAACTAAGTACAAACAAGCAAATGATTCCCAATAAATCGAATGGGAAGGTGGAGGAAGCCAGCGAGGCGTCCACACCAACGAAAAGAAAGCGAGGCAACTGCCCTCCAAAAACAACAACCATATCCCAAAAGGGGAACCTTGAAAACCCCCTTCTACGGGCCCCCAACACCTTTCCACCACCGTAAGGTGATTGCGGTTATGTGGTCGAGTATTTACTGGTTACCTTGGCGGTATGGACCACTTGGAGACCTTGCGCACGCCGTGGTGTAAAGAAAAGAATTCGTGAAGCTCGAGCTTGCCGAGTAAAAGATGTGTACAAGTAGTTACACGAAGAAAGAAATATGAATGCCCGCCGCCGCTTATAGGGCTTTGTAGATTGGTAATCTATTTGCCGTGAAAATCGTTGTGAGATTGAGGATGTTTATTCAGCCGCAATGGTAGCTTGGCCTTCAGGGGGGAAGACGTTTTTGGCGTAAGCACCACCCATGTTCCCTTAAACAAAGGTGTTAGCTGAGCCCCACGGTATAACTGACTCGAGAATAGATGATATTATCAAAGAATGAAGAACACATACCGGCAGGGAAGTAGTTGCAGACAGTGTACCAGGATCCAAGATCTGACATGGTCCCGGGTGGGCAAAATTGACTGTGGCAGCCAACCTTCTCTGTCCCCTTCCACACAAGCTGCGAGAAGTGGCCCCACTTCTCAAAGTTGGACATGTCGGGACTGTCCTTACCATATTCGCTCGCGGGGAAATCGTTCAACTCGCCGTTGTACCAGCCATTGCTGGCGGCACGAGCAACTGAAGCTGTTGCCCCAAAGGCTTCCGGGTTGGCACTTGATCCCCACATGGCTAAGTTTTGACCGTAGCCACCGCCACCGATAGATCTAGGTACAGCATTAGTAAATGTGTTGCTATGGTAATGGGAAGATAGCTTACGTATCGTGCGCGAAGACGCATGTTTCAGCTAGGGTCTTTGCATATTTCGCATGTTCATCACTCCATTCTACGGCATTGGCGGAATGGTTAAAGCGGTGAATGTTGTGATGGTAAACAGCGGTGCTTGCGTAGTCTGACGGTTTCGGCGTCTGGTCCTGCGTGGTAGAGGAAGGGGCTGGGGGGGGTTCCGACTTCGACGAGGATTGAACCGGGGGTTGTTTAGAAGAGGGGTTGGGAGGCCGGACCGTTGTGCTGGTCGTGGTTGGCTTGGGTGCCGCAGTAGACGTGGTAGGTCCAGTGGTAGAGGGCGGCGGCGGCGGAGGAGGCGGAGGCGGAGGAGGAGGGGGAGGCGGCGGAGGCGGCGGCGAGGGCAGTAACGTGGTTGACGGTTTAGACAGAGCCGTGGTTGTCGGAGGAGGCGGAGGTGGAGGTGGAGGTGGAGTCGTCTTAGAGGCCGTTGTTGTGGCAGCACCCTCTGTCACAGTAACAGTGACATATTGAACGATGACCTCCGTCTCAACGAAAAGCCTTCGGCCTTGAAGGATAGGACTGGCGGCCACCAGGATGGCACTACAGCCGACGAGAAAGAGTGAAGGCTTCATTTTCTGGGGTCGTGCTGCAGCGATCTTAGCGTATGAAACTAAAACGGAATTGTACTAGTACCAGGACGAGATAGGTAGAGGAGCTATTCTGAGAATGTGGATTCAAAGAGCCTGAGGGACAGTTTTTGTAGTCGGTGCATCACCGGGGAGAAAGCCGCAAACTTGCAAGAATTGCTGTTCCTTGTGATATGATCACGGGTTTATAGGTTCACTTGAACCGAACCGCTTCGTAGCACACAGAGCCACCGTCTAGCATGTGATAACAAAGCCACCTGGTCGAGGAGGTGGGGAGAAAGTCGGGGGATAAAGGCAGTGGGAAACAGACAAAAGAACACACCTTAGCGTTTAGTTCCAGGGAAATTTGTCGAGTTGTGGTCAAACCCAGCCGAAAAGCAGCGCTGCTGTCAATCCAGATCCGTCAAGGATGTAAGGAGATTTTATGCTCTGAGGGAGTTGAGAGGTCGGACAAGGAACTCGTAGGCTGGCTTGTTTAAACCCAAATGACGTCGATTCGAGTTTCTTGCTGCGCACGAGGATCGGAAAAGAAAAAGTCACCTGTGAAAGGGGAGACAAAGAGCAACGATGCAACTCGTTTGGCTGCCCCGGCGGGTGTGTAATCCGGAAATGATGTATGTACCAGCCAGTCGAATCTTGGGTCGCTCGAAATTGAGGTGACAGCTCGGCCGTCAAGAGGGGGAAGACTTGCTTTCCAGGGTAAAAAAGGAGCGGAACTGCAAGATATTGCGGATAATTGAAGATGTACCTTCCAGGGCTGTAAAGAATAGAAAAGGTGTTGGAGTGAAGGGGGTTGTAACAAAGGAGTGGACCGAAGTATAGAACCTCGAGAAATAGTAAAAGAACGGGAGAAAGAAGAGAAAACGAGTTGATGGCCAAACTCTGCGATCTCGTTCGTGAACGGGGAAAGAGTGCTGATATCCCAAGTGAAATAGGAAGGAACGATTGTCCGAAGCAAGCGAGCAGGCGGGACTGGGTGGGGCCCAAACTGATCCATGCCTGGCCCAAGCAGACCACAACTTGAAGGGGTCCGCGAAATCTAGGCTGGAACCCCGGGGAAGACGGTCCCCGATTGACGCCCCTTCAATTTGAGCCAACCTTTCGAATGCGGGGGGCGGGGCCGCGAAAGGGGTCCGGAAGGAATGTGCGAAGCACGAGGACTAGGGCGGAATTATCAGCCCAGGCCGTGGGTGAAAGTGAAGGAAGAACTCGCGGGGCCTGGATTTACATATACTCGAACTCCGGAGCTGTCGAGGCTTGCTGGCAGCGCCAACGATGACGGAACTAGACATCTGCATGTTCCATCGTCACGGATCTCCCGTGAGGGAGATCATCTCTCTAGAAAGATTGGACCTGTCTGAGCAAGTTGCCCTCCCTGGGCCTTGGCCGTGGGCCGACGGACCACATTTGGATGGGGGCGGCCAGTAGCAGAGGGCGGCGTCCTGGCTTCAGACAACAGAGAACCATTCATCTCATAATTTTGAGCCGGCCGTTTTCCAAGGCCCAACCTCGATCCGGTGACACGCGAGGCCAGGGGATCTGGACCGTTGAAGATGCGACGTCAAAAGTCCGTCCCCGATGACCCCTGCACCCGAAAGGGTCCGTCCGCCCCTGGGGAAGCAGTGACCAATAGGAGGGCTGTGCCTTGCAGAACGATGGCTGCATCAACCAAGAGACCTCGATCGATACTTTCAAGCAGGACCCTACTTTGACGATCAGGGACGACAAGGGGACAAGAACACGGAACAAAACTTCTTCTTTTCCCGATAATACGAATAGATGGTTGTCGAGATGCAGCTTCGTCACCTGACCATACATACCTCCCCATTATCAACGCAACATTTTTGTGGCTTTGGTTGTTGTGCAATTCGAGAGTGTTCATGCAGTCCATTGGTGTGTCTGAAGTCAAGTGGGCGTCCAATCAGTGTCAACAGCGCCATTCTGAAACGCGCCATAATTCAGTGAGACAGATGCATTCTCCTCCACCGAATTCCAACGCGAGAGGCTTGGCGAAGCTCGACAAGAAACAGCCCATTTCTCGCCTCATTAATCGCCGACTTGAATCTTAACTGCTGCTCTTCAGAACCTTCGTTAACGCATACTAGAGTTGAGGTTCAATACTACGTCGTGCGGGTAGCCCATCATCATCCGGTTGTCGAAATTGTTACATCATTCCCCCCGCCCGCTGGGCTTCTTCTTGCTCCACGGCGTCTCGATGGCTTGGCACGGGAATGCTCCTCTTACGGTGTTTGCTCCCGTCGGCTCACAGATCGCATGCTTGCGACCGCCGTCGGATCGGCTGCAAACGGAATCGTAGTTAGTCAGTACGCATGATAGCTGGACCCTGCCGCAATATCCGATCTGGTTTCGAAACGTTTCTTCTCCGCATGTGAACTTCAGGGGTACCTGAGGAAGCGGGGAACAGGTTGGCGCCCTGGCACAAGGCCAGGGCAGGAGTGTTTAAACGTTTTGAATTTTTGGCGGACAAAATCAGGGAGCGCGAAAGGAACGGCCGGAATACTAAACGAAGAGTTAACGTTAAACAAAACATTCCAAAGTGATTGAATCATTTGGAAACTCGAAACTTTTCAGTCAAGCGTTGCAGATCTTGGGTGCAGATCATTCCCTATTTTCCCTGTCCTGGAACTCCCCACAAACCTTAACTTGGCGACCTCCGGTTCGCATCCTCCCATAGGTATCATTTGACCTGGACAACCCCAGGTGAAAATCCACCGGAGACCCTGGGCAGGTCATTTTCTTTCTTACAAGGCGTATTCCTTTTGTCGTCCCACAGCAAACTTTCAAATTGACTGTTATGCCCCTACCCGGAAATGGACCATCTCACTGTGGCTACGCGCCGCATGGGGACAGCGAACACCAGACGGGTGGGCCTCGAGACACGGTCTGTGACTCCCGACGCCGTGGCTGTGATCCTTCACCAAGGGGCGCTTTACCTGACTGTGGCGGCGAATTGAGTACAACGGCAATGAATGTTGGGTCGACCATCGGACTCACCTATAAACCGCGTTGTTTCGCGTTTTACTTCTTAAAACACTAAAACACCCATCAACTAGCCCCGAGGCTCATCTTAAAGACGGGTTTTGAGTCCGAGCCTCGGATGTAGCCCATCAGCAAAAGGTCAAGATAGCCGGCCGGAATGGGCCGCTCATTAACGGCCTCAAACAAACCGCAACAGGCACACGATCCATTGTTTCCCGCTCCCCCGAGTAGAGCTGGCCTGGGGAATGCCGGCCTGTTTTGAGATCGGCGGATGAGGAATCTGACATCGCCAGCCACCTTGTTAACGCTAAGGGAACACCAGTTCAGACCAGATTGCGAACAAGTATAATGAAATCAGCAGAAACATCCGATTGTGGCTTTGATTCAGCATCACGTTCGTCTCTATACAGCGTCCTATCAACCAACCACCGTACTGCACGACCTGCCGCACCATCAGATCATTGGAATTTCCATCGTTGCTTTGACCGCACATCAAAACGCCCCTCGGCATTATTTGGCCAGCCACAGAGGTTACAATGGGTACTTGTACAACACAATGGCCGCGCGTCGAAATTGTAAGAGGCCTGTGATGGCATCAGATGTCGAACATTTCCCCCAACGATGATGGCTGAGTCAATGAATGACTTGCTCCTCCTTCTCGGTACGTACGCCGAGGTTTGTTGTCCACTGTTACTGTGTCCGTAGGGCGCCAAGGGGATGTTTGACCGCTCGGGACATCACGGGATCCTAGTTACAACTTCCCTGAAGTGATAAACCAAAATGGGAGGGGACGCATTCGTCACTACCTGGGTTGTTGAAAGCCCCCACTACTCTCAGTTGACGACTTGCTACGCCCCGACCATGACACAAGTACTCACTATTATCCTACCCACCATTGCCGAAGACATGTCAAGTTAAGACTCGTCTGGAAGAACGGACTAACCGGGCTGCCACGCATATGTCATGTGCAACTAAGGCAGATCCTGATCGTGTACCTGGAGTTCGATGTTTGGGCACGCCAAGTCTTAGCTACCCAGAGAGACATGTCTGTTCTTCGTTTAATGCTTGTAAATGCTTATCTGAGATCCGGTCTGCCACTCATCCGAGTCAGTGCTTGCTGACACTAAAACAAGAGGGGATATCAGACACCTATTCGTTTTATTAGGCATCCGTGTTTCTTCTTGTCGAGCATGTCTGATGTACCTCTATTTTTGTGCCGTTACTAAAGGGGGAAAGTCCCCCGATATGTACGCGGTGACAGTGAGAGTTTTAGAGTCATCCCGAATTCTCCTACCACCTTATTCTGTCTGCCTTGGGAACGGGCAAAGAACCCGGTGACGACAACGGGGGAAACGTTACTTTGGTGCGGGGGCGGCTGAGCGGTCCGAAACAACGTGAATGGTCGCTTGTCCTAGGTGTCAGTCGGTTTTGGCATATCCAAGGTTGGTAGAATGTGAAAAGAGTAATTACGTCGGTCCTAAATCCAACTTCCATAGGATGGCTCCACGGCGGCCTATACGCACAACAGTTTGTGGAGGTCCTGAGAAACCGTGAGTCAGTTATCGCCCTCATGTTGCCTCGGAAGGCAGCCAGCACGTGAAGCTTGCGGTAGCATCTCGCAACAGCCAGCGGCTGGGGGGCGTGTTGTGGAACAAATGATGAAATGCTCAGAGGATTGGGTCACAACGAGAAGGAATCCACCAAACTACAGCTGGGCAAGCTGATCTAGCCGCATGGTATATTCGGTATGTACAGGTTATGACCTGGACTCATCCTCCTGTATATTTTGGGTGGCATTGAAACGGATCTCATCATTGCCCCAATCGATGAAAGGAAATAAAAACAGAAAAACGAAGCTACAATCATGTTGCTTCTTCCTTCGCGGCTGCACGAGTCCGGCGCGGCTCCTCTGGTTGCCCGGCGACAAAGGGCCTATCAAACGGCAAGATTACATTGTGAGCGAACACCTGTGACTTTCGTAGGTGCACTGGGGTTGATTGCTTCGGCTGGTCGGGGATAACTTTCTCGAGGTTCTGTAAAGGAAAATTAGCCGGGGGTCAATACGCGACGGAACTGAATGCTCTTGGAAGACCCAGGAGCGAGGGCTATGACGTACCAGGTTCTGAAAGACACACTTGTTCAACCTCCACTCGTCCGGGCGGCATTGCCATAACTGATGGTTGTTGTTCTCAAGGCATTGCCAGTGAGCGCGGAACTGCTCAAGGCAGGACTTGTTAATATCCTCGAGACTAAGAGCGGCAAAGGTGTTAGCACCATATTTTGAGGTCTTGAGGTTCACCACCATCCATCCCATTCCCAGGTCGACCGATGCCAACCCACCAACCCACCAACCCACTCGCTCTACGATTCCTGAGCGCCCCGAATAAAGAAATAGCCACGTACACACTACGAGCGCAACGGGTGACCCGACGACCCTCCTTCATGCACTCAAACTCGCCACGGCCCGGCTTCTCGGTCTTGCATTGCATGTAATCATCGTTGTAGTCCTTACAGCGAGCTCCGATAAAGAACGCGGCCGAAAGCAGAGGACCGGAGCTGGCGCCGATCTCCTTGACTTTAGGAATCGAGTCCGGCAGCGGGGTAGTGTCGTAAAGCACCTGCTGGTTGAAGCTGCGAAAGCCGAGGTTAGTGCGGGGACCAAGTTGACAGGCGGCTGATCGAGGAGCTCAAGCGACTCAATTGGTGAGCGCCATCGGTGAAAAGGGTCGGGAACGGTTGAGGGCAAACATACATCGGCTTCCGCGCGGCCATGGTGACGGTGTGGGAACGCCGGTCCTGCGTTGCAAAGCTGTGAGTGGTTTCGAGCTGGCGATACTCCCACCTGTGAGGTTCGACCTCCAAGGTGGTGGGGCGCAAGAAGCTCACGGTGATTGGGCATCACTTCGAGACGCACGGACCAATTTGAAGAGCGACGCGCTGGAGCTGCCTGAGTGTTGTCGTGCAGGTTCTCGTCTGCCAAAAAGCTGTTTTGCTGGAGATTTCTCCAGCCGATTGTACACAACAAAGCCACGCCCTTAATCCACAAACCCCGACGATTCTCCGCCCTGAGCGCCTGTCGTGTGAACTTCATCTCTCTTTGGACTTATTCTCTCCCGGGCAAGCCGAAAGCCATTCTGTCGTCCGAATTTAGCCCGGTTGTCGCTGGGGGCTGTTCTTTTGATTGCGGCGAGCGTTGCGAATTGGTGAGGTTCGGTCGGGTGCGCGACACCAATAATTCACAGTCGAACGACCACAATGTTTTCCTCGCTGAATCGCCCGGCGGGGCAGTCCCTCTTTGGGGGAAATTCGACCAGCCTGTTCGGACCCGCGTCGATAGTAAGCTCGGCGCCTGCCTACCTCGCCGGCCATGGAGTCGTGACTGACCCCGTTATTCACAGCAACCACAAGGCCAACAGCAGCAGCAACAACAACAATCACAGCTGCAACAGCAACAGCAACAGCAGCAGCAACTCCAACAACAGGCCGCACAGCAGCAACTGAACCCTAATCCACAGCCCGGCGGCTCGCTGTGGCAACCCAACAGTCACATGAGCTGTACGTCTCTCACGTCGAAAGCCTTGTCGGCGCTTGTTTTCCTTGTCTTTTTTCCCCTCTTTCTGTGGCGGACTGGCAACCTTCTGCCCGAGATCTGTTGCGCTGACTTGAACTGTTATGACCAGACCAAAAGCCCGTCCCCGAGCAGATGAAACTCATCACCGAGAAGTGGGACCCGACGAATCCCAATTGCGCTTTCAAGACCTATCTCTACAACAAGGTTGATGAGCACACGGTACCGCTGTACGGCCCCGGCCCGAACGAAGACCCCAAGGAGTGGGAGGAGGCGCTGCAGAACAAGCCGGCACCCAACTACATCCCAGTGCTCTGCTCCGGTTTCCCGTCCATAATTGCCCGCGTCGCGCTGCAGCGCCGAGTAATCGTCGAGTTCAACAACAAGCTCCACGCCATCAACGCTAGTCTGGACGCAATCCTGTCGCGACACGACCTCGACCACACGGTGCGTGCTCTCAACGCGCGTCGCCGCCACGCCGAGCTGAGCCGCCGCTGCTTGGCGCTAGCGTCGCGCGTTCAGGTGCTCCGTAACCGCGGGTACGCCCTGTCTGGCGACGAGGACGAGCTGAGGCAGAAGCTTGCCCAGATCGACAAGCACATACAGGATCCGGCGATGGGTGCGCGAATGGAGGAGCTGTGGAGTCGGCTGGTGATCTTGCGCAGCTATGCCGAGAATCTGAAGGAGCAGATCAATGATACTGGGTTCCCTGAGGCCGACGGGTTGGATGAAGAGATTGAGGCCAAGGCGAAGAAGGTTAGTTTTTACGCCAACATCCTCTGCCGCACCGCATTACGTGGAGTGAAACTGACAACGTCTTTATTTAGATTCTTGAAGACTACGACAAACAACTGCAGCACCTTAAGACACAGATCGAGGAGGCCAAGAAGGATTTCGAGACCTGGGAAGCGCAACACAGCCCGAAACCGGCACCAGCTTAACGATGAGGCGGAGAAGCAAGTGAGCGTGTCAATTTCGGACCTCAAGGCAGTTGTCAGATTCCGCACCACGATACCCCATGGGCATGGATGGCGATATGTAATGTTAAGTTAACTTTGTAAATGGATGTTGTGGGAACGATTCAAGGCGGAATCATGACCCATTCCGCGCATGTTTATGTTTGTATTTGTATTCCGTTGCGGTAACTCTTGCCCGCTGGGTCTGCAACGCCGTTCTTGTCGGCTGCCCCGGCCCGCATATCTTCATTTTTGATGCTTTCGTACAGTAGAGTTGAGCAAAGCTCGACCCCGCGCCTGCTCCTACAACCTAGGGCTGTGCCAGGACCTTACGGGATGCCTTCTCCGAGCCTGTTCCGCGAGGAGGCGCCTTCTTACTCTCTGCTTCCGAATCCTTCCTCGGGGCATGTGCTAGGCTTAATTCCATGCCCATGACCAGACGGTTTAGTGGCGGTGACCCAACATCATGACCACGTTTAGTCTGTGGAGGATCGTGCGGCGTATCGAGGTTTACGGGTGTAGTTAAAACATCTTGGAGACGGCGTCGACCACGAAGGGAGCTAAATATGGCACATGGGTGTTAGATACGTGGCTAATGTCCAGAGTGCCTGCTGATGGAGGGGTCGGCGGGGTCCCAGAGGACCATGGTTCAACGTACAGAGGTACAGGACAGCAGCGGTGGCCAGGGCGCGTTGGATGGTGAAGTTGGCCTCGGCCTCGGCGGCGCGGAGCTCCTCCGGGGTGATCTGAGGCGGTTGGACTGGGAGAAGAGGAAGTTAGTTAACTGTTGAGGAACTATTGAGCCTGGCTCGCTAGGTCGGCATGGATTGGGCAGGTGGGGAAGTTGGGATTGACGTACACATATTGGAAGACTGGCGTGATGTGTCGTGGAATAAAGTGAGAAGGGCAGGTGAGGTGTTGTCCTTCAAGGTGCCTAAGGTGAAGTCACTCGTTGGTTTGATGGTCGGATGCTGCACCGCGGGGTGGATGTCGGGCCGGAATTCGCTGCTGCGCTGTTCAAGAAAACCAAAAACGGCTGGAGTCCAGAATTTTTTTCTGAGGCCGTTACCGGGATCAGTGGCACCATGGCTGGGGAAGGCAAGAGCGCGACAGGGGGGGTTATCGGTCTGTGCAGCCAATGCTCCAGCCCAGGGCCCATGGACCGGGGCCGAAGAGGGTGCAAAACATTCTTGGCGTTGTTTGAGCCACTGACAACCGTTTTTTTAGCACACTTTGAGGCGCTGCAAGGGGCGGCGGAAAACAACACCACCGGCAACATGGATGGGGTTTTCCTGATGCATCGTCGGCCCGAGAATACCCGAAGTCGTTACCTAAACCTTATCAGAATCGCGCAAGAGCTCCAGGGGCCTGGAGCCGAACAAGCGACCGATAGCGGTGGATTTCGAATGTGTATCTTACCCCCCTCCCTCCGGGCCCCGGGCAAAATGGATGCTGTTCGGTGTCCGCTTGCTGGGGAACCTCGTCCGATTACTCCCTCGTGCCTGCCGGTCTGACTTCTTCACCTTTTTCCCACCGTCTTTTCTCCTCCGGTTCTCCCATCTTCCCCGGATCATCAAACGGCAGAGGCGGCAAATCCGGGTTCAATTGGCCAATTCAAAGGACTGTGGCTGGCTTTCAAGGTTCCTGACGTCAATCACCTCCGGCAGTTTTGGTCTTGGCATTTGTGGCATTCGCCCAATCTTTTTCCCTTCCGGATTCTTTTTGTAGCCCCTCGACTTGCGGAGTGGCGGCAGGCGACGTGTGGAAGGTAGGGAGAAGATAGCTGGGGATTTCTAGAGGACTCGGTGACAGGTGGGTGACGCCGGCTTCCCTCTTCACTTTTTGTTTTCTTTCACATACCAACCTTGTCTTGTCCGGTTCGGCGATTTGCTCTCGTTTTCGGCATAACATTCGGAGTTTGAGAGCTTCCAATGAGACGGACCATTCCCGGCTGACCGATTTTCACAGCGTCTGCTTTTTCGGCCGGCTCCGGACGAAGCTTCGTCTTATCCGAAGAGTCACTGGACAGTGATCCTGAGACGAACACTTATACAGTTTCGTTCGAACTCCGCCCTCGTACTCAGGAACTATGCCTGCACCACGTCAGATCGGCCGTCTTGGCCGGTCCCTGGGCGCATCCGTCCTTGCATCCCGCACTCCCGCTGTGTCCGTTCGAGGTTCGTGGACTCGCACGTCATGCAGTCCGACCGTGAGGTGGACCAGCTCTGCCACCGACACAACTACAGCAAGGCCCTTTGTGAGGCTACCAAAGCTGTTCCCGACCCACGAGAACTTCGCCAACCGGCACATCGGCCCAGACGATGACAGCACTCAACAGATGCTCAAAGCCCTTTCACCTCCTGTGGAGTCTGTGGAAAAGTTTGTCCAGCAGGTGATTCCCGCCGACATCCTTTCCTCGCGCGAACTCTTCCCACAGCGCCGGAAGGCTTTCGATTCGGCGGCTAGCCAGGCGACGAAAGAGGGCCATCAGGAATGGGAAGTGCTCGCACTTGGGCGGGCCGCCGCGGAGAGCAACGAGTCGAGCCGGAAGAACTTCATCGGTGCCGGATATTATGGCACGATCACCCCGGAGGTCATTAAGCGCAATGTGCTTGAGAGCCCCGCATGGTACACCAGCTATACCCCCTACCAGCCTGAGATTAGCCAAGGCCGTTTGGAGTCACTCCTTAACTTCCAGACTTTGGTCTCGGACCTGACCGGGCTCCCGATGTCTAACGCCAGTCTCCTGGACGAGGGTACCGCCGCCGCCGAAGCGATGACGGTGTCACTAAATGCACTCCCCAGTTCTCGCGCCAAGCGTCCTGGCAGGACATATGCCGTTGACAAGAACGTGCACCCTCAGACAATCAACGTTCTACGGAGCCGCGCTGAAGGGTTCGGGATCAACGTTCGGATCATGGACCTGTCGGCTTCGGATTTCTCGGAGCTTGAGAGCTTGGGTCAGGATTTAGTTGGTGCCCTGGTTCAGTACCCCAACACATACGGCCAGGTCCGCGACTTTAAAGGGCTAGCCGATGCTGTCCACAAGCAAGGAGCCCTCCTCAGCGCGGCGACGGACTTGCTGGCCCTCACCGTGCTCACTCCCCCTGGCGAGTGGGGGGCTGATATTGCGTTTGGCAACTCTCAGCGCTTTGGTGTTCCTCTTGGATTTGGTGGCCCCCACGCCGCCTTCTTTGCCATCACGGAGAAGCACAAGCGCAAGATGCCTGGTCGTTTGATTGGTGTTTCTAAGGACAGGCTCGGAGGCCGGGCTCTCCGGCTTTCGCTTCAGACCCGAGAGCAGCACATCAGGAGAGAAAAGGCCACCAGCAACGTTTGCACTGCTCAGGCTTTGCTTGCCAACATCAGCGCTCTCTATGCTGTGTACCATGGTCCCAGTGGCCTGAAGCAAATTGCCGAGCGGTGCAGCTTGGGTGCGCGGGTCGTTCAATCTGCTGCCCGCCACTTCGGGCTCGACGCCGGCTCCGAGTCTGTCGCGTTTGACACGGTTGTTATTTCTAGCCCAGGCGAGGCCCAGACCATCAAGAGTTTGGCAAAGGATGAGGGCATCAACATCCGCCAGGACGGGGCAGACCGCGTGGTCATCAGCATCGACGAGACGGTCGAGGAGCGCGACCTCCTCGCCCTGATCAAGGTGTTTTCCCAGGTCGGCAGTGGCAACGGCTCGGCAGACGCGCTGGCCGACTATGCCCCGCTGCTTAAGCAGTTCCTCGAAGAGTCCCAGCCGACAGCTACCGCCCTCGACCACATCCCAGAGGCCCTGCGCAGGACGTCTGCCTACCTCACTCACCCGGTATTCAACACCCACCACTCTGAAACCGAGCTCCTGCGTTACATCCACCATCTCCAGTCCAAGGACTTGTCTCTCGTACACTCAATGATTCCCCTTGGATCTTGCACCATGAAGCTCAACGCCAGCACCGAGATGGCGCTGATCACGCTCCCGGGTTTCTCCAACGTCCACCCCGCAGCCCCTGCTGAGGATATCAAAGGCTACCAGAGTATCATCGATGCGCTTGAGGATCAGCTGAAGGAGATCACTGCCATGGATGGGGTGTCTCTTCAGCCAAACTCTGGTGCTCAGGGTGAGTTTGCCGGTCTGCGTGCCATTCGCAAGTACCATGAGAGCCGCGGAGAGACGAAGCGTGATCTCTGCATCATCCCGGTCTCCGCTCACGGTACCAACCCAGCGTCGGCCGCGATGGCGGGCATGCGTGTGCTGCCGGTCAAGTGTGACACCAAGACGGGCAACTTGGATTTGGCGGACCTTGAGGCCAAGTGCGCGCAGCACTCGAGCCAGATCGGCGCCATCATGATCACGTACCCGAGCACGTTTGGCGTGTTTGAGCCGCAGATCAAGAAGGTGTGCGAGATTGTGCACTCCCACGGGGGGCAAGTGTACATGGACGGCGCCAACATGAACGCGCAGATCGGGCTTTGCTCGCCAGGCGAGATCGGGGCGGATGTGTGCCACTTGAACCTGCACAAGACCTTCTGTATCCCCCACGGTGGCGGCGGGCCCGGTGTTGGTCCCATCTGTGTCAAGGAGCACCTGATCCAGCATCTCCCGACCAAGAACGTAACCAATGTCGAGGACCCGAACCACCCGGTTAGCAGCGCGCCGTACGGCAGCTCCAGCATTCTGCCCATCAGCTGGGCGTACAACGCAATGATGGGTAAGTCAGGCCATTTACCCCTTTGCTATTTTATCACGAGATGCTAACGCGCATGTTGCAGGCGGAGAAGGACTCACCAAGGCAACGACCGTCACGCTACTCAACGCCAATTACCTGCTCAGCAAGCTCAAGCCTCACTACTCGATCCTGTACACCAATGAGCACGGCCGGTGCGCTCACGAGTTCATTCTCGACGTGCGGCCTTTCCAGGAGAGTGCCGGTGTCGAGGCCATCGACATTGCCAAGCGGCTGCAGGATTACGGCTTCCACGCCCCGACCATGAGCTGGCCGGTGGCCAACACGCTCATGATCGAGCCAACCGAGTCCGAATCCAAGGAGGAGCTCGATCGCTTTGTCGAGGCACTGGTCAGCATCCGTGAGGAAATCCGTGAAGTCGAGGAGGGCAAGGCCCCGCGCACGGGTAACGTGCTGAAGCTGGCGCCGCACCCGATGGCGGATATCGTTGCGGGCGACGGTGAGGCGGGTGGCAAGTGGGACCGGCCGTACTCGCGGGAGAAGGCTGCGTACCCGGTGGCTTGGTTGAAGGAAAAGAAGTTCTGGCCCAGCGTGGCCCGGGTTGATGATAGTGAGTATCCACCTCCCTGAGGGCTGACATGATAAAGGCAGCTACTGACACGTTCATAGCATACGGTGATCTCAACCTGTTCTGCACTTGCCCTCCTGTTGAGGACACCACTGGTGAGGCTTAGGCTTAAGCCGACTCCAAAACTTCCTCCTTAGCACGGGCCCTCTCCGTCAGAGGGGGAGCTCGTGGGGAGCAAAATAGGTTCTTTTTTGGTGTGTTTTGGTAATGGTCATACTTTTATTTCACGGGGGGTGGCGGGCGAGGAGAAAACGGGTTTCCCTTTGTCTGTTTCAACACTTGAACCTTTCAACAATCCAGATACCCAGCCAGCATGCATTCAGCATTGGAACGGACTTCAACCAGGACGGGGTTACAGGCGGGGCGGCTCAACCGGGGAATATTTTGCTCTGCTTCTTTTTCGAAGAGGACTCGGGGACTCGGTGTTAGAGGGGGTAAGGGGTTAGATATAGGCTAGGCTCTACGCCCCTCAACGGCGGGCGGGCGGTTTTCAACACATGACTTGGATGAGTAGCATCAGGGCCGGGGCACGGAGTTCAACAGTGAGGTCTGGGCATTTATGGGCAGGCAGTTAGACGCATAGAGCACGCTTGAGTTGTTTTGGTCAGGTACATGAATGGAGTACTGAATGGAGTACTGAATGGAGTTTGAGGACAGTGTATTTTTTGCATCTCGTTGTGTTCTAATCAGAATTGAAAGACAGGGAATAGTCATTCTCTCAAGCATGACCAAGCCGGAGTCACTGCACTTACTTTAGGAGGAGAAGCATGTGGAAGAGGAACGAGCAAGGGTTAGGGTTGGCTTGCTTATCAAGCAGCGCTGGGGCGATAACGTCCTGCAGGGATTAAAAATCACAGCCCCGCCATCCCACTTTGAGCTCGCCGCGCATCTGGGTGCAAGTGGTGATTTGTATTTATTTATTCCTTTTTACACTCCAATCTCAGGACGGCAGCATCTTCTACGGGCTCTACCAGTCCGTATCTCCTATTTTCTTTCGTTTTCCCCGGAACTTGAACCACGTAAAATTCGCCAAAATGTCGTCCAATGCCCACGAACAACAGCCCGAGGATGAGGACCTCGAGCTGCTCGACGAGGACGACGTCCAGGAGATGGTCGACGACGCAGACAACGGCGGCGACGTAGCGATGGACTCGGACGGCGAGGACGAAGAAGTGACGCTGCACAACGACAGCATCGCATACTTTGACGGCCACAAGGACTCCGTCTTTGCCATCGCCCAACACCCGCTGTACCCCAACCTCATCGCGACGGGCGGCTCCGAAGGCGACGCCGACGATGCGCCGGGCAAGGGATACGTGATCGATACCTCGGCCGCCGTCGCACCCTCCCGCCCCGTGCTCCCCGCGAGCTACAACGCCGACCCCAACGCTGCGGCCCCGACCCCGCAGACCACCGCTCTCGAGCCCATCTTTGCCATCGACGGCCACACCGACAGCATCAACGCGCTGGCATTCACCCTCCCGCGCGGTGAATTCCTCGTAAGCGCCGGCATGGACGGCCGACTGCGCGCCTACACCGTGTCAGCCACCTCCTCCGGCGGTCAGCCCCAGTTCCAGTTCCAATTCCTCGCCGAATCACAAGAAACAGAAGAAATCAACTGGCTCCAACCCTGCCCCTCCACCTCCTACCCCAACACCATCGCCCTCGGCGCCTCCGACGGTTCCGTCTGGGTCCTCACCCTCGACGCCACCGACACCGCCAACCCCATCCGCATCGTCCAGTCCTACTTCCTCCACACGGGACCCTGCACCGCCGGCGCCTGGACCCCCGACGGCAAGCTCCTCGCCACCGTCAGCGAGGACGCCTCGTTGCATGTCTTTGACATATGGGGCGAAGCCGCCTCCAAGTCGCTGGTCACCGACAACGGCCAGACGGTGGTCTCGCTCACCGAAGCCGACCAGCGGTTCGCAGTCGAGGGAGGACTCTACTCCGTCGCTATCTCCCCCTCAGGCGGTCTCCTCGCCGCGGGTGGAGCCGCCGGCGCCATCCGCATCCTCTCCCTCCCGCGTCTCTCCCAACCTTCTACCACCACCACTTCCACGACGGGTAAGAAACCCACCACCTCCACCACAACCCCCGGAACAACCACCATCCTCGCCGCCTTAGCCGTACAACAAGACAGCGTGGAATCCCTGGCCTTCTCCCCGTCCCCGTCTGTCCCTCTGCTCGTGGCGGGGTCGGTAGACGGCAGCATTGCGGTCTTCGATCCTGTCCGATCGTTTGCGGTGCGTCGTCATCTGCAGGGTGTGCATGACGGGGAATCGGTGGTGAAATTGGATTTTGTGCGGAATCCGCCTTCCGGTGCTGGTGCTGGACCAGCTGGTGGCAGCGCGGCCGCTGGATCTGGGGGAGGAAGTTCGACGGCGGCGGCGGCAGCAGCGGGGTGGTTGTTAACATCGTGTGGACTTGACGGCGTGGTGAGGCGGTGGGATTTGCGTGGGGCCACGGCGAGTTCAGCGTCTGTGGCGGGCGGGGCGACGGCGGGGTTGGTGAAGGAGTGGAGGGGGCATCGGGGAGGAGGGGAAGGAGGGGGGGTGTTGGGGTTTGTGCAGGGGGAGACGGGGGAACGGGTGGTTACTGCCGGGGATGATGGGGTGGTGTTGGTTTTTGAGGCGTAGGGGGGTTGTTTGTATGTACCCGTGTATTTGAGAGGGTGGATGGATGGATGGAGGTGGTGATGTGGTAGAAATAGAAAAGGAGGTGGACAAGGCAGGCGTTTGGTGAATAAAAGGAATTTGCTGTAAATGATGGTGCAGATGTCTGAGCGATGTTATGATAGTAGTAACCCGTTAGACGAACCGAGCCGTCGCTGGATACGAGACTGTTGTTGTATCCTCAACATACACAGGCCGAGATGTTCTACTAGGCTGCCTAGCATGAGACAAACGAAGTAGAGTTCATGAAGGCGGACAAGGACCTCATGTAGATAAAAGTCGGTCGTTCCGCAAAGCATGCTACCGGATCGGAGGAAAATGAGGAGGTGGATGAAACATATCTCTCAGAGCAAGTCGCAAGCGACCTCAAGCCGTAAGGGATCAAGACGGACTAGACAGAGGCGGATGGATAGCCCTCCCGTCTTGTAGGTCCGCAAGCAGGAAAGAGGTTAGGAGCCAGTCCCTGTTAACAGGCTCTCACCCTTCACCCCCTTCCCCTTGACGCGAATATTCCGTCAAATCACCCAAGTAATACCCTCCTCCTTCAGCCCTACGACAATAACTTACCGGTGATTCCATGTGCGTCACGCATAGTGTACGCGGGCCGGTGAACACATGTCCGCATCCGAAAACCTTCGGCCCGCAACGCCCCCATCTACGTTCCCCCATCTACGTTGCGGTTTCTCGCACGGCCGGGGATAACAGCCTCATAATGTAGGACAAAAGACGAGCCGGGAGCATAGAGAAGTCATCGGTGGGTAGGGCAACTTTGTTCCGTACGAATGATATCGAATGGTTGGATGGCTGGGTAATAGGGGCGAATGGGAAACAGAGGCTATTTGTCGTGCCGCGTTTATCAGATTCGAAACGTCGTCGTCATACATTCAAGCGGTTCCCTTATTGAAGGACAATAGAAACGGTAATTCATAGGAAAGATCATTCAGTCGGCGTGACCTTTATTTAAAAATGAAGCACAGCATTGGGAGATAGAGGGAGGCACCCTCCCCTCCTAGCCTGCAAACCCGACAGCTGCAAGATACGATACGACTCATGCGGAGGATGAGATGGGCATCAGCATGGGATGAGATCTAAAAGGCGGGTAGGCGGGCGCCGGGTGGGCGGGTGGTCAGCGAGCGAGGGTGACAGACAGGATCTCGTCACCTGCCTGGTCCCTGGGGGTCAGCTAACTACCTACCAATCGGGAGTTTTTGTTGGGTTTGTTGTCTTGTTTGATGCGATGCGGCTCCGTGGGTTGGGGGTCAACGTCAAGCGTTGGATTGTAACGGCTGCATTTATGTTGTCGTCTAGAGATTCCTAGTAAAAATGGTTTCGCCAACTTCTTATAATGTTCGTAGCCAGGTCGGTATGAGAAAATGAAAGGCTCGGTCGAAAGTTCCAGTTCGGAAAAACTGGAGGTATTGATTCTCGGATCAGGGATTATGCTCGGTGTAACCCTTGGGCGAGGGATTCAGGGGTGGGCGAAATACCCGTCTAATCATCAGCCAAGTTCATCCGACCTTTTTGAAATTCAAACATGCCGCGGGCGCCGGTGAGTTTGGCTGACACCCGTCAAGTCCACTTATCCTCCGCAATTAGCATGGTGTCATCGAGACGGGGCGCAAGAAGTGCTTGTGAACGTGTTTTTTTTTGGTCATTAGAAACTTGGCTTGCTACTGTCTTTAATCATCTTCCTTTGACATCCTTCCCCTGCCACCCTTCCCAGACAGCACCCCTAAACGCCCATTCCTCCTCACAACTTTTGATCCAACCATTGATGTACCAACTCAAACGTATCCTGTGCTGTGTAGTGTAGCGTCAGGTCATGACCGGTGTTTTGCGGCGCAAAGTAGTCGTAGCTTGATGCATCGGGGAATGAAGACTCTGTAGAATCCAGGTGGCTCTCGCACGTCGCCTTTGGGGCCTGGCAAAAGAAAGCATCTTCCACAGCTGTGACAACCAGGACCGGGCCCGTGTATCCGGCCACAGGGCCTAGGATCGCCGGTAGCGCACCAATCTCTCCGCTGGTCAACGTGTCCTCGCCCTCGAAATCAATATCCGGGATGGCTGGGTCGAAGTTGCCCGCGAAAAATGATGCAGTGCGTTGTGGCTGTTTCGTGATGGTGACATATCCCTTCGGGAGCGAAGGGTCGAAACGCGCGGGGTCGAAGTCTGCGGCGCTTGCCCAGTCGGCGTTGATGACGTCCGAGAAGTCGAAGTAGTTGCTGTACCCGGTCAAGACGAGGGCGTCGGCGTCGTTCGGATACTGAGTGGCCATGGCCGCGCCGAGGTACGAGCCCCACGAGTGGCCTACAAAGACGAGCTTGGAGTAAGCTTGGCCGAGGCCATTAACCGGCGAGGCAACGTCCCGTATCGCCTCGAAGATCTCGTGCATGATATCGATCTGCAATTGTGGCTGCACGACGTTGAGCGGGTCGGGCCGTTGCGGGTTGTCGCCGTGGCCCAGGCGGTCGAGCGCGAGGCTGGCATATCCTCGTGCCGTTGCGGCTGCGTGCCAGTTGTACTTCTCAAAGCCTTGACCGGCCCACATGGTCTTGTTGTAGGTGATGCCATGGACGAGAACCTCGAGGCCCTTGGGTGTTTGTGAACCCTTGGGGACGCAGTATGTTCCCTTGATGATGAAGGTATCGGAGACGGGGAAAGCACCGGTGGAAGCAGGCTTATTACCGTTCCAAACATCGCGCATAAACCCAACAATGGCCGCCGTGTCGTTAGGGTCTGGTGGGGACGCAAAGGCGACGTTTTGGCTGTTTGTGATGGGGACGTTGAAGGTGACGTCGGCACACTGAGGCTTGGCCGCGCAAGTGCCCAGGGCGAGGCCCATGAAAGGGAGAGTGTGCTTCATGGTAGCTCGTTGTATGTTGAGTGTCCGTGAGTGAGAGGGGTTATTCGTGAGGGCAAGGAGGGCAAGAACGTGAAGCCAGACCACGGAAGAAAGCACGCTCGCTTAGCTCTGTCCAGAGGTTATCGAAGCGAGAAGCTCCAGAGAAAATAACACAACGACGGCGGAAGGAACTTGACCACGAGACAGCGGAGGGGATATGGGACACAGAAGAGCGAGCTGTCGCTCCTTCCTCCCAGGATCGTCGATGGGGCAGTGTCTCACCTTGGTTCATATACCCCAACTCGTCCGGCCTTCCTCGGCGCCGTCCCGTTCAACGGGCGGGCTAGGCCTCGCAGAGCCAGCATATTTCCGTCTTGGGAGCCCTTTCGTCCCGCGCGCGATTTGTCCCTGCTGCGACTGCAGCCATCGTGGGTCGGTTATCCCTGCCCTGTTTTCGTGCGGGAAAGAGCCAGGCGAGACCTTGGTGTGGGACTGTGGATTCGAGACGGCACGCAAGCGGAGAAGCTCTGTTCCAAATTGCGACCAAGGTGCGAGGGTTTTAGTGGGGGCTAGCGTAACCCATAGACGGGACGGCAACAGGCCAAAAACGATGGGAACTTTTGGCCAGCAGAATGCCCGGCCCTGCAGGTCTTGCAGGTTCCGCGGCGATTGCGAACGCAAGTTTGTCTACCGGAGAGCCGGAGTAATTATTTGCTGCACCCTCGAGTCGCTTTCGCTATCCCGTTCTGCACAAACAACGAAGAAGGGAACTGTGACGTTACCCCAAAGGACCAGGTACTTTAACCACCGAAACAAACAGCGTGGTCAGGCGGAAGCGGGCGGGCTGAAGCGAGCCCCGGATCCCGCAAACTTCCTCACCACCACGCGCCCACATGGTGCGGCTCTAAGAGCCTTCTCGGCGTCCCAAAAGTATCGCAGGCCGGGGGGCGGCGGGCCCAGCGACGGGATGAGATGCAGCAATCTCCAGTTTCGGCACCACGGCGTCCCATGGTGCTGATCTATGGGGCTGGGGGATGCGTCGTCATTGATGGGCCCGTTTCGCCGGAAAACTCAACTGCCCGGCTATCGTGGGAGTGTGGGCCATGGGCGGGCCTGCGCAAATAATGAAACCGGGGTTAGCTCGTTGTTCCCAGCTCCCACCACAGGAATTCGGCTCGATTCGCGAAAATGGAAGGAACCAAGGGAGCTGCATTGGCTCAGCTGCTCCCTAGCTGTGGAGCGCAGAAAGGAGCGCACCGTGTTGTATCCGTACTCAACTGGCACGAGCCGCCGATGTAACGGAGACCCCCAATGTGAGCCTGGGCTCTCGGCCATCTCCACGTAGGAATCGACTAACTTAGGGATTGTAGTGTACATACGTGTACGAGCAGGAAAGTGTGCGGCCTGTTTTGTTTCCCTGGCCCGATCCAGGACATCGTACTCCCCTTGCAGAGTCGCACTGCAACTGCTGCAAAATCAGCAGGAATCCACACCCGATCCGGGCCCGGCACTTCCGACTCGCCCGGGGATGGTTGATCATTGAACGATTCGGGGTTGCGGCCGAAAAGGTTCAAGCGGCGGTATCCTTCGATGACATGTCTTGGACAACGGTGGGTCACTACGCTCCTCCTTGCATTTCAATTGCAACGAGGACAGCGCAAAAAAACGATGGGAAGTGGTGAAGGATTGGTAATTTTGGGCGTGTCATGAAGCGGAAATGACCATTTTGGCCGACTCCGCCAGTTCATCTCATCCCAAGATCTGTCTGGCTCGCCGTCCGAACTCGAGGTACGACTCCCATTTTTTTGATGATCTCCAACTTGGGTTCTCCATTTTGTGCACAGCCCTTGTTGCACAAGGGCTGCTTTTTCCAGGGCACCTTCAGGGCGCCGTGTGGGCGTTTCCATTCGGTCAGTCACCCGAGCAAGCCCCACCCGTTCCCGCGTGGCAGCCCCCACCTCCTCCGATTGGTGTCATGCTCGCTTGTGCCTCGCTTGTGCCTCGCTTGTGCTCTCGCTTGTGCCCTCGCTTCATCGCTCCCCTTCACTCGCTACCACCCGGCCGGGCCCGTCGTGAGACATCCCATTCAGCAACACTGATCCTAGTTGACGAGAAGGCTTGGTGTTTCTAAAATGGGAATTGATGGTTGAATGTATTTTTTGGTGGTGTTCAAGTTGAAAGTTTTGTCCAGTCAAGCAATCCGTCTCTCGAGCATGGGATGGGGCAGGTACATACGAGCTATTTCAGGTCAACCCTGGGCAGAACGAAAAGGGACAATGATCACTGCAGGGGACCGAAAAGGGGCAAACCAGGGAGCCACTGCCAGAATTGAAAACGAACACGACGGGGGAAACCACTTCGAATTGTGCCTTCCTCGATCCAGTGCAAATTCCAAAACCACCAGACAGGCTTGTCACACCGAGAAGTGGCGACCGATGACCCCGCTCCCGTGGTCCGGTCATTTGACATTAATCAAGACTAATAATTAATTAGTTAGTGGAAGCTGCGATGTTGAAAGCCACGACACAGCGGAAAGGACTTTGAACACGCACTTTCCCAAGTTTGTCCGAGGCAGAGTCGTGCTGGTGCAGGTCTAGGTCTTCACTGACATTCTTACCCAACATCTTCCCGCAATCGAGTCCACCGATCATGTTCGGAGCCTCCCTCAATGCACATCGAGCCCCCAAGGTTGGCGACACCAAGACCTAACACAACATTGACTCAACGTTTTCTTCATTTTCAAGAACCTCTGTAGACCCTGTAAAAGTTTCAACATAATGGTTCTCAACACTCACAAAGAGCCCGTTTTCCAACTTTCTGGGGGCGACCATCCTGAAATTTAGGCTCCCGGTTTCTCGCTTGCTAATAAACCGGTATCGTTTGGGGAACGCGTGACGGTTCCTGGTCGTCGAGTTGGTCTTTATCTAGATTCGTCAATGTCCAAGTCTTTGTAAGGGTCTTGAGAAACCCTCATCTGCTAGTTTTGACCTTCTTTCTGATTTAATCTTTCATATTACGCCGAGTTCGTACCCACTTGAGACATCAAGTCAAACCTTGCCGGCCCTGCCCCTTCGTTTCCTGTCATTTTTTTCGGGATTTGGGTTGTAAGCCACAAGAATGAGTTATCCGAACACTTTTCTTTGAACTTGGGAGCCGAAAAGGAATGAAGTACGTGCTACCACAACTTAGGTATTCCATCCTCACCGCCTTAATCTTTCAAACCTAGCTGAGACAGCCCCCTCCTCTAACCCTTTGGGTTTGTACCCACCAGCATGTGTTCTTTCCGAAGAGAACTCCCTCTCTGCCGGCATTCTGTCATCCTTCTCGGCGCTGGCCAAATCAAGCAAGTTGCGCGCTGTGCCGTAACATCCCCCCCAGTCCTAAACAACAGCAATTCCGGAACAGTGGAATATCACCACACTGGGTGGGTATCGCTCAATCGGTCACCGACGAACACCATACGGGTGAACTGCGCTGTGATGTATAGGCTAGGCACACGGCAGCATTCCTACGGCTGTGGTTGTCGAAGGAGTCGGAACGACGTTAAGGATCAACGGACGTCGCTGAGTAGGCACACCTGGCACAGGTTTCCGGGGCGCTTCGTTCCATACTCCCAATACCCCTGCCCCCTTCAACCATCGGGCAAGGTTGGGTCTCCAGTCCCGCGCAGCGAGACCGGGCTGGATTGCTGCCAGCAAGTTACGCAGGGTTGTCGCCCTTCTAGGCAAGCTGCAAGCACTTCTCGCGTCTGCCTTTCATTTCGGCTTTTCTCCTTCTCCAACTCTTATACCCGGCGGTAAGAGATCGGTTCCTAGAGCCTCAAAACGCTCTAAACGTTGTTGAAAAAGAGCCGGTCAGCATTCACGCGAAGCCATTATTAATATCTGCTCGCAACATCGCGTAGAGAAAGTAGAAGTAATTGGCTGTGGCGGTTTCCTTCTTTGGGGTTGAGCCGCGCTCACTTGCCAAGATCCGGATTCCGGGTCATGGACTTCGACCGCCAGGTGTCCAGTTAATTTCTTCCCCTTTTAAGTAGTCTCCCGTCTGTTCCTTAAGCCCCGTTTACGTCAAATGTCTGGTCTGCTTACCACCGTTGCTTAGCACCTTCAAACGTCGGGCAAGCAATACGTCGTTTGGCTGGTGCTGCTTGTTCCGGAGCTCCCGGCCAAGAGGAATAAGCTCTCGACGTGATCAATCGTTCACGAAGTTCGATATTCGGGATGGGAGAGATGGAATTGATTCAAGCATTGGTTGAGCCGCTGGAGAGGACTGGAGCCCAGGCTCAGCTGTGTTTTGCAAAGGAGAGAGCGTTCCATGCACGTCATGATTATGTGTTGATTCGATCCAGGCACCTTCGCACCTCAGCTCTCGAAGTTTGGTGTAATTAATTACTTGCCCAATCCTCAGGCCACAAATGCCCCCCTGGGGTTCACCACCTTCCTTCCCTCCCAACACGGACTATATATATTAGGTCCAACGACCCAATTCCCAACCTGCCTGCCAATGGGGCTACAAACCGACCACACCCGGTGGTGAGTTTGGCTCAGGCG